TCCATGGATTGAGATCAGACCTCTCAGTTTAACTTCTAACCCCCCTACAAATGTTTAAGAAATTACATCTTACCCCCCTACCCTGCGCTTTGGTTTAAGTTCAGGCCCCCTATTAATCTTAGACCCCCCCCAGATAATTATTGCACAGTCCCTAATCGGTTCCTGATATAGGCTCAATCTCCAGCCGTAGGTGTGAAGTGTTTAGTACCCATGCCCCTTTCTTGCGCGCCCTTGAAGAAGGATCAATAGTCGACAAGTAGGGGCCTGCATATATGATGATCGATTTCTTTTCCTTTGATAAATCAATCAACTGACTTCTGCTCAACTGAAATATCCACATTTTATGGCAGCTAATCGTAACGTTTGAGCAGGAAAGTAATAACTGAGGAAAAATGGCGTCAGGCCAGAACACTCACAACAATCGCGTGTGGAATGGTGACAATGCCAGACTCTTTCTATAAATAAACAATATATTTGTCACTCTATTAAAATGGTTTATAAGTAACAATTGCAGTAAAAAAAACTATAATACCCCGGTATATAAAAACTGGTAGAAAATATGAAATGGCAAACTGATCGTTACGGCAAGGCGATGAAGCGAAGTAAACAAACTAGTGAAAACAAATTTGTTTAGTACTGAGAGAGTGAACATCGGCTCTAAAAATGAATTTGTTGCGCAGATATGCTGGGGCTAGTCCGTGCAAACATTTAAATGCCATTACAGTGTCTCTGACTTCAAGTTACCGAGCAACTGGCAAGCAACCAATGGAGTTACTAAGTTATGTAGTCAAATTAGCGCTGACTGGCAGCCCTAGCCGCAAGATTTTGCACGTTCTAAAGTCGAGCAATGTTTTTCTTTGTTCTACTGGCCCGAACTGAAAAACAGTAAAACATTTTCATGAAAACCAGAAAATTTGTGGTGGTTATTAGCGTTGATTTAATAAAATAGATGTTTTACACGATTTATTTGACATGAGCTAGCAATACACTTGGACACTACACCAATCACATATTCATTAAAACTTAAGTGTCCGTCAACTACAACACCCAAATCCTTAGAGGAATGTGACGGCCGTATCTATAAAATCCTCTGGCATACATGCTAACATCTGCGAGGTTCCCAGTAATAGCAGCTTAGTTTCATCTGGATTAATAAGAAGGCTATGCGTGCAACACCAGGCGGTAATCGTCCTGCAGATCCGCATTCAAATGAGCTGCAGTCTGGTCCGCCTGCCGGACAGGAAACTACAAGTAGAGCTGCGAGTCGTCGACATAGCTCTTCAGGGACAGTTGGTAAGTCATTAATAAAGATGTTAAACAGGGCAGGTCCCAATATTGACTCCCTGAGGAACGCCATGCTCTACTCATACGGGAATCTGACAATTCAGTTCCAATTCTCGCAAACTGACCTCTATCTATCAAATAACTCCTAAAGCATTCCATGGCATCTCTACACAAACACCCAGTTCTATCTGGTTCTATCGACCAATTAATCTCATAGTAGCCTTCTTAACTCTGAGTAAAGATCTAAGAGCTGGTGTTTCATGGTGATCAGGATTTACTTTATCCTTTGCCGAACGCAGGTTCTTTTGCTCCGCCAAACCTCAAGATAATGAATAAAGTTGAGCCAGGATTACTTGCTGGACCTGATTAGATTAGTCATGCGCTGCTCGGGGCGGATATGAGGTGTGTGTGTAGAGAGGGGAATGGTGATCCTTAGGTGCCCTCTCATCTTACCTCAAAATGACCCCCGCTTCTCTCAGAAACAAAGTCTGTGTCTGATGTGCAGAGTTCCCTCGATCAAAACATCTCTAGAAAATTCAGCGTATCGGCTGCAACCCATAATGGGATAATTTTCATCAATAAGTATTCACGCCGATACTGTATTATCTATTAAGGTTTAGTTTCGAAAGTAACTATGGTGTTGCGTCTCACAAGGGATTGAAATATATATAACATGATAATATAAAGGTTAGTAAAGTCATTAAGTTGGATTTGAAAATATTTTGGCATTTTCTATTTTAGAGTTTGAATGAAAGTTAAAGGACTGTAAAAGAGCCAGTGAGAACCTGCTCACAAAAGTGATATAATTTTAGTAAAGGGAACAAAAGTGCACCGTTTAAAAACCTGCTGCTACATGCAACTCGGACGGTAGATCACGAAACAAACAGATGCAGTTTAACAGATGAATTATCAATTACCACTCTGAAAGAGGATCACATACATACAGTGCGAAGCAATACTCGATTAAAAAAAACACATATTTGTATGAGTCGGTTTCTGTTTAAAATCAACGGTACTGAAGTTCCGTGTTGTCCCTTTTATTGCTTTAATATTCAAAGCGAGAAATGGAAATTAAAGAGACAAGGTGCCGGGGTAGGGGGTAAAAAAACTATTTATTCTTTTTAAATAACCTGATAAAAAACTATATATTTGAAGAAATATAAAATTCTATCCTCTTTTGTCTCTCAAACAAAAGACCTTTTCATCAGAGAGGAGAACACCATCAGGTAATACTCTCTCGAAACTAATTTGCCTTCAAAATAGTAATAATAATATTGCAACCAGTTGTCTTAGAACAAAAATGCCGACAAGATTCCCACCAAGTTCTTTTAAAAAGCCCCGCTTATTGTTGGGCATCCCTCAACGCTAAGCCGCCACAAATATCGCTTATCATCAACACCCAATTATGCTACTCAGGGAAGAGCTCTAGGCAACCTGTGATTCTTAAATTAGTGCTTGGATCTCTAGTAAGACATTCATAAACTAGTCGGACGGCGCTGCAGAAGAGCACCTGAATAGCCACCGTGCTTTTCGCGCTGAGAGAGCAAGTTTCCAGAGACTCAACCAAGGTAACATCTTACTCCAAAACTAAGTACCATTACTTTTTTGCCTCTGTGTATTTTTTTCTCTTTAATTTACCTTTCTTCCTCTTTTTTAAAAAAAGAGTTTACAGTACTTTTACAAAGATTAGCCCTACAATTGTTCTTTAAGAGAATAATTTTACTTAGCGACGGGGAAAAACGTTTTGGCCTTATCACGCAAAATTAAAAGCTCGTGTTAGGTGTAAAAATAGTGGCAAGTGCTGAACCCTTAAGCACTAACGCCTCAAAATAAAATAATATTTAAATAAGAAAAGATGGCGGTTTCTTTGAAGAGTCTGGTTTAATGTTAAGTTGCCAATTAAAAAAAAAGAAAATGGCAGGCTGCTGGTGTAAATTGAGGGTGATATCAGCCGTATTGCATGGGTATATCCGAGCTACGGGCTATTAAGTAAATAATCCATCCGTTTAACTGCCGCTAGAGAGAAGGTTTCCAGGTTGATCTCTTATGAAATATCATGTCAACAACGTGTAAGTCACTTAAATGTGTTTCCATTGTGATTAGATAAATAACGCCAAGTCTGCTGAAAAATATTTATGAGCGTTGGCTACTTTACATTCAGTCTCAAACTACCCGGCGGCGGAAGAACGAATTTTTACTGAGCTGCCAAACACTTGCAGTTCCGCGAATTCTAACAAACAAAATAAATTATTTGTTGATTCTAAGAAAAGGTTTGGAATTAAAGCGAAGCAATGACCAGGACTTATCCATCAACACCACATAACGGTGTACTTCCCAATAAATATAAGCTCCGCCAAAAACTTGACAGCTCAACTCGCCATTATTCCTAAAAGAACAGCCATATGGACGTCCCCTTCCCTTCCGACATAATTTTATCCTGATTTTGTAACCTTTAGCTCCACAGGAATACATTAAATTGCTATCCTTTCCAGGGAAAGAATCCAAATCGATGAAACAGATAGATATGGGATGTTCAAAGAATATACTTAACTGTATTTAAATTTTCAAGGTGCTCGAGCAAAAAATATAGTGTTTACCTCGTTTGCTAGTGGCGGTGTGAAAAACTGACGCCGCTATCTTTGATGTGCTTCAAAGACTTGAATTTTTTATGACTAAAAACACCGACAGGGAATTTGTGCTTTTCTGTTTGAAAATCTGAAAACCGAAAATGCTATACACTATGCCTCCAAATTTAAAAGAAATACGAATTAAAACTTACAACTACGAATTAAAAATGTTTGAATGAGAAATTATGCAGTGCAAATTTCTTTGGAAACGCAAACTTCTTTGAAAGCCGGCACCGCTAACAATGCCGCCACAAGTTGTTCAATCATCATGAAAAATTTAACAAGTCGGCAACTCAGTTTTCAAAGCAACAATTTTCGCTGTTATCCCAAATGCGTTTTTTGTGCTAAAAATCCTTGAGGGCTTTGCAAGACACTAAACCCTCTCGTTAGATCGCTTCAATGTTAACAGTACATATATATATGTGTGTAAAGGTTTCTTAAATAATAAAAATGAAAAAGTCCATTAACTAAAGCATACTTAGTAGATGAAAGCATGGGTTGAAATAATCAGTACAGCTATAAACGAGGGAAATTGCTTGAAGATCCTATCTAATGTCGGCTTCGCTCGCCAAAAAGGTACCAAACTGTGTGACGCGCGCGTCCACTAAATACACTTTGTACATTACTCCCTTAGCTGTAATTTTTGTAAAAATTCTGCTACAAAGAACACTGAAAAAGGGCTGTTAGCTAGGACAAGTTACAGTTGATTTTAAAACACTTTTATTTATATATCAAATGCATGTATGGTCTGAACTTTTGCGAGTTTTCAGCTCTTTAATTTGGTCTTATAATAAATGTCCGGAGAGAGCACTTAGTTCCTTAGCCCGCACGTATCAAATTAATGTAGTTATTACGGGATACATCAAAGTAGTCAGGTTGGGGTTGTATATTGGCCATTTGGTCATTTAAAAGCATCTGAGTATATTATACCGCGGCCTTTGACTATTATATCAATGAGAGCAGTGCATGTCATCACGACCACACTATACTTTTTAAAATCCATTCTTATTGCCAAACGGACTGACTAAGGACTCCAGGACCTTCCCTCCAGGCAAGTTTGATAGATATCACCTTTTCACAAGTTTTTCTTGTACATGTACTGTTTTCGTACAAAGTTTATGCAGAGAAGGAATAGCTTATGAACCACCATGAAGTGATAGGTCTCCAAATTCGTAGTCAATATTTCGGTTCGAGGATTTCGACAAAGTCATCCCAGCAACCTGGCTACATAACTTTTTACACGACCCAACGGACAGTCAGCCTGTTTGATCAATAAAGCTTTATGGCAAACTTTTTTGGTGCCAGTATTTGATTATAGAAAAACCAAAACAATTTAAAATCCCGTCACCATGATGTATGGGTAATAATGCTTTTAAACCAGCTTTAATGCTGGGCTAAAAATTTGAAAAATGAACAGAGAACCGACTGCGCTACTAAAAACCAAATGTTCACGGAGATGTGAGAAAGCTGTACTTCAGCTGTCGGTGTGTCAAGGACCCGAATGTTTTCGGCGGATGGCTTAACATTTATAGATCTAGACAATCCAGTTCGTTTTCTCCACGTTGCTTCATCTTATCCGATTCCCGCTAGTCACTACCTAAGAGGCGGGACTAAGTATAAGTATTATAGAAGAAAACGCCCATTACGTCGCGAATGGTAGCCTCCCACGCAGGGGTTTTTAGGGGAGCTGGGGGAGGGACGAAATACGAGCTCCCATAAAACGCCCACATGGGAGGCTATGCGAATGGCAGCCTTCCTTCTTCCAATGCTAACTCGGTAATTGTTAAAGGAAAAAGCAAGCTTTTCGAAGAGAGGTGATACTGTACCGTAAACAAAATTAAAAGAGACGACTCCTCAAAAGTACATACTGTTCAGTTTCACGCGAGCAAGAAGTCATCCTCCTTTCCAACAATGCCAGGCCAGTTCTCTCTTTAATAATCTCCAAGCTCTAACGATTATCTATTTATCTTAGAATAACTAATCAATTAACGACTCGAAGCAAACCAACTGGAGTATGATAAATAAAAGCATTCAGTTTTTAACCAGTTAAAAATACCACAACACGTGTTTTCTTCTTCAAAAATTATTTTTGGAACATTAGGCTATATGCACATGCCTTTCAATGTTCATGGTAAGCCTTCCAAGTTCTTTAATTTCAATTAAGTGTGCTAGCTTGTAAACCTCAGTTAAAGTAAATTGCAGCCTGTAAATCTCGATAAAAGTTTAACTTTTCACTAACAGTAAAACTGGAAAAACGTTTCAAATAAACTCCACAAGCAGAAATTTATTTGTTATGTTATACGAACATTTTGTCTATAACAATTAAGTTTCTATTTTGCAGCTAAATGGGTTCAAAATGTTCTAAAGAGGATCAGAGTTTGGCTCCAGGTGAGTTATTTTGAAATAAATAAATAAAAAAAAAACAGATAGATCGATAGTTTATTCATCTTAAAAACTTGCAGAAAAGAGCTGAATTACGATAAGGTTTACATTAAAGCGCGATACAGGTTCTTAAAGAAGGATGATCTAACGCAATTAACGATTTTAGAACTGTTATAAAATCACAAATCCAAAAGATGCGTCAAGTTCTTATATACAATAAGTAACAAAATTATTTATAGTTTTCAACCACTGTAAGCATAACTTAAAAGAAAACTATCCTTGCATCTTTCAATTTTACTCTTTGGACATATAAATGTTCTTTGTTCTCTCAGAGAGTAGCTCGGCTGGTATTTACTTGGAAGTAGTTTGTGCAGACTGTGAGATTGATTAGCATTATTCTCTCTTGTTAGCTCAAACTTCATGGAACAACTTTGCCGCAATTGCCTCTCTTCTATCATACAGTGTTAAAAGTTCTAGAACCTTAGTATGTGATAGCCCAGGGTAAAGAATCTTCATAGCGCGTTTTTGCAGTCTTTCTTGGTCTTCACTTAGATAACTTGCTGGAGCGTGATAAAAACTGGGCTGCCGTACTCAAGAGTAGAGCGAATGCATGTGATGTAAAATAGAAGTAGCTCTCTTGTAGCAATACTCCGACTATATCTTTGGGGCTATCCAAAACAACAAGAAAGTAGTAATGATAATGATCGTCATCATTATCGGGCAGGGAGGGATCGATCAGTGTTTACCACTGACCAGGTATTCATACAGCAGAACCCCTCCCCCCCCTCACTGTTACAATCACGGCGGAGAAGCTTTGTAATGATCCTGATAATAAGAAATTGCTAAAAATAATAACAATTTAATTCTAAACAATGAATCTTGGCGAAGGACGCGATATATTTGGATGAGTTACGCATTTAAAGCCAGTCAAACGTTACGTCACACCCAGCGTCACACGGTAGTTTCTGTTAAGGATTATTTTAATGATCCTTACCAAATTGGGTCATATTTTAGTAAAATGGCCTATTCTCCTTTCTATTTATTTGTAATAAATCAAGAAACTGCCGCGCCTAATTTTCTTTTTAAATGATAGGCTATCTATTGTTGCGGATGTAAGGAAGGCCTGTTAACTTAAATTTGTTCCTCTAGTCGTACCATGTACCAATATAGATGTAGACAATACAGACGAACTTGCCAATATCGCGGTACTTGGCTACTACGTCACGTGATGATGACGTTATATATGGACCGAGAAAAACGATAGGCTGCGGTGCGGAGGCATTTTTCTTTTGCTGAGTCCTGCTCGCCGTGCGCGTCTGAGCATGTAAGTGGCCGTCCATTGATAGGCCAGCCACAGGATGCGACACTTCATTCAACCCCTTTTAGCTCTCTGATTCTGTTTGATTATGAGTAGAATGTAACGTTTTCATTTTTCATATTTGCCTTTTACACGTCCTTGAAAATAAGTGTCATTATATACTTCGTTTCTCTGTGGTACAAGATGAAAGTGACCCAATACACTACAGAATTAATCATAGAATCTCTGCCGGTGGACGAGATCCATAGCTTCAATTTTTTTGGAGCCAACCACAATCAACTTCTAAGAAAGTCCGGAGATTTCTCTCAAAATTATCATTTGGCGGGTTGGTCACCGGAACGTTTTTTTGTCATTTAAACTTGCTAAAAGCTTTTCACAACACCCCTAAACAATCAGCCTTGCTATTTGGTTATCGTTAACACTTCTTAAATCAAGCTTTGTTGTCTCGTCTTTGAATTCACTTAGAATTATCTGTCACATCTTTCAGAGGACAGAGCTGACCATTACTCGCTCGACCCTTCAACTAACAGATTATTATATGCAATGAGTTTTCCACTTCTAAAACGATTAGGAATCTCGTATTGTATCGAATCTTGTGAGAATCGACGTATCGGTCCACAACAATAAACCATTTAACGGACTTTAGTTTAACTTTGAGGAGTCGATGTAACCTCCGGTTTCCCAAAACATGAAAAGATTTCATAGACTAGGGAGAAAATCATGGAGTAGGTCTCGCCGAAACCAAGGTATGAATCTGTTAAATGTCCTTTTTCGATTACACTAAAATGATGCGCTTGGCACGGGCCATGGAATTCCATGTTTGGGCAAGCGATAGTTGTGTAAACATAACTTGCTGAATGTTTTGTCAGACTTTCTAATCTCCAGCCTGTTCAACTCTTCAAAATTCAGTTTGTATAAGAAATCAAGGATTACTCGTGCCGATCATTTTTCTTATTCCGATAATTTATATAATCACTGGCATAATTTGTCTTTTTCACTATAGAAGGTGCCGCCATTGCCGGGTCTAACCAGTTCGCCTGGTTAGATGCTCCGGCTACCATTAAACCTTACATGCAATCGTCGGAACGGTGTTGAAGCCACTATTATGCCGGGACATAACGGCGGGCGGTGTATTGAACGAAAGCAAATATTCTCTTGCTCTTAATTTTACTGCCAATCCACATTTTGTATTCTACACTTCTGTCATTATAGATTCAAAATTATTAATCCCTTCTAGAGTTTGAGTTTTATAATTATTATCATGTAAAACGCAAAATTACTCATTTTCTAACAGTTTCGAACATTCTCATTTTAAAAAGGACAAATAATTTGGTTTATTTTGGGAATAATGGTTTTAAAGAAAAAGAGGAGAGCTAAACAGGGAAAAAAGGCAATTTGTGTCATCAGCATCAGGGAGTTTGAATAGCAACGAGACGGTTTAGACTAGTGCAAAAAATACTTAACTGAACGATGAGAACGCCGCAGAGAACTAGAAGTAGCAGACACATGGATTTTACTTGAGCAAGACCACTTTCATAAAATTAGTACTCCACTGTAATTGGCTACTTTTAAAGCTAGCCAATCAAATCGCAGTTTTCTCTCATTAAGCTTTGATTAGGACAATCGAATCAATTTCTGTCAGTGGCACAAAGCATTAGGCCGCCAGATATCACTGCGTCAAACTGAGAGTAATGCCGAGGTCTTAAGCGAATTTTTCACTTCTCGTTTTCGTGATTTTTTCCCCGTTACGTTTATGAGGATTGTATGGTTGTTATGAATTGAAAGCATTTTTGACATGGGAAAAAAATATAGCAAGCAAGGTAAGGTGAAAGCGCGCGAAAGTCGCAAGCACGTTCGCTCGATGGCTCAACTCTTCAACACAAGATGCCGTAATTACATGTTTAATAATACCCCCGTACGTAGTCACGGCGTGTGGCTCGTTTCGGTTCTTGTTCTAATCTCAGTTTTGTTTCTTTTTTAGCCTGGATTTCAAGAGAAGGACCTGAAGGCAAGCAATAGTTTTACTGCAGAACCCAAATCTGTGAAATTAAGCTTGTTTATTTTTCGTTGCCTTTGTTCACGCCGATCGATAATTTTTTTCTTTTATAATTGCGCTCTGTTGAACAGGCGACTGTGTGGTGGAAAGCGACTCGGCAAACCTTTCGCCAAACTTGACGGAAGAACTACAAGAGAAAAGTTCATGTACGGCCGACTTCACATACAAGGGATACCCTGTCAATGTCGTGAGTACAACACAACTTGTAATTATATTACTTCGTCCCTGGCGGATATGAATGATTGTCCGGCGATCACTTGCATCCACGTACGTTCAATTCACCGTCGCTAAAATCGACCCTTGTGTTGTGGTTAAACTTTCAGTCACAAGTTGATATGTTATGAAGCAACCTTTTCTTATGGTCTTGAAAGCTAAGCTTGGTAGTTGGTTGTTATTGTTCGTGCCACTGATAGCTGTCGGTTTCGAGTGAAGTGATAGAACAACAACCGCGCTAACAAAGGTCAACACCGTATCATCAAGCGGTCGCCAACATTTACGTTTTGTCATTTTTGCAAATCGCTTGCATCCTTAAACTCATGAATTCTTTGTTTCTAACAAAAACATTTACGATGGATCGCTTCGTCTCTGATTTCCCATGCATTGGCAACAGCTGAAATCAATAAATAGTGCGGGGATCAAGCCAAAAAACGGTGGTGTATCGAGACTAAAAAGTTATAATACTGCCGTGAATTCTTCACACAAATTCTACCAGCACAAGAATACTTAGTGTGGGCATTAGATTAGCATAGGGGCGTTTTTGGTCTTAAAATTCCAGCACTGCATCGGTTGTCGACGGCGCCTGATAAATCAATAGCGTGTCTCTCATGAAAGAACTAATGTCCGTCCTCTTTTCCCTCGATAATCGCTATTTCGTGATACCATTTTGCTAAGCGCACCTTCTTGAAATTTCCCGGAGTTATTTTCGGTCCTACATGTTTGACCTTGTCGTCGGAAGAGCGGCCGAGTAAAAGCGATTTTAAGTTTCCTGAAATTTGAGAGAACAAAATTGTAGCGACAATTCGTGCCTCGATTATGTTTTGATGTTTCCGTTGACCTGGTGCAGCAAGAGGAATACCACAGTTCTTCTTTTTTGATCAGATATAGCGAAAGTGAATGTGAAAGAAAATAAATGATTTTTGTGTGTATACCATGCTTAAGTAAGTGTATACTTACTTCATAAACATGAGATGTTTACATAAGGTTGTCACGTCTTAATCTAATTCATGAAAAATACCTTGTAGTAGCTTGTAGTGGGAATCAGTGCAAAAGAACAACTTTGGGTGTTTAATTCAGAACGTTATTTTCTAACGAACCCTGGTGATTTGCGCATTTTTTTTAATTTTAAAGCCAAAATTCTTATAGATTTAAAAACACTTTCAATTTAACAGTGTCTTATAATTCTTCATAACTTGTTTTACCGAACCGTAGTCAGCGGTATTAGCAGTTTAGCTTGGATATCTTTTTTTTTCTTCAGTATTTTAATTATTATCGAAAGAATGTGTTAAAATGAGAAATTTAGCTTTGCTTTCTTCTATATCGGTCTTTTGCAAGCTATTTTGAGGTGAATCTGTTGTTAGTGTCACTGCTTTGAATCTTAATAGGATTGAAATGCCTTTTTTTATCTAAAATAAGTGTTTCTGAATGCCACCACAATAGCAATGCAATTATCTTAATTCACGAATATCAAGTAACTTAATAATTTCAAGGATTTAGTGTGCAGAAAATCGGTACCCATATTAACCATTGCTCTTTGACTCTTCTCTTATCGGGTATGTCAGTCACTGATTTAATGCTTTTTGACCATGAGAAACTGTTTTAAGTATGGATATTAGTATTAAAGCAGAATAAGTAACAAAGATCATATTTCCTTAGATCTATAAAGCTCTTAGCTTATTTAATCTCCTTTTTGGATGTCATGCGTCATTTCTCCTCTGCTTCACCCGCAAGAACAACTCAGTAATTATTGATCATGTCCTTGCAAACATGCAGCCTTAAGGTTGGTTTACAGAAAAACACTGGTCTTTGATAAGATTTTACTTTAGATCTAATAGTTGTTCCCATCTCTAAAAAAGAGCAAAGTAACAATGCCTTGCAAGGAAATATGCCTTGTGTTGCTATTTGGCACAATGTTACAAAATTCCTTTGAATGTAAATATATCTGGTGTATGGATTTATTCTTCTACTTAGCTTTTCATCATTCTTGCTTCAGTGCATTTAAGTTTAGGACCAACTGAAATGCTTTGTTCTTTTAAAGTTACAAGATGGATCATGTGAATCAGAAAAAGACTTTTGCAAGAAGTATTCTTACTATGACTATCCTATTGAAGGTAAGGTGTAAGTGGCTTGTACTTTTAGAAGAAAAGAATATCTTTGGGTGCCTTTACTTTTTGAATTTGACTCTTGAGATTTAAGACTGCTATAATTTTCAATCCCTTCAAATATTTAGTCAGTCAATTACTCTAGAGTACTTGTGTGTGGTCTAAGACATTAACAGTTAATCATGAGTATTGTTTGGGGCTAGTTTTCTGGTTACAATTTATTGAAAATCATATACAGCTGCATAGGAACTGCAGGGTGAAGAATTAAATGAAAGAGAAGATCATCTCAGTTATAGCCGCAACTTTTTCAGTTGCAACTGCAAAAGTTACATCTTTAACTGTGATGATCTTCTTTTGTTTAGTTAAATGAATACGATTTTAAATACTATTCACTAAAGTCCCTCGGTTGCCTCCCGGCTTCCAGCACTTACCATTTCAATTTATGTGCAATAAACTAGAAAACCACTTTTAACTTACTTTCTTCAACAAAGCTTTCTTGTTTCTTTTCCCTCTGATTTGGAGCATTTTTTTAAAGTTAATTAATTTGACTATTTACATGTGTATTGTGCCAAACCTCTTCTTGTCCTACACACATTAGTATACGCCCTTTTGAAATAAAGTTTGATTGATGTTTTGATTGTCTGACATAACTAAAAATAACAGTTAAAAATAAATTTATATGCCTGCTTCAAAAGGTGCAGATAAGCAAAACATTTTTGTTTGTTTGCTATTTTTCTAACTTGAATTTCTTTTTTGGCAGTGGTTGAATTGCCAGATGAGCCAGATGGAAAGAAATTGGAAGTATATTTTGAACGTGAAGGACAAGTTGAAGCCTCTACCCAGACCACAAGACCAGCTGTCACGGTAATACTAAGATTGTCTGTGCTACATTGTAATGTAATATACAGTCAAACTCCGCGTTACATACACCCGCTTAATACAGACACCTCATTATCATAGACAGTTTGCTTACTTTTTCTCTTAATTCAGCCTGCTTAATATGGACAACCCGTTAATGTGGGTACTTTCTGTGGCCCCCTCAGTGTCCTTTTTAACGGGATTTGACTGTATTACAGTTATTGTATTATTATTGTAATGATATTGTAATGCACAGGGCACCCAGAAAAGTAGCTCAGATTGCTGTGAGTCTATGCTGTGCACACCCTTGATTTTCATTACATAATATGCTGTGCTATTTTCACTTTGTTCCTACAGACGTCTAGTGAATGTGGCCAGTCATTGAAATCGGTGGCATCAGATCGACAAGAATGGTCCTATACCCTTTATGACTTTGAAGGTCAAGGCCATGTCACAAGAGAAGTGAGTAATAGATTAGTAACACTGCTGTATACTGAACAGCGGGCAGCACTGATATATCCACTGACTTTCTATCAATTGCATTAATTGCTAGTACCATGTTCATGTGATAAAAGGATGTGATAAGTTGCTGGTGTCTCCTAATGAAAAGCCTTATGATTGCTAGTAAAGGAAGGGACAATTGACACAGTATGAAGAGTTACTTTGGGCCCACCTTTCAAATACTAGTGGCACCTATATATAAATATGTGTCATGCAACACGGTCTTTGAAACAGATGACGGAGGAAACCCTATTGAGTATTAGTCCTATTAAAGAAAATTAGGGAAGGGTGAAGCTTTGTAACTTAGATGGTAGACAAGAGCAATGGTAGATCTAATCTGGACATTGTGGGCTTGAATCCCAGTGAGGTCAAAATATTTTTGTGTGGTCCCCTAAATCCCTCACCTTGGGCTAATACCCAGGTTATGGGTTATTTGTAGCACTTGAAATTTTCACTCCAGACTTAATTCCTTGCTCAGTTTTTTAACCTACATGTAAAACTCTTTATGCCTGAGTGGTAATTGAATCAAAAATCCGTGTTTGTTTGTTTGTAGGACCTCAAAAGCCTTGTTAAGTCAATTTATGAAGTTCTGGGGAAAAACATCTCTCGGCCCAAGAGTTCCCAAAGAGAGCCTGTTAAAAAAGTTTGTGTGAGACTGTCGGTATCAAAAGAGAGAAATAGAGACGGTGCCGACAAAGCAAAACAGGAATGTCTTCTGACAGCAGTTAGAGAACAACCAAGAAAAAGTAAAGCAAGTAGGTGTTTATCAACTGACAGAGAAGGCTCAATGATTGTTAACCCTCCATCTACAGACTACCTCAGTCAGATCAGACCACAAAGCAGTTTGTTGGAAGCAAAAACTCAGGCTGAAGGTTATGGTTGTAAAGGTGCTCATCATCGCAGATCATCATCATGCAGAAGGTGTGGACAGAGGCAAACATATGAAAGGGACAGTTCAAAGAATGAAACCAGGAAAGATCCCGTGGACTCAAAGGGGATGTATCACTATCCAAAGAGAATGCAAACTGGACCAGGTGAATGTAATCCACCAGCTTCGGGCAGTAATGAAGTAACACGTGTGAAAGAGTGGGTTAACCAGTGGTGCCACATGTACGAGGAAGACTCCATGAATGATCAGCCCAGGCACAAACATAAGGTTCACCGTCGGCACCGTGGGTGGCAACCTGACACCTGTGAAGCCAGTTGCCGATTGCGGCGCTGTCCTCAGTACCTGGATCTTGCAACAGATCACCTGACTTACCCTTATCATACAGAGAGTCAGTCGTTTGCATTTGGCAATGGTTCGCCAAGACCACAGCACCATCACAAACACAGTGAACATCATTGTAGGCAGAGCTGCAGTAAAGATAATGGTGCATGTTATCATGATGGAAAACCAGTTATCCATGAACATCACCATCATCATAATCATCATCATTATCATCACTATGTTGGTTAAATGAATTAATATATTGGCCCTCAAAATTCACCAGAGAGGCTGAGTAGCAGAATTCCGCAGTTAAGTACCGAATTTCAGTGACTGAAAGCAAGTGTTTTGAGGTTATCCAAAGGTACTGTTGAACAAGTGTCATTTGAAGCAACTGTGTACAAACTGTACATTTATTGTCCATGTAACATGTTCACTTCATGACTGTTGATAATCATTCTCTTACTACCTTTGTAGGTCAACTTTATATTGAATTTTTGCCAGAATTCTTTCGGGCTTGTGATTTAGTGTACAATTTTTGTCAATCTGAATCGACTCAACCAGTTTTCTGTTTGGATAGTAGCGGGAATCTCTGTTCATTTCAGAAATGGGCCAAATGGAGGGCTTCATAGACTTTTATATCCTCATGTATATGTAAGCGAAAACTTAACATTTTGAACAATATGAAATATGGAAGTATTTATCAAATAGCGTAGACATTATTTGGATGTCACCATATTGGTGATAATAAGCGACAAAGCATACAGTTTGCAATATTCTGAAAAGAAATATATACAGTTCATTTAAACGCGTATAAAATGCTGGGAGTTAACAGTTCAGTGAACCTCTGAAAGAAGCCATTTTAATATTTGCTTTGTTACATACATACTTTTTTGAAGTAATATATAGCTTTAGTCGAAGTTACCTACTGTATAATATACAGATAAACGAAAAAAATTAAGTTGCTGCATTGCAGTTAGACTGACTCATCTCCTTGTGGAGGAGTTGCTACTTATCTAACGATGTCGTTAGTAGAATGTTAACAATGCCAACCAAAAAACAAAATCTAAAAAACTTTGAATACGTGTAAGTTATTATAATTATTATAACAATTAAGAACTAAGTGTATGGTCATTGATGTGGTCTGTTCAGAGAATTAAACAACGTATTATGTATTTTCCTTACTTTGTAGAAAGTCCTTGTTTCTTCATTTAAATAAGACCGATATTCCACAGTAGTGATGCATTTTAAGTGCGTAGTGTTCTTACTGCTACCTGTTTCACGGGTCAAGTAAAATCGCTTCAGCAGGCACGTATCTTGTAGTTGCAATCTAGTTCAGAAGTTTTCTAAACCCTAGCACGACCCAGTCAACAAGGCAAGAAGATGGCGGTCACGCGCCAGGTGTGCCCATCAGATATAGTAGCGAGTCCACAATGACAAACCGTAGAGAGGTGCCGGATCTCACAGTTGTAGCCCTGGCTCACTACATTAACAGCTTGTATGCAAAGTATTAAACAAAAACAAATTTACCCGATACTGATTTCGGTTTGGAAGGCTATAAAAACAATAAAAATGATTCATATTATTCGGTTTTTCACCCTTATGTCTCGTTTCATTTCGGCCTATTAAAAAGAAATATATGCCGAAAGAGGCGTCAGCTCTGACAGGGTGTGCAAAAATGTACTGAATTTGTACGGGGACTAACCTGACCTGTTCTTGAACACTCAATACTCACTGTGTCGAACAATTTTTTTTTTATATAGGTCTCCGCGCCAAGTACTTGAGTTTTATTTCATTTGGTTGGTAAATCGACAAAAAGCAGCGCATAAAATCCGACAGTGAGAAACAAATAAAATAATTGACGTTCTTGTATTAAATCTTGACATTATTTCCCATTTTCAGAAAAGAGGGGTTCATAAATAAGCGAAACAGACTAGAGGGATTGCGCGAGTTGCATTGCGCCTTGATCTAAATTAAAGAACGTATTGTCCGTGATCAATCTCACTTAGCGGAATTTCAGTGATCTTCTACGCTACAGTTCCATCAATGGAAGTGGCTGTTGGTCTCAGCTTGAAAGTTTTGTCCATAATACCTGACAATTCAGAGCAAGTTATGTTCTACTTAGTCCGTGAAAAGAGTATGGATCGTTGAAGTTGAGTTAAGTTTTACATGTTTGGAGTATCATTTAATCGTCTCAACTATTAGGCCTTCTTCGCCCGCCGATAGGCTTATGATGAACGCGTTTTTCGTGACTATGAAAGAAGTCTGAATGCCGGCAGATAAAACAGATTAGCACTGTATTGGTTGTCGTTAAGGAGCTTATGGGCTCATCCAACAGCTGATAAAATACGTCATCCAGTTGTACTGAGCCAATTTAACTAAGCTGGGCCGAGCTGTAGCCTCAGAAAAATGAAAATCCCACAGAGAAAAAAAAGGACCCCTTCTTAAAGAAAGCTTCCGTGTATCAAGTGATAACCAGAAACTCTGTTTGCAAAATTTGAGGCCGAAGAGTTTTGATGCATTACTAAGGTCTTGACCTGGTTTGACCACGAGACTAATCGTCAAAATTGAAACATGTGTGTGTGTGTGTGTGTTTGGGGGGGGGGGATGGGCAAGGGGAATGACGGGGATGCTTGTCGTCTCGCTTCGGGATGTAAATTGCAGATTTTGGTTTCACTTAGGGTGTTTCGGATGGAAAGTTACCATACTTGCCCATTCAGGTATCGCTTAGCACTGTACATAAAGAAATTTACAAACAATTTCCTGACACTGACCACACAGAAATCTCCATCATATCAGGGGTCAGTTTAAGCTTGAGCCAAACCCACATTGGTCTCCCTTAGGGGTTTAACTTGAATTTTCCGACGAGCAACCCCGTCACTTTTATATGGGAGATGGGAATCCCCCCCGGGGACAAATCATTTAGTGCAGCTGCTCCAAAGTTAAGTCAGTTATTAAATTTAACAGCCGAGACAGTGCGGTACCAAAAGCTAGAGAAGCCGGCATACCTCATCGAGAGAGAGAGGAAAACTCTTGAACCCTTAGGTATTAATAAGAGAGAGGAAATGTGAAATGTAATACATTCCTTATTCAGCAGGCTTCCATTTTTATTTATTTATTTATACCTTTTTTAAATTTCAAATTTCTTTCATATCACTACTTGAACGGTTCTTGTTTTCATATACTTTTAATATTCACTTTTTTCTTCTTTAAATTTTCCCGTGTTATTATTGTATCATTTTGCACGCTATTCTTTATTTCAAATTGTAACGTCTTAGCTTAACCTTATCATTGTATGTAAGACCCTGAAGAAAGATAACCTGAGATCAATAACATTCCGGCGGGCATGGAGAAACGAATTTTAGCGGTAGCCGTTTGAGAGAATGTATGAGAACCGTTCAAATTGGGCCTGATCTCAGGTTAGAAGAAAGAAGGCCGTCCTTCCTAAATATCAAAATCGGCCTTACTTCTTTTGTCCAAAGTTATGGAACGTCTTACCGGACTATATTACTGGACAGAGAAGAATTTCGATAATTTTCAGAAACTCCTGAAGACCTACTATTTTAGAGTAGCCTACAGTGCCTCTGTTTACGTTTTTAGAGGTTCTTTTGTTTTCTACTCTTATTTCCATTTTTTATCTCTTGCTCATTTTTAGTCATGCTAAATTACTGGCCCCGGTTGTTCAAACGTCGGATAGCGCTATCCACCGGATAAATCACTATCCATGCAGTGGATAGCGTAATTGATTTCCGTAACACTTATCCGCTGGATAGTGATTTATCCGGTGGATAGCGCTATCCAACGTTTGAACAACCGGGGCCTGGTGTAGCCATTGATAGTACGTATAACTTATGTTCTTTATATGTCTCATTTTCTGGATGTGCATTTGATCATATACCAGTGTGAAAATGCGCTTTAGAATTACTAAATATTATTATTATTATTATTATCATTATTGTTGTTATTAAAATAAAGTACGCTATAGCGGTTTGGTGTATCGTTCCAACATTTAACCGAGAAGAATTCGGAACTCTAGGAAACGAGTAACTGGTTTAGTCATGAACAAGTAAGCCGCCCAAAAGTCTACTTGATGCGGGAGCATAACTGTGTTTTAATATGAGATTTTAAGAAAAGAAAACAGAAACAGCTTATTTCACCGATAGACCACAGTGAATAAATTTTGAGGAAAACTGAGAGGCCACAAGACAACCAAAAAAAATCAAGCGGAAAGAAATTAATGGCTGAATTTCAATTTCATTTTTTATCTCCCTATTCTTTGACGTTTATCACTGATGATCACGATCTTAATCCTCCAAGAGTTTCAGGAATGGACCAAGTATTTTTTCAAACATTTTTTAAAACTGAAGTGCTTGTGAGAAAGGTTAACCAGTTTGGATTGACCGCAGAATCAGGCGCCGGCTGCTGCAGCATAATTTACCGAGAGTTATCACTCTGAGTAGATTAGGGATTCAGTACAATATGTGAGCCAGTAAATTACACCTGATTTACCAAATCGTGAGTTCATGATCTGGGGTCCAGAATATTAAAATTTCAAGATTTGACTTGCAAACATTGAAATTTTAATATCTGACATGCAGAATATTACAGATTCTGACCTGCAGAATACTGAAGATATGACATGCAGAATATTCCACTTTCAAGATCTGATATGCTATTTTTGTCCCCTTGTATGTTTCTTTGCAATGATCAGTGATACGGTGTAAGAAAATGATAAACCGGTCGTAAATTTATTTATGTTTGCTTTGATAAAGTTACCCATATACGCTATATCGGAATTCAGTTGAAATCTCCTTGAGTGAGGGATAAACGGGAATGGTACATATACATTGCAGCTCCTAAGAATGCATGACGCTTTCGTTAAGAGAGAACAGAAGAACAACAGAATTGCAATGCATGGACTTGCAGACACAAACTAGTTTAGCTATACTGAGTTGGCACAATTCAAAACACAGTTAATTAGATGTTGGTGCATGAATGTATGTCTCTTGCTCTTTGAAGCTTAAAACAAGGCTGAGACCAGACTCTCATTGGATAGTGCTTCTACTGTATTCTTAAGTCAAAGTCTCTTTCAAGCGTTTGTGAAGTGTAAACTATTCTATTCGTCATCATAAGCAAATGGGTGGCCTTAGTCTTGCTCAGGAAGATGTTTCGACCTTGTTCCCAGTCTCCTCTCCCGCTCGTCCCCCGGAGCCGGCGACGAGTAGGAGAAGATCTTTGGAACGAGGTGTGAGGATGTTTTTGACCCAGAGGACCACCCGCTGGGATTGCTCGTTTAGGTGGCTCGATACAGTTTTTCACGGTCAATACCTCCCAAGTTTGAAACTAAATAAACTACGTCGCCATAAACAAAGATTTGAAAAAATTGCCACCACAGTTGTATTAGATAAAGATGAAACTACTATGAGGTGAAATTGTATGTCAAAAGCGCTTTGTCTCTTACAGATAACAGTCGAACATCAAGATTGTCCATATTTTACCGTATTTGTAACCATAAAAACTTCTTCCCAAAGTATCTCGATAACGCTCTTACAGATTTCGCTTAAACTTCACGAACGTCGAGGCGGCTATTGGAGGAAAAAGCCCCCGTGAAAGATTTTGATAGAACAGTTCCTAGTGCCGAGAAATACTGCTGCAAGTAAAGTAGGTAATGGTGTCATTTCGTTGCTATGACAACTCCGATGTCATTGCAACCCTGATCATAACAAATTTCCATCTTTATCTTATACAACTGTGGTGCCAATTTTTCCATATCTTTGTTTATGGCGACGTAGTTTATGCTCAAACGTGGGAGGTATTGACCCTGAAAAATTGTATCGAGCCACCTTAAACAACCATCGAAGAAGCAAAAGATTTCATTGGGATCGGAGTCTGGTTAAAAAGTCCCACTGGAATAAATTTCCGCCCTTTTTGTCCATAACCTAGCGGCAAAGATTTCATTCAATTAAAAATGCCTCAATTGGGTCTGAGTAATTGCTTCAGGTTTGGTTTGGTTTGAGAATTTTTGGATCATTTCTCGAATACTTTCAATCATTAAAATTAGGGAGGTATTTGAAATTATGGAAACTGCATGGGAAAATATTGGATTTGGGGGCTGTTGAAATTGAAAATATGAAGGGAATAATTAGCAGACAAATAACAGATAGTCCACTGCCACTACAAGGTGCCCCCGTCTTAGCTCATTAGCGGAACAACTGCATGCCGAGTGGATATCCTTTTCTAACCATATTTATATTTTACCCCCAAGAAGCAACCTGTAAGGATCAGGGTTTAAACCAAACATATCTGTTTAAGTTGGGGCTGACTGGAAAAGAAGCTACGCCGATTTTTTAAAATTTTTTTGCCCTTTTATATTCTTACATTGTGGAATGACCTACAATTTTTTCAACTTGACAAGAGTTTGCCAGGTTTCTTTGTTGTTTGTTATATCGGGTCGGCATGGAAACTAACATATCTAACCTGCTGAACAAGCACTTAGCCTACGTGATGGCGGCAACTTTATTTTTCTTGTGTTTTCAGCTTTTGTTTTTCTCGTAGTATATTTGTCTGTGGGTGAGAGTGAACACAAATGGCATCCTTAATTGACTTCCGTTGACCATTATTAGCTCTATTTTCAATCTGGCCGTACCTCCGGAAGCTAAGGACTAGTTGAGTTGTTTGGCTGGAAAAAGGATACACGAGGTAAATAATCGGTAATCTTGTAAAAAAAAAATGTAAGAAAAAAAAAGACGTTCTTGTCGTGTAAACGAAAGTAAGACGCCTCCGCATAAATAAATAACAGCGATTCAATTTGTAGTTGCTTTTCTTCCGTTCAGTAGATCATTTTGGTATTCAATCTACACACTCTTCGTTGTCAGTATCAAAGCCATGCCAGTCAGTCGTATTCGCATGAAGGTTCGAGCTTTGCTAACAGTACAAGCTTAAACAATTTCACATCAGTTTTACGCATCAGTTTCTCTGTACCCGAAGGACCACTGTAGGATCTTCATTGGTGTACCTTTTGTTTAAGGTTCCACGCCTCCTTGCCTATAATTATTCTATGTATGTATATATTGAACTGATTTCAAAGCAGCACTCTTAACACGGTTTGCTTTGAAATAAATCAATAAAAGCGGGGTAGTCAAAGGCCCTAGCTACTAATGAGTTCACTTGGGAGTCATGTTGTTCAGAATAAATACTCTAGCTTGCAAATTTTATTTTTTGGCAAGCCTTCTTCGGCTTGCTTTCGTTTTTGGCAAAGCCCTGAACTTCATTCCACTTTGTACAAAGTTACTGCAAAAAGTGTTTCTGAAATGGTCAAAGTGTCGAGTGCAACCGGAGGATTTCTGGCCCACCATGTTCAGTTCTGAAATGGAAAACGCTCTTAAGTATGTGCTGTGGAGAAATATGACAAAGAGAGTGCGCCCGGGTGGACTAGCCATTAATGTACCTTTAGTCGGTCTTGATGGTAAAAACAAAATGTTGCTGGACTTTCAAAAAGTTGGAAGACCTTTGGTTGTTAACTTTGGCTCTTGCACCTGACCCGAATTTATGGCGGACCTGCAGAAATTTAGCAGAATTTGCCGGGTTTTTCAACAAGAGGTTGACTTTCTTCTTTTATACATCGAGGAAGCACACCCTACGGATGGATGGGCGTTTGAGGTGAGACCACTTTTTGGTACATAAAAGTAAGCGGATCATATCAGGGCCATTATTGTGTGGAGTGATCTGTAGAAACAAAATTGGACAGCTGCAGAACTAATGTCTGATATACGAAGTGTTTCCTTGTGCGGCCATAAAAAGCTCTAATAATGTTAGGTAGGGTATGAAGGGAGCCTTTGCAAACCAAGAAAACTAGTTCACGAAGGGAATTAACTTGCAACCTCTTTTTCAGTATTTCATAACTTACACTTTTGATTACGTTTATACAACTTAAATTAATCTTAGTTCCCTTTATACGTTACACATTGTAAGATGATGAAGATTTTTATCCAGTGCTACATACTGCAAAATAAAAGGGACAAGTATCATTTTGCTTTCAACGGCCCGAAAGGCAAATATGTTTTCAGTAAATTGTAAGGAAGAGCTATGTTACAGACTATCTTATTACGTAATACAGCCTATGCACATAAAAAGAACTTTATTTTGTCCAGGATAAATGAATGACATTGTCACTTCCCCTCAGGTTTCTCAACTAAAACATAATCGTATCTTAGAGCCCGGCGTCCGTAAAAGGTGCCCAGTGCCGGTAAATAAAGTTCCGCGTTTATGCGCCGACCGACGTCTCATTTTGCAACCACACATTCTGTTTTTATGATTTGTCCTGTAAATTCTGGCGTAACAAAAACAACAACAAAAAGTTGACTCCTGGACGTGCGGCAAAACAGCGTTATCAGCCAGTCAGTCAGTAAAAAATAGCAGTCAGATAATGTACTTTCATCAAATTCATTACTGGTATGTCTACCTTTGTCTTTTTCATGTACTTTTCATGATTCATGTATCCATCAATTTTGTAATGAACACCTTTTAATTGGCTGCATCAATTATCCTCACGAAAGTATATCTCATCTCTACATACAATGTTTTAATCTAAAACGTTCACCAGGAGGAGCACCATAACCCATTTAATCCTTTAAGCCCTAGTTTGATGAGGTTTCAGTACAAACGCAGCTTTCGAGATGGATCCTTACATCTTGAACTATGACAAACGAGACCCAAGTGCAATACATATTTTTTTCTCATGGGAGAAAAAGAACAAAACATGCGTGATTAGTAAAAAAGGTGAACAATTCCTTGTGTTGATTTTTACTGGACTAGAAAGAACAAAAATATTTTATGTTTATTGGCTACCAAGTAGTTATTGTTTTTTTAGAACAACTACAACATACCACAACATCGTACCACCCAAGAGAGATGCCAGGCTGCCAAGTTACTGCAGGCTCAGTGCCCTGCTGTTGAGGTTCAAGTGGCAGTCGATACGATGTGGAATACTGCTAATGCTGTTTATGGTGCCATACCAGAAAGACTTTACATCATCAAGGACAGTACAGTTTTGTATCAGGGAGGAGTGGGACCGTTTAGATATGATCTCAGTGAAATGCAGAGTTGCCTAAGTCATATGATTACAGGCGGGGACCGACATTAAAGTTAAGTAGCTTATAAATGGATGTTATGTTATAGCAGGTTTGCCTGCTTAAACAACGATCAATAGTGTAAAAGTTATTTTTTTTTTCTGACGTTCGCCAATCATTGTAAATGTTAAAAATATGGCACTTTTTCCTTCTCAAGTAAAAACTTCAAGCCTTATCTACCATAGCAAGTTTACCTTGGCAAGTTTTAGTGACATCGATGCTAGTGGACAAAGAGAGACGCAGAGTATAAGTGAGGACTACCCTGCATATTTGGCGGATTTTTGAAGGATGGGGGGTGCGGTAAAGCACATGTTTTAAGGATTTTTTTAAGGTTTTACTGATGATAGTTTACACTTTAATTCCAGAAGGAGCAGTGCAGACTTGAATGTTTTTGAAACACTTAATTGATTTTTTTTAAACATGTGTTTTAAGTGAGGTTTAAAAGAAGAGGACCGTAATGCTAGTATTGGGATCAGTATTTCGTTTATCTGTCAAATAGCACTGTTATAATGGTTACCAAAAATTGCACATGTTGTAGAAACAAAGATGAAGAAGATCTTGATAATACAAAATCATACCAGACCACAAACTGATCAGAATTGAGTACTTGCGTGAAAAAATATGTAAGCAGGCAGACGACCAAACTATTAGCCATTAAAGAAACTTTGCCCGCTGTCTTTATGTCCTTTTTACCAGTCATTGCTGATTTTCTTGACCAGGTAATTTGGAATGAACAATACCAATCGCCATCGAATATACGAGTTACATGTACGGGGAAATCAAGAGGTATCACTCAGAAACGTAATTAGGGAGAGGTCAGATGAAGCTTGTCGGAGAAATTTCAAGCCACCACCCGGCTAAACACATTCTGATCCGAACTTGTCAAATAATCCCAACAAGTTGTCCTTCACGTGGCTGGCCGGAATGACCACGTCAAATGCCCACCCCTTGTCCTGTGAGAGAAGTATTGCAGCATATAAACAGTCACGAAATTGATCGCATATTTGCCGGAGCAGAATTGAAACGGCCTATCAAAGCGACAGAAGTAACCGCAGGTTCGACATAACTGAGCTGTTCAAGTTATCAGTATTTCGACTAAGACTTTGTTCACATAGCCTTCAGTTGGGACTTACGGATTTTCCAGATCTCGGTGCCGGAGAATGACTTAAGTTGTTGATCAGTACAAACTATACCTTCGTGGCTTAATATGGCCATAAAACGTAAATACTGCGGCGTCCGGTTTTTGACCACGCCTATTCTTGTATTGCAGAGCTTTCCATATTATGAAATAACAGCGGGCTTGTGTAGACTTCTCTCTATGAACAAATGACTGAATTAACCGAATAAATGATCTTACCAGCGGTGTATGTGTTTGAAAAACACAGTGACTGGTCTCTTTAAGCAACCCATTTATCTTCAGATTTTCTGATTTTTGATTTAAATATCCAAAATGATTCAGTAACGAGTCAATAACACTGGATTTCCTACAACAAGATGCGAAATGTGATTGAGAATATTCCCGACCTTTGACACATGCTTTTATTAAGTCGTGGCTTAATGACAATAACCTAAACATGTTTTTAAATTCTCTTTTTTTCTAAAAGAACTCGAACCGAGATAAAGTGTTCAACTCAATGTGATTCTTTTTCATCCAATTCCTCCTTCTTTTTCCTACTCCGTGTGTTCTTACAATGTTTCGTTTCAACATTGCCTCACATTTTCGTCATGTGCAACTTATTTGAGGAGGTCAGTGGCAGATCAAACCCTCACGGGGTAATCAGGCTCCGTTTGAAGTCATCTTAGTGTAAAAAATAACTCAGTATGGGGTGTAAAATCGTTGGTCTAAAGAGCGATTCAAAAACTATAATGACGTCCATTTTGAAAGTTCATTTTAAAATGTTGTTTCCGAATATATCGTTTCCTGTAAGGCGCCTTCTGAAAGCGTCATTTCAGTCACGCTCCTAGGTAGTCTAAAGAGAAGGGCCCTGGTGATGATGTTGTGTAGTCAAGAAACAACACAGAAATGACAATTCAAAAGGGAATGATCTTTAATGGACGTAACTAGTCATTTTTTTATTGCTAGCGATTTTTAATTCCTATACGTACGAAGACTGAATTAACTGCAAACATCGTGGACGAGGATCCTGCTGGATGTCAACGTTGGATCTCTAGAAAAGAGATCTAATAAGTTAAAATATTAAAAACCAAAAACGAGAAGTCCAAGGACTACTGCAAAGCTTATCATAACAAAGTGTATTGCTTTTTCATACAATATTTCGGCTGGCCATACCAGCCATCTTCAGGTTTACATATGTTACTGAAAGTTAAAGAAGGCTGGTATGGCCAGCCAAAGTATTGTTATGAAAAAGCAATACACGTTGTTATGATAAGCTTTGCAGTAGTCCTTGGACTTCTCGTTTTTTTGTTCCCGTACAAAAGTCCTGTCTGCTCCGTGATCAACCCTTTAGGTTCGCCGTCTGACCGAAATCCGATGTGGGCCTCAGTTTTGGTCTAAAATTGGGGGGTGGGGGGAGGGGCTAGATCTGCTCTATTTATTCCTGAAACTGGAACATCAGGAAGGCCAATGTTTTCCCCAGAAAAAGACTAATGTTCGAAGACTAACTGCAAAGGACCGCAAACGAATAAACCAAGTGAACCTAAATCTGCAAAGTTGATCGTACTACGTAAAACTGATTAATTTAGCAAGACAAAAACACGGTTTGTGTGGCTGATGACAGCTGTCCGAGACAGCTGTTTCGCTATTATGTTATTGTGGCTCATCAAAGCGTTAACTGCGCCACAAATAACAAAACACTCGCGCACTAAAACCCGTCGAATCAGGACGTTCATATATTACGTTTGACCCAGGCACTCATCGTTCCCAGTGTTCATTAGTCTCCCCTGGGGACGGTGGAGGGGGACGGAAGGGGTTATTCTTGAGCGGAAAAGAAATGATGCGCATAATCCAATATGGCGGAAGTGTGTTGTGAACTCCCATGACCAATAAGGAGCGGTTTGATACTTTAAACGAGCTAGAAATGACCTGAAATATTCACCAGCATAACGCTGTATTTGAGACTTTTATTCATGAGAGATAATTCAGCCAATGTCGTTAAAGGTAGGTGTGTAAACAAAGTATAATTACAATGTTCTTAGACATTCATTCGAACGTCTGTGCTACAGCACGAACCTGGATTTCTTCAAAGGTAATATTATACATAGCATTGCAGGTTGTATGAATATTATAATTCCTAAATTCAAGCTAATTCTGTACGCGTGCCAATTTGAAAATGAAAAAATTCCCTCTTGGTAAGGACCAATTATCCAGCTATTGTAAATAAGCTGTTATTTCTCGTGCCCTGCTATGCTTTGTTGATTGCTCATTTGGTCACAGTTGGAAAACGCTAGTAATATATTATCTTTTGAAAATTTTCTTTTGTATTCACTTGTTAGAAACCTAAAGGTGTTTGACTTTCTCAAAATCATTCACAAATTATGTAAGCTTAAAAGCTTTCGTAAGCACGGGATTAGGCGTATCATTCAATTGAAGGCATGCCAACTTTTTATTTAAATAACGCGCTCAGGCATTTTTTTCCCAAGCGTAGCAGCACTGCTGGCTTTCCTTCGCCGTGAAAATATTTTGTCTAAGGGGATTATATTTATTTATCTATCAGTCCTCACTCAGCCTAACCCTGAAATGGCAACAAATGCTTTAAACCAACTTAATAATAACAGGATCAAAAGTCAAGCTTTGGTTACTTTTCGTTTATACGTTTAAGCAAAGCATGTAGACATTGGATAATGATGTTGATACTGTCAAATTAAGAAATCCGTGAAATCTTGATTTTGGGAATGTTTGTTGTGTCGTTATGAATTTATCAGCAGTTATCCTGGTCGAGGGGGGGGAGGAGGGAGGTGACCCAAGGGAACCCCTGGTCATTTGCACAACGTTTGTTTAACAAAAAGCTACTAATGCCCCTCTCTTGGGGGTAAAGAAGTGTGCCCTGCCAAGTCAAAAGGTGCAATATTTCAAAAGAGTTCTGTTTGCCATAATTAATTTCCTATTTGCTACGATTTTTTATATACATATAAGAGTTAATTAAATTAAGCAAAGAAAGCTATTCCACCTGTTTTCTGCACATGATGAGGTTCAACTTACCTTGTAAGTCATGGAATGGGAAAGGAGAAAATATTTATGTTTCCTGGTAATGAAGAACTAGGATTCCTTGAACATATGTTGAAATGCTTTATATTATAAATATTTATAGATATTTACAAATCCCGTGGGTCTTCTCCTGGGGAGGTGTGAGACATCTGGTTGCTTTGAAAGCCTGTAGTGAGGAGGCCTTCCGAGGGGTGGAAGTGACAGGTGACATGACCCCAAAAACTGACAACAATCTTCTCAGAAAGCATAGGACAATGAACAGAAAAGGAGGCAATAATTCTGACAATGGCAATCTATTTTTTAACTAGTGAAAACGACATCTGATGTCTGCAGTGAAACAACAATTTCTCTTCCATTATTTCCTAACATTTTCTGTTATTTTCTTTGAATCGTTTTTTAATGTTGGTATTTAATATTAAAGACCAGTCCCTCCAGCGAGAACGGTTAATAACAGTTAATTCGTTCCAGCTGCTATTTATTCAGCTGTAAGTTCCAAAATTGAGTATCACAAAAAATTATGCTGAATGGACAGCAACATTTTCTTCCTAGCTAAAATGCAACAGCAACATTTTTCCTAACCTACAAGGCATCAGGCAGTCTCAGAAATGACCGACTAAGTGACAGCATCATAACCCCCCCCCCCAACTGGACTGCCTCTTTAGTCTTTTGTATAGAAAGTACTGATTTTGCCTACCAGTACTTCCATTTTGTGGATTCCTTTCACATAGAGTCTTTGGGCTGGCTCGGGTAGTACAGCAATATTATTGTTTATACGGACAGTATATCTTCTAATTTTAAATGGGGTCTTCTAACTTTGCCATAGGAGTAGCCTTACATCTCATCGAGGCTCAGGGTGCAAAGAAAATCATTTTTACAGCTTGCCATTTGGGAAAGCTGAAGCTAGCATTTACTAGCCTGGACGTCATTTCAACTACTGTAGCTCCAAAAGCTTTTTGATGAGCAGAATTGATTTCACAGTTCTTCTCTTATTCGAATTCCTCAAAAAACATCGCTTGCCCGTCGGGCAAGTTAAAAACAGAATTCAGTAGCCTGATAGCAAAATCCATTAGCCCCGGGCTATTGTGTAGTTCCAGAAAATATCCATACCCCCCCCACGGAGGGTTGTTTACAGTTTGAGCCCCCACCCCCCCGGATTTTCCGTTCCAGAGGGCTTCAGGTTGCTCCCCCCTACCCCCTGGAATTTCCATGATTTTTTCACTTGGTCGCCCCTACCCCTAGGAAATTCCAAATCCACAAATAAAAAGACTTCATTGATTTATTTTGGTCTACTTAGTGCCGAAATAAAATTTAGCCGCAGCCAATTATAGTTACAATTCAGATGAAGACGTAAAGCGGCATAATTTTCACGTAAGCGATTTGGCCATACCACACTTGCTATTTCATGGAACATTATTTATGGAGATATTCGCTAGGTAAGGTACAAAATTGCTGGAGGAGGCTATGAGATTTAATTTTCTTAAAAATGACCGTGGAAAATTCTAGACGTATGAATAGACGCGCCTCTCGCTTCCTCTATTTGGAAATGTTCAAACTCTAACAACTGAGCTTATTAACACTATAGTTCTGGCAGCTGACCTTTCGTCTGCTTAATTGACAGAAGATTTCATTCAAAAAATATCTAAGAAAGTACTGAAAGTTGACGGTATCATCAACGTTTTGTAACCTAGTCGAAGTTTGTAATTTATGCATAGACGAAACAACGTATCGAATTACTTTAAACATCATTCTTGTTTTTGCTGTCGAAGCAAAACTCAGGAATTGACTCGATGCTAATCTCCATGATATTTTTTGTACTTTGCAGGTGTAATTTTATCTACATGTAGTATAATGTGCGAACAGTACTGCTAACAAATGTTGTTTTCCTGTGTGGAGCCGTGAAGTGACTTCGCTTATCAGCGGGAATCATAATCCGTCACGCAACATGTTTTTTAAAAACTTAAGTTCGTCTTTCAACAGGAATACTTCAATAAAGTTGTACGCTTTATCTCTGTAGTTTGTAAATGATAGTAAATTTCACGCCTTACAGTTTTTTTAACTTTTTTTAATTTCATGTGTAAAACGTACTTTTCAAGTTCATTCCGGTAACTAAACAACGAAATGAAATCTTCGCCGTCTCTCATCGCTGTTCACGGTTACAAAAAAATTATGCTTAAAACAAATGGCATCGTATCGACTTTGCTAACGTTTCCAAACTCGTAACTACACAGAAAACGATAAAACTATGCGATAATCTAGTTATTGAAGCTTTGAAATTCGCGGGAAATTTCTAGTCAGCCATTTTGTTTGACTCGACGTCGAACGTGCTCAGAGGTGTGCCTCGGAGCTGTACGTGTCATCTGGCGCCGGGATAATAATAGAAAATATATGACAAGGAATCCTACGTCTATTTCCACGGATAGAACTTTTGGTTTTTCTTGGCTACCCCGAATCAATTGGAAAAATACGTAAGTGTTCATTCGATCGCATTTCAAACCCTCTGGAAAGAAAAACTCTTTATGTACCCCCCTCCCCTTCAGAAATTTGTCTCTTTTAGACCCCCCTACCCCTAGGAAATTCCGTGACCCTCCGTGGGGGGGGTATGGATATTTTCTGGAACTACACATTGAACACTAGTTTCTTTGCAGGTTGAGGCTAAAATATACTTTGTTTTTGTTCCATATTGCTTCTGGTTTCTTACGGGAAAAGGGAAAAGTTTCACTTAAAGCCCTTGTAATGTTAGCCCTGTGTAACTGAAAAAATACATGTAGTGAAATTCAAAGATTAAAATGTATAAACAGACTTACAAAGATGGATGGATGACTTGTTGATCTTAGGAAGAAGAGAATGATTGGGACTGGCGATCCTTGTGCCAGGACTTCTTGTTTGATTCTCAAGTTCCACATCTAGAAAATCTCTTAAAAACTCACTATGAAGGAGATGTAAAGAATTTTATTCAACAATATCTGGAACCTGTTTTAGCAGTCCTAAAGGACATCAAACTATCAGCTGAGGTATGTTTTACATGTCATGTATAAAGAAGATTTTTTCTGGGTAGAAGGTTGACCGTCCCAGCCGAGTCAACTTAAGTAAGTGTTTATATGAGAAAATGGTTGACGCCTTTGCCCTGTTCAACATTGCTCATGCATGCTCTGATTGTCTAAAACCAAAGTGTTTATATGGAGAAAAGTTGGCCTGGATAGGAGGATGACCTTGCCATCACAAAAGGGTGACACGGCTGGACAAGTCACCCTTCTAACCAAGACAACTTTTTGTTTCTCGTGTAAATGATTTTTCACATTTTGTAAGGAAATATATGAAAAGATGGATCACCCAGGGTAGGTTGGGTGGGTGAGTAACCCTTCAGCCAAGGACAAAAATCCTCCATATCATTTTCTCCATAATGATTGGAAAACATTATGCATGAATAGATCTTGAACCTTGACCTTTGTGCACCAAAAGTAACACAATATTGTCAATGTTCAAATACTGTTCTTTTATTCACGATTCTCTGTCATCTATTCATTACTGGGTTATTTCATTCATTTGTAGTTCACTTTATACAATATTTTCCTATGCATTCATATTCAGTTAATTAAGACAATTTTCTTAAGTAGTTGTCTTTATTTTAAAGAAAACAAACAAGGCTCCTAATCTTTGACTGTTATATTTCAGACTTTTTTCTCTGGTAATGGAAAGGTAGATGATGCCTGGATTCCTTACTACAAGAAATTTGTTGGTAGTATCATTCATTTAACAAGAATAGACCGCAGGCTTCATAAAGGTGACTTCTACATAAGCACCAGTTTTGCTGTTCCTGGCCATCTCATTGTCAAATATCATGATGCAGGAAATGTTCGGTCATTTCCTTTGGAGGCTGAAGATTTTCCTGAAATGTGGAAAACAGACTGGACCAACAAAATGAGAATGGAGATGCAAGGTCGGTTTTTGTTTCTCAACTGTGTTGTTAACACCAAGAGAGGGTTAGAGAGAAGGCCTTGGAGGTACCTAATGTCAGAATCTGGAAATGTTAGTGTGAAGCAGTTTAAGGGTGAGTCATCTTCTGAGCTGCTGTTTTAATGTAGAATTTTGCATCGGTCATTGTATCATAGTCTCTTTAACTAAAACCAGGGCTTCAAAGCTATGACAGGAATCAATAATGCGAAAAGATCAGTACAGCATGTGGTATTTCTAAAAAGAAAATGGCTTTAGGGGTGCACTTTTAAGGAACTAACGTTGCTGGAGAGGGAGAGCTTGGCTGCTGCTCCCTGTATATTATTATTTACAGTAGAAATTTTAAGTATTTCCTAATAATTTATCATATATTACCCTCTCAGAATAATAAAATCTTAAGTAGCTGAGTTGTATAAAGGATTCAGCACTGTTTTGGTGGCTACTTTCTCAAGGAGACACTGACAACACGGCTTTAAAATTTAGGAGAAGAAAGTTATTACCCTCGTCTGTTTGGTCATTAAGGAGACATCTCAGACCTTGGCCTTGATGTATTGACCTCGCTATCGGTTGGTCAATTCATCAAGCCCAGCGTCTGTTTGAGATTCCCCGGTAATGACCTTACTCTCGGTTAATAAGTGGTATGTAATGCTAATAATATCTGACAAAGAATTAAAGGTTTTCATTTGATCAGGGACAATTTAGAAACACAATGATTCAGACTACATCATTTTTTTATTGTAAGTTATTGTCTGTCATATTGGATTGCAAAATAATTTATGAACACACAATAAATGCAAATATAGGACTGGGAAAGAAATGTTTTCTGTGCACATTAATTGACAGTGGTGGTGGGGTGGGGGGTCGTTTGGATGCTGTTTACTTTGGAGGAACCTCTTTGTTAATGAAGAAAACCCTGAGTAGTTCCCCAGAGACCTCAAAACATTCATGATTTACTAAATTACATGAATTTATGCCTAAAATTTACCGATCTTGAGAGTGAAATTCCTTATCTGAAAAGTATGTGAAAAAAATCCTCCAAAGCAAGTTCATAAGTCACTGGTTGAAAAATTTGTACAAATTATTGCAAATTATTGCAAATTGAAAAATGAAGGTAGGTTTGAAATTATCTTATATTAATAAAGAACTTTAAAGAGTTGCAGACAGCAACCAAAAGCACTCTTCCTGTAACTTGCTACCCACTGTAACAGTGCATTACAAGAATCTACCTACAGATGACATACTTTTTCCTTCTTTGTAAGTCATCTACTCTTGTCATTTTCTTATCTCAGGGGCATCTCCTTGAAAAATCTTTCTTCCATAAACAGCAACTTAATGAACACTTCTTATATGGCACTATTTATTTTATTTGGACTACAGCTGTTTGTGTCAAGAAAAGATCATCAATCTAAGTGCCTCTTATATTGAAAACATTTTGAATTTTCAAAGCCAAGTACTTCTAGTGTTTCTGTATCACATGTTGTTTAGGAATCTTATTTACATAAGTATTCTTCTGTTTCCTTTTGTTTTTACTATTACTTTACTCATATCTATTGTCATATTAGTTTTTTAAGTATTAAACTCTTTATTTTAATTTGAAGATCAAGTGCACAAGTTTACTAGTTCCAGTTGTTTATATGTCTGTCAAAGAAAGACTAGCAATATATGCAAGGATATTCATCGTGATAATAATAGTTGTTATTCTTCATTTACATTTCTGTATCCATAGTAATTGAGGAGGAGAGCCTAGAGAAAAATGTAATGAAAGTAAACCGACAGTCTTTGTTTATGGAAAAGCCACTGAGTGCTTTTGATGTCAACTTTGAGCTTCTTCACAGTGGTGTGGCTTCTCTACCAGGTATAATTGACTTATATGTACATATTATTCATCAACTGTACTTTATCGCAGCTATTTATAAGGACGATGCTTTATAGTCATTCAAGGGATGTTTTTAGTTCTGGCTGTTTTTTTTCCTTACTGTGCGGAGCAAAAATGTGTGCAAAAACTCGGCTGTCTGTAAGTAATGTTTTGACCTGTGATGCCACTTACACTGTATGTATTTTGTAAAGTAAATGTGACCTTTATCTATTGTATGTAAATTCCAGCACGTGCTTTCTCTTGTGGAACTGATTCTTTAAGTATGATTTGTAGTTTCTATAACTTCCATAATATTTCCAGTTTTGTTGCATTTTTTAATTTTGCTATTTCATTTACTGGTGGCAAAGACAAAACTTGAGATGTCTCCGTTAATTCAAGTATCAAAATGGGTGCTAAAAACAAGTGCAATATCACTTGTGTTTGTAATATCATACTATATGGATACTAATATAGGTGCTAATTGGACTCATTGGTTAGTTTAAGTACGGTAACTACTTTGTGATTCGCAGTCAGGAAATATTGTGTTTTTGTTGTCCTTTTTGTTTGGCTCTATTTCCATGGTTTCCTCACCAAACAAATTATCAATAATTACATCAATAATACTGTGAGGCACAATGGGTATCATTTCTTAACTTTAAATAAACTAAGATGCATTCAACTCAAAAACATCAATATTTCCATTGCAACTTGCTGATTCATTTTGTTATAAATAGTGTTGAGCTATTTAATTTGACAAGGAAGTTTAGCATTGATGAAAAAGTGAATTTTAATTCAGGTATCAGCCGTATTATAAAGGCTGACACGTGCTGGTTATTTTCACATTGTATGTCTTAGATGTATAATTTAACTTTTTATCTCTAAAACATTTCATCAATAATGTATTATGGATATTCAAGGTTTAGTTTGCTAAGTGATGTTTCTTAAGGTCAACAAATCTTTACTTTTTTTACCCTGAGTATTTTAAGTGAAGGAATGCCAACCACTCACAAACGTGCTATAGATGACAGCTTATTTAAGTGGCGTGACAATAACACACTCGGTCTACTTGAGCTGTCAATCGAAGGATTTCAACTTAATTCTTTAAAAAGCATAAAGCACGTTTGTACTTTCAATTCTTGGCATAGGATGACTGTAAGAATTAATTTTGGAAGTTGGGAGAGAAATTTCCAATTTTAAATTGAAATGCACAGAATACGTCTTAAAACTACCTAACGAACGGGTGGTACACTCTGTTAAGAGGTTAGCTCTCAAAAAATATTATCTTTTTCTGTTTCTACTTAAAATGAATAAGGCTCGCAGCTTCGCGATATAACAGGGCCCGCGGAGCAGTTTTTGAAGCACGGGGGCCGGTGACCACTTCTTTAGAAGTGGGGTGGGGTGGAGGGGGAGGGGGGGAAATTTGGCTGTTCTCTTTTTGTGGCTGTTTAGTACAGTCAGATTACCGAACCTTTCTTGAGTCATTGTTGAGCGGAGTCATGAAAAGTACCTTTCTCCTGCTGAGCCTGATTGCACATGCAGGATCCACCAGTAGAAGTTTGCTGATCATGATATTACACTGTAGGTTCCTGTAACCCCTTCGTTTTGTCTAGTACGTCATCGAAATGCGTCAGAGACCATACCATTAGCCGATATAATTCGTTTTAAGAAACCGTAGTTCCGTGGAGTAGTCTTCAGATTTAAAAGAGAACCTTCGTAAAAAAGACTCCGTTCCGCATTGTTGCATATCCCCCCAGCCCCTCCCCCTGCGCGGATCCTGTATAAATGTTTCTGTGTCATTGTGAGTGAACATCCATCTTTTGATTAAGACAAAAGGCTAAATTACCTTTCAAACAATTAACCTATCTGGTGATTCGCTTGAAGGTGCATGAGATCAGATGCAGAAATATCTGATCTTGTTTTTATGCAGCTTCAAAAAAACACTGCAGCAGTAATTACGCACCTGGCCAGAACTCATTAACGTTTTCAAAGGATATATTCTAATTGCACGGAAGAACTTTACCGCATTAAGCTCAGACGGGACAGCAGAGACGTGCACAGTTAAAGCTGCAGTTTTAAAGGTATTTACCGTTAACTGCATGAACGCAGTAGAGGGTTTCTCTTGGTGTACACTTTCATTCTTCAGGAAAAACTGCCTTTTCGTTAACAAAAACTTTTTTGGTCTTCAGTTTTATGCAGAAGCGTTTTTGAAAACAGTCCTCTGTTCAGTACGCTACGACTCCCAAGAATAGCGTGTGTTCAAGATTAATTTTTGGGTTTCCTGAAATTTGTTGGCTTAGGACGCAGAAGAGATTGCGATTTTACTAGAACGTTGAAGTTGTAGATTGACAATTTTATACCAAGAGTCTACAGTGTGAAGCATTAGTAAAAGCACCGTGTAATTAAGCAGAAAATAATTTCAATGTGATGGTTATCACTGTTCACTATGACGATAGCAATGACGTCAGATGGACATTAATCAAACGTATTGCAAACAATTCGTTTTGTCAAATAACATTTCCTATCTTACTCATGTATATGGCTGACGTTTTTGAAGGAACAGTTTCTGTTACCTAATTAACTTTTTAATTGTAATAATAATACAGTATTTTCATCAACTGAAGACAGGTGCAGGCGGATGGCTGCTAAGGAAGGGAGGGAGGGCATGATACTTTTATAGTAGTAGGATCACCCTTGTAGCAAGTTTATGTATTTTGAGAGGGGAGGGGAGTGGTGGCGTTTTTAACGTTTTTATATCAAGGAGTCTCTCCTTCCCAGTCTCTGGAGTTTCTAGATCCGAAAGCAAAGTTGTAAGTTTTGTCTTTTGTAGTCGAGCGTATCCTGTGTCTTAGTTGGCGAACTGTTCCCTGTCAGTCGTGATATTTGGTTTCTTAATCTACCGCATGAAAGGAAGTAGAACGTTGCAGTAAATGAAAAGTGTGAACTAAAAACAATATCTATTTGGTAAGGAGGTCCGGCTCTGATCAGGTCAGTAATTAAAGAAGGTAAATCTAGGAAACGGCACCTAATAGGAACTGCGGAAAACGTTATACTATGTAAGTCTTCCAGCCGGGAAAATGCACTGTTTTTACTCAAAGTTATTCTGTTACTAAGAGAAGATCAGACCTTCAGCTCTATCCAACTACTCTAGAATGACTGTATATTAGAACTTTATCATCTTAGAAAAACTGAACACACGAGCACACTCACGTTGGAAATACATGCGACCAACATTGGGGTTAAACAGCCGGGCGATCGACCTTTAACCGTCACCAACTCTCAAGTAACCTCACGCGACCAAAATAATCTCCCTTGCGAATTACAAATTGCGGCATTCACATTTAAACACTTTTATTAAACTTAAGAGGAAAGGATACGACCAAATGTTGGTCAAAAAAGCTTAACTGACCAGTTGAACACATAAAGATACAAAAAGGCCGTTGGAGCGCTTTGCTTATTTCACGTGGGGTACGCACCACCATTTTCGAGGTTCTGTCCGCACACGACCTTACTCACGAGACAAACAAACTTCCGACGGGTCAAGACTGAAAACAACAATACCGTGAGCCTGTCCCACTACAAACCCAACAACTAAAATGATGCATGGCTAATGAGTAATAGTAGACAATGAAAGAAAGGATGAAAAAGCGACTTTCCGCCAGTGTAGCAGAGTGGGAGGAAAGAGTAATGCCGCATCCAGATCTCGCGTTCAACTTATACCAATTCTGCAGCCCTAATATTTTTCTATTTGTTACTGATGTGATGTGTCTACGGCGCAAATTTAGAGGTTAGCAAGACTAAGACTGACTACCAGGACGCGGCCGAGGAGGTGCTAATCAAGCCGCCTTTCAGTCTTCGAAATAATTCACTTTTGTAGAGGCTTAAAACCGAGGTCCAAGACGCCCCTAGACATTACATTCAAAGGAGATTTGGTGCGGAAATTTTAACAGTCAGAATAGTGGTGGATACACTAAACACCACATTTATCTTCATGTATCCACACGCATCCAAAGAAATGTAGGGTTGTTTCCAACGTTGCCACGAAAATCGATCAAACTCTCTGAGGCACTTGCACAACTAAGCTTTGGGTATCTATTGGTGGAAATCAAACGTCCAGTTCAAGAGATAGAAAAGAAGCTCGTCTTTCATAGGTTCAGGCGAAAGAAACTGGAGAACGTAATACTGAGTAGTGCAGTCGTTTGGCGGCAGGGCTACTATTATTTTGCATCGCTTTGAAGAGCCTCAAAACATCTTTGTTAAAGAAAAATAGAAATGATGGCTTTGTTTTGTTTTGTCTTGTTCATGAATGACTACAACTAGTCAGATGGCCCAAGTGATAGTAGATTGTAATAACTTGCGTCTTGCGGTTCAAATTGTTTAAAACTATTAAAAAGGTGCTCGTGGGTGATTTTTAGAGGAAAAATTCACTGTCTTCCCAAGCTAAGAGTAATTTATTGAACGAGTGGTATGTATATTTAAGTTTTATTTGGCAAGGTTTGAACCCTAAAAGGTCCGAATTTCTCGTGATAAAGGCCCCTTTAATCCGATTGTTTGACGTGTGGTAGTGCAAAGTAATAGATTGAAGCTTCTCCTTTTTGATTTGTCATGTTAGGAAACAGAGACTTGCGAGGTGGACCAATTCTTGTTATTGACACATCAACATCTCGGCAGGATTGGGGAAATGTGGCTTATACGAGCATGGAATTAACAAGACTCTTCATGTACTTCCATACCATACCAAGGTAAGTCGGGCCAAAGTAACTAAACTAATTACATAACACTCAGTACTTTTCGTGCTTTTGTCCTAGATCACGAGGACCTTTCATCAGATTCTCTTTAAAAAGAGATCAACTTCTAGTGTACCATGGTCCAACTGGACTTTTTTGCAAACTAGATTGATCTCCTTCTAACTTCAACATTGCGGCCGCTACTTAGCCTGAAATTCATCCGATTGCTTCGAGTCGTTTTCTCCTCTCAACAACAGTAATAACGACTCGAAGTAATCGGATGAAATTCAGGCTCGTCGCTACGTGGATTGACCTCAAATTAGTGCAAGCAAGAAACCCTGTTGTCACGCAAGAATGGAATGTTGACAGTTTATCAGAGCAAGATATTTAACAATTTGTTAAATCTTCAAAAGATTTCTTCACTCGGACCGCAACTATTGAAAATCGAATGTTGAACTAACTAGGTTGCCTTTTTTGATAGTCGCCCAGTGATATGTGTTTGTTTCGTTTTAAACACTACAGTCAAAACTGAACATCATTTATGTTTTCCTATAAATATACTTATTCCCGTACAATTGTAGTCGTGTAGTCAAATCGTGCCTCTCCCGCCATTCAGCCTGGGAGCAAACTAAGCAAAACCTGCGTCACCCATGCAGGAAGTATTGAAAGTGGTGTACCCCCCCTCCCCCGGGGGACTCTCGTATAAAAGAGGGGGGTATGCTCGTCGGAAAATTAGAATTAAACGAAGAAGACTAACTGGGCGTGGCCGGCTTATTTTACCCGGCAGAAGACCTTTGTTTTTTATTTCGGAAGTCCTTTACCTGAAACCCAAAGCGATACCTTTATAGGTAAAAATATTGCTTTTCCGTGCAGAATAACCTAAGTGAGAGCCTCCGGTGAAAATGTACCACGTGGGAGAATAAAATTAATTTTCCCTTCTGTGAACCTTTTTTTGGGCTGCCTTTAGCTTATCTGCTACGATAAGAACTGATGATATTTAACTATAACCTAAGGGTCAATAGATGCAATATCAAGAATAGTTCATTACTGTCTACATTTCAATGGTACTGTAGAAACTTACAAAAGATATCGGAAATGACCTTACTATCTTACAGTGCTCGCAGTCTAGTCTTTTCACTTGAAACTAGAGATATCCGGTAAGATCAGTTCATGCGACGTACTGGTTCTCCTGGTAGATGGTTTGCTAATATAAGTGTACGGATGTAGAATATTTGCCTCTTTCACACGAAATGAATGTCAAATACCTTACTCAGTAAAACGCTCAGGCGATCTGATTTCCAGTAAAAGATTTTATTGCCGTCTGAAAATGAATTCTGATGTTCTCTGTAATATCTTAAGCTTTGAATTCTCTTTCTTTGTTGCTTCCCTGTTATTTATCTATTTCATTGTTATTGTAGCTATTGTTGAAGAACTCTGATTTGTGTAAAATATCGTGTTGCATTACATCCTTTCCCCGCCTAGCGTCCATTCTTTATTGTAAGGACATATTTAGTAAAAAAGATTGTTGTTGTTCCTGCTGCCGGTTTCTATGCACAAAGAAATCTTATCTTATTGTATTGATAACTTGTATTGGTTTCCACGCCCGTCTGTGGGATGGTTCGAGTTTTGTTATCTACCGGCCCCTCCTTTCCTTACACCACTGTCTGATCAGTGAAGTAGTAAAGCTTGGTGTTGGATCCGCGTACAGCTAAACTAGCGATACAAGACGCTACACTGAAAAAATCAGTGTTGTCAGTAACTTGCTTCAACCTTTACGTCTCGACGCCATTACTTGAAATGAGTGCAGCATTTGGCCAGGTGGGTTATTATGTTGGATAGACATAACGCTGAAAAGCACTCACAACATGTTTATGTACCTGTGAACTAAACAATGATTAACATAAATGAGCTCACGTGAGCGGCTTATGATGACACTTGGGATCTTTACTCACGACCGGTTGTTGAAATCCAAAGCTTGTCCGATCTTTAGCAGTGATTTTGCCACTTTAAGGCGGGAGGTATGGTGAGAAGTAAGACAAGTAACGTAGCCGAGTGTGAGGTATGAGATATTGGTCGGTATTATTCTTTCAGTGTAGGGCATATGAGAAATATCAGTCAGTCAAGGACATGCATAAAACATTCACCAACTGTCTAAACTGCTTTATCTTTTCTTGATTATGATTCGCTAATTCGTTCGCTTTGTTGACATGCAATAATATGCCCACTCTGTTGTTTCCCTTAATTTTCTAGTGAAAAGTGCAGGAAAACAAATAATAATAACAGGTAGAAACTCAGAATTGTTTCTTTGCTTCCAAATCTAAAATTCTTGGAGGTGACAAGAGGGGTAGTATCCCGGGTTCACTGCCGTCTGGTGTGTCAGCGGTGTCCTCCGGCACGTCACTGTTGTCATGTTAGTCTCCCATGTTTCATAACAGTGTTGACAACTTGAACAGACTCAATTTGTAGTTTATTTCCTTCCTTTGACGGTGTGAACTGCATCCTTATAATCTCCTAGCTCTACAGTCAGCCTTGCTTTTTTTATTTTTGCTTACAAAAAAATATTTTACAGACCAGAAGGTAGACAAGATCCATCAGGATCTGATACCTTTGTTTTGTACGTTGGCCCTTACAAATGTATTCTCGGCTTGCACTGTCACGCAATGAAAAATAAAAATGCAAACCATTCAATACAGAAGGACTAGAATCTGGGAAATGAAAAAAGATAAATATACAAAACCCCTTGCCAAGAATCAGGTCTGTGAAATATTTCAAATGCGAGTTATTGGGAAAAACGGTTTACCTAAATTTATAAAGCTTTGTATGGAAACGCCATGTTGGTGTCCTTTTCAGGAACACCAATATGGCCGCTGGATACCAACTGAAACATCTGTTTTCGAGTTTTCCTACTAATGCGTGAATTCCTCGCTTGAGGAACTCATAAAGATTACAGTAATATTTATTCTGAGACAAAGAATGTTTAGATTGCAAAATCTCCCAAAATCGGTAATGTTTTTAACCCACATAAGAGCTTTCCCGGCTGCCAGCTAAATGCCGCGTCACGCAAAAGCTTGGAAATTCAAGCGTCCTCTCTCGCAAAGCGAAGAACCCTTTCGAACCAAAAGTTTGTTATGTAAAGATGTTTAGGTACTGTAATACCTCGTGAAAGTAGAAACTCAGAAGAATCGATAGTTTCTTAGTTTGATTTTTGGTGACGTCACGTGCAACCCAAGAATTTAAAAACTCCAAGATATTCCCATACATGTCGTAAACCGCCTGGAGCAAAAACACTTTTGGAAGCACGACAGGCATGGTAACATGATCACATCGTATGTAGAAAGATTGATTTGTCTACAGTGACCACATGTCTGAGTTCAGACTGACCAAGTGAGTGGGTGGCACCTTGATTTGCTGGAAAACGTTAATTACCGGATGTTCCATTTATCCTAGCTTGTTTGCCACCTCATTCTCACATCCAGTACGGTTTCAAAATCAATCCCCTCACCACTGTGATATCATTTTTATAAATTTTGGCAGATTTTTAGAATACCGTTTTCCAGAAAGTCAGTGGCAGAGTCAGTAATCATACTAGCGTAATCGTTTTGAGGATCCTTCTGTGTTATGTCACTGGGCCATATCTGTGCTGAATCATGTGCAGTCAAGCTTGTCTAACATCATGGGGCGTTTTTTGTTCAAGCCCCCCTCTCTCTCCAATGTATGTTTGCCAATGTCGGCCAATGTGTAACGTTTCAAGCTTTGTGCTGCTTTTGTTCCTTGCATGAGTGCGTGTCGCCTGCCCTATAGCATGGTAAGAACATTCCATTAGACACAATTGTATCCACGATGTATGTGAGTTCGTGACGAGTTTCCGTGTATATAGCAATCGTGTGTGGCTAGTCGCAGTGCTAAAATGTTGTTTTGAGAAGGCAGGAAATCGGAACTATTTTATCTGATATCTTTTTCTTGGTGCGCGCATTTCTTTAATATACGGTAAGAGAGGTACAATGGTTGATGTGCCATTTGAAGGGCAAGTTTTAAAGAGTCGTGAAACCGGCCGTGAAATGTTGTCTATCTTACACCGTTTTCTCTCGCGCTTGCTTATCTTTTCGCTAGTCCTGAAAAACTGTTTGCATTTGCTTTTCTCAGTACTCCAGTTGTACTCCAGTGGAATCGTTTATGATCAAGTCTTTAACAGATCAAGAAATAGACGTGAAATAGAGGAAGCGCGCTTTTGTGGGGCTATTATAAAGCTTTTTGTCTTTGCAACGCGGTGACAAAAACCTAAGGGCAGATTTGCATCTTTCCTGCTTCTGTCCGCGACATCAACTCGATTTATATACTTCGTGTTACGTTTCGCTGCCAAATTGATGCGGCATTGTGTCAAGTTAGAAACACATTTCCCGCATTTCCCTTACAACATGATTTCCAACGCTGAACGCTCTTTTCCGTGTAATAACAGTTGAAAATGTTGTAACGCGGATGTTGATTTACTGTTCATGTTTTTGCAAAAAGGTAAGATCTGCAACTTTCCCACGATGATGTCAGTATTTATCAGAGAATGTACTTGTTTGTTTATTGACAGTGTGGCTCCTTTCGCCGGAAATTTGAAAATCACCATAAAACATGTGATAAAGTGTTGTTAGTGAGGTATCAAATGTCGTTCACCAATTTTAACGGCTGTTTCATGAATTTTGTCTTACTTTTCTGTTATTCAGGAGTGACTGCCGTAAACTTGGATTTTCTGTCATCATCGACGCTAGAAAATCAACTACGAAACGAAAATACCTTGAAGAAATAGTGGAGGCTATGGTCTGCTTTCAGGTTTGAGATACGTTTTGAAATATTTTGGGCCGTGAGTATATTGAGTGTACTGCTGTACTGTAGGTACATTAGTTCAGTTTTCTTGTACACTTAGTATCTAACTGAATAATGGAAATACTGTAGTTGTTTTCTCTTTCTTGACTTGTTTTTTAGCTATTCGTGTTAGACTATTGAACCAATTTAAAATTAACTTGTATTTTTCATGCAAGGTATGAATTGTCAATCATTCCCCTATATTATTAGACGCAATTATGTTATAAAGTTGCTTATGTTCAGTTTATGATTCAGAGCGTGAAATTTGTACCTCTTTTTCTTCTTTTGGGCTTTCTAAATTTGTCACTTGTTCGCCGGAAATAGCGCGTTTTGAAAGTATACAAAGCACAATTTACTATATTGCATATAAATGCGTATTCCACTACTTTTGTACAAGAAGTTCATGATAGCCCAGCATTGTAAATGCGTTTTTCAATAGATCTCGCCCGCATGCAAAGTTCTTCATTAACAAATAACAGCTCTTCTTTCTATAGTTCCTTTTGTTGTTTATAGTTGAGAAATAGCGTGACTTAGGCTCAAATCAGGCAAGTTTTAATGAAGCACGGCATTGTTAAGAGAAGTCCTTGACCCTGTTGTGCCATCCACTTGCTTCAGCTTGCAAAGCAATTTGTTTATCAGGAAGCAAAAATTGAGCAAAACCATATCGATGCTGAAGTAACTTTGCCGTTTTCACCCATCGCCGCATGCTGTTCCCTCTCGGTTCCAAATATAAATATACATAACGATCCGTGACCTCATTTGCTTTTTAATTGAACAGAAATAAATCCTGTTGCCGAAGTAAGTGAAGACCCCCGGAGTTGTTCTTTTATTATTTATTAGTTGGTTAAATACGGTAGTTATTTAATAACCTCTTATATATATAACCTTTTTCTAAGAATTTCATATTTATGTAGAAAAGGGTATTTCGGGTGTTTGAAAAACATAGACTTTTAAACTGATTATAATACAAACTTGTAGCCCAGAGAACACAATGTACAACTTCATGATTAGGCAATTATCACGGGGTTTCTTCCCGCGAGCCCGCGCGCGAGCCAGCTTACGGGACGGGTAGTCACCTTGTCCCGTGCCCACCTTTTGCTTTCAGATGCTGAAGGTGTGAAAGTGATAATGAAACGCTAATGCCTCTGTAAATTCTAATTTACACCGATATTTTTGATCTGTAGTTCTTAGCGCAATTATTTGGATTGTAAATATTGTTTCATCCCATATTTAAAATAGATTTCACGTTTGTTTTTTATTAGGAGAGTACTCCAGGAGCTGTTCACGTGGTGTACATCCTAACAAAGAAGGATTCTCCTCTTATGTTATTTAGTGGATCAAAGGTCAAGGAACAACTCAATTTTGAGGTAATGATACATCAACTATCCTTGTGATAAAAGCTACTGACTTATTGTAGACTATGACTTGAGCGAGTAAAATATGCAAACTCGTGCGCATGTCACTTTCATCGAGGGTGGTAATTTTCACGCGCGCTCGCGTATTTTGTCCCCTGTTTAAAACCTGAGGGAAATGATGTACTTCACGTAGAGCATGCTTATCGTTAATCAGCTTATGAGGCTGATAATCCCGTGAAAGTTCCGCCGTGGCTTTTTCGGTCCAGAGACTTCAAGTAGCTATTTTATGTGTTCATTGAAAACTTAAATCTTTTGAAATATGTGGACATGAAGCCGGGCGGGGGGGGTTAGTCAACAAAGTTTTATGTATGTATGTATACGGGGAGGCTCCACCCCAAGGTGTTAGGGTTAGGGTTGCTATAAATGCACCAGACTACAAAACATTCGTTTTTTTCTCAAAATCAGTTTAGTGTAGCGTAAGAGTAGCGTAAGAGCCTCACACGCCCGTATTTCCCCAGTCTCGCTCCAGACCTTTTGTTTGCAGTGACTGTTCGCACGTACTTGAGTATGCAAAAATGCGAACTGTTTTGTAGACTATAAAATATGAACTAATCAATTAATCGTTTCGCGATGTGATACATGAAGACTGCATGTACTTCATATGGCAAACTGTGTTCTGTAGCGTTCTCTCTCCTTCAATGTACGTTAAAATACACAATAGTTTGCAGTTCTTCTTTTTTTCTTGAGTAGATAGTTCGTCTTTTTTGGTTACCTACTTCATTATTAAAAATGTGGTAACGTTTGAAAAGATTGCTGCAATATCTTGGTTTAGTTTCCCTGGTCTCCCGGCAGAGTTTTTCTATCTTCTCTTGCCCCTTGTCGACGTTTCGCAGCTCAAGCTCATTTCAAGAAAAAGAAGAAAGAAAACCCCACGGACCGGGAAGCATTGTTGACCGTTCAGTTTGTTTGTTTTTTGTTGTTATGGTGGCCAGCTGCTTTAGCAAAATTTCATATGCTGTATACTGCTAGCGTGACCTAGCAGGTTAACACATTTTAATGGTCCATACTTTTTCCACTGAAACGCTGAAGAAAATTACATGCTAATCAGTCTTATTCATCATATCATTGCCAGCACACCTGCCGTTAGGTCAAGTGTTTTCATTAACTCTGAAACAACGGAGACAATATTTTTCAATTTAGGGTCACTTAACTGAAGGGCCATGCTATATTATTGTTTGCTAAGTGCAGTGTAAGGATGTTTTGCAGACCATATTCTTAATATCACTTCATTTCTCGCGCTTAATGCCTGTACAATGCTATTTAAACTATGCACTCGTGTCGAGGCCTAAAAAACTGTCCAATGTTATTAGTTCTACTTGTCTATGATTTTCGCGCTCTCATACGCCACTTCCACATCCCCCATAATGCACCTTATTTCCCCCCACCCCAAATTTTGCATAACCTTTGTTTTTCATTTCTCCTGGGTTTTACAACCGTCCCAAGAGAAATTGAAAACAAAGGTTGTGCAAAATTTTGGGGGGTAAAAAAGTGCATTATGGGAGATGTGCAAGTGGCGTATGAACCATTTCAAATAAATAAAACTTTTTAGTTGTGTGTAATTGCGTACTGGTGCAGTGAATTACCTTCTAGTCGGGCTCATTTAGTTGAAGGCGGTGCTTCTGAACTGTTATCTTCTTTTGTTGTGTACAGGAATTTGAGATTTGTAAAACCAGCCCAAAATGAGTTATTTTTTTTATTCATTTTACAAAACTTTTTTCATAGCAGTTGGTCTCTGACCTTTGCTATGCTCAGTTGCGGGTAATAAAAGTCTCTTACTGCGACAGCAGAAACAACTCGTTCTAAATTAAGGCTGGAAACTTGCACCATTCTTGGAGTCTTTGTACTTCACGCGCGTTTCGATCGTGCACCGCGCGAGTTGCGTTTAAATGTTGAACACTCCAAATCTTTTGTTCAGTTTGACTGCGGCAACAAACTTTTTCCGGCTTAGTCCGCAATAGCTATATTATCACCTAACGTGAACTGTATTCACAATAGCAGTATTGCCTTTCAGTTCAAACTGCTTACTACAGTGGACCAACTCAAGTCATTCGTGGACAGTTCACAGCTAACACCTGAGTTTGGAGGTGTATTTCATTATGATCACGACGAGTGGATCAGATTTAGAATAGTAAGTTATTGTACTTAAAAAACTCTAATTACTTCTCCCCAAGAGCACCCGACTTGATTTATACCGTCACATTTTAGGCTTGGTTATACTCTATATGGTAGTTCTCTTAATCTCCACATCCTCCCGTCAACTTGGTTACGCAGTTACGCAGCATAAAATCCCAGCCTTTATCAGTACCTTTTGTTATTATATTTCGAATCCTGGGCTGATCAATAAAATAATCATTCTTTTAAAATCTGCTCTCTTGAACAACACTTTTGCTACATTTGACAGTTACCTTAATCATATAGCCGGCCTGAATCCAATATTACGGCAAGATACACACTGTCCGCAGTCTTTAATCAGTGGGCAAAATAATACCGTTCTTGAAAAATGGGAACACAGTTGACCCATTTAGAAATGCATGACTGTAAATTTACAGAATTTAGTGAAGACGTGTTTGTACTAATCAACTAATCGACTGCGTGTCTGTGATTTACTCGCTTTTTGTTGCTTTCGTGTCGATGTCAGACGTGAGTCATTATCGCATTTGATTTTTTGAGAGCAGAAGGTTGTATTGAAACTTCTTGAAAATGTGGATTTGTGTGTTTCAATTGCTATCAATGCATACTACTTTTTTAAATACCATTTACTTCTCAAGAAAATTAGCTAAAACCGGAAAGGGTAGAGTTAATAACATAATTGTCACCCATTGATTTGCTGTAATTAATTTTTCTTTTGAAATCGTTCGTGCTTAATGGGGGTAATTAATAGTTCCCTGGATCATATTAAAACTACTTCGTGTTGTGAATATTTTTGCAAATACAATATTTAATGCGGGAGTTGCAAGTCGTGTATGCTAATAATGTTCCAGAACTGCCGTTTTTCTATTAATATCTTTTGTATATTGGTCCGCTTGTGCGTCATTGAGATTACTTTGTTGATTCTTGTGTTATCTCAAGCGTGTATGTTTGTCTGTACCTACAGTGTTCTTCAATGACATGAAAAAAAGGTTGAAAAAGCAGCACAGGTTGTTTATATTGAACTGACGTCATTTGGTTTCCTTTGTTCGTTCTTGGACATCGCTAAATTGATCGCTTTTAGCTGTAAAAAGCATCTAATAAAGTTATGCCGTACACAATCTTTCCCCTCTTTTCACATTACCCCCTCCCTCTCCGTTACCACCGTTGTACTTTGTCCCACGGCCGAATATTCAGTTTGTTTGCACCGTTGCTTCTGCGTTTTTGCACATTTAGTTATAAAGGCTGCAATATAACTAAATAACTCCTAAACAAAAGCGAAAGGCGACAAATTGTCTTCCTTCAGTTCCAGGCTTGATTACTGCTTTTCAATTCTTCTAGCTATTCTTTCCCGCGGGTGATGTTAGAAGATGATGTTAGATTAAGCAAAAAACTCGGTTCATGCTCCCGCTTTCTTTGAAATCGGTTTTCCGTTGCGGTCATGTTTATGAACTTCGAAAAACTAATGCTTGTTAAGACTCCAACAAGATGTAATTTATATAAAGAGAAACAATGGCTTTCAAAGCAACAACCGCTTGGTACTGTTCTTTAATTTTTTATTTAACCAATTCGTGCATTTAATTTGGACCAATTGTATATCTAGAACTCTTTTGAAAATATTTCATAAAAGCAGTCCTCTAATGGACTTTTGTAATATGTGCGGTAGCGTTTTTCTCAATTAAAGGCCGACCGCTACTTAATTGAAGGCTAATTAAGGAAGAGTATCGCTATTTTTAAGAAAATATTCCTTTGTTCTCATGAGTTGAGTATTATAGAAGAAACCGCAGCTTTGATGTTCGGCTCTCGTATAGGAGCCGATTTCCGCTTATCCATCGCAAAAGTATAAAATACTGTGTAACTGACAACTCGTATGTATCAACATCACTTCCGTGAAACCAGCTTTTTAGCTTGTGCTATACTAAGCGTAGCGCAGGCGGTTTGATCCAGCGCTTCTCTCCCGGACAGCGTCAAGTGGTTGCCAGTTATTAACGCCGTCCGCGCGCGCGCACGCAAGGGGAGGTACTCAGTTCACAATTATTGAGCTATGATAATGATAATTGTTGTTGTTATGTTTCAGAAACTAGAGCCGTTCATGACTGGATGTAGAAGTGCAGCCAAACTTGCCATGGGAGTGATGCAGCAGTTCACAAGCAAAAAAATCGGGGATAGCATTCAGGAATGTAAAAATCTACTCGAGGAACATCATCAAAAAATCAAGGATGTATTTGAGGACAGTAGATTATCAGCGCTCCAAGTTGAAGGAGAGCAAATACTGATTAGATTACAAGAAGATCAAAGTGTGTTACCTTCTGTGCCTGACTATATAGAGACTGTCAATTGTGTGACAAAACTGTATCATCAAATGAATGAAGTGTTTTGTAAGCTGGAGATGCTAATGGAAAACAGAACCAGGAAATTAGAACAGTGTCTGGCGTTGAAAGAGTTCGAAAGAGATATTGACGAGGTAAAGCAAAGAAAGCCAAAGTTACGTGAAGTATGCTGTCGTTTAATAATATATCGCTATATTTTTGCTACTTTTTTTTCCGACCGTTATGAGCCAATCAGTTAACAGTACGAACATTCTTAAGAGTACCCGAATATAGTGACTGTCCTTCCGAGGGTAGCGAAGTTGTGATCTAATTTAGTATCGCTATGAGTAGTATCATGTATTGCTTTTCGCTTCTAGCGGAAATCAAGGCTCAATAACTACTAGGCTGCGGAATTTTAACATTAAACTTTACCATCTTTCATTAAACTTCTCCTTATCTAAGGCTGCGTTTTGACAAACTTTGAATGATCTAAATAAAATTAGTTTAGCTTTCAGCATTATTAACACTGTCAAGAACATAGAAAGATGTCTTTAAACGAAATCAGTTCTCAATGTTCGTTCAAATGAATCAAATGAATGTTGAAGCAACGTTTCTGTTGTGTACTAGCTATCAAAGTTTATTCAGCTGCCTAAGATCAGTTTTGATTTATAGGTGATGAACTGGATGTCCACAAAAGGGGAACAGTTTTTAGACAAACACACCGGGATAGGAGACTCCATTGGACACGTTAAAACACTGCAAGAGGACTTCGGAAATTTTGAAAATAAGGCCAAGGTATTTATTAGCAACGTTTGTGACATGTTCTGTATATTTACATTGAAGGAAGTTTTCTTTTGCACACATGTACGCTCGTATACAACATTTTGCACTTGGCTTTCAGAATTTCCATTTTACTTTCTTACTCACTAAGTCATAAAACCACGGCGATGAAGTTATTCCAGTTTTTATGGAAACTGCCATAACAAAAAAATTGTTTTTATTAAAAAAGACAATATCCCTAGTACTAAGCGTCACTGTTGTAAGCAAAATACACTTCTGATCGGTCAGTGTATTTTGATTTGTTGCTTAATTGCCGGTTTTTAAATTTTGTTAGTGCTACTGTGACCGAGTAGAAAATCTTCTTGAGGAGGGAAGCAGTATGTCTCAAGGAGGCCACTACGAAGGAATTGGAATCAAAGAAAGGAAAAGAACCTTGGGGGAGATGTACAAGAGATTTTGTAGAAAGCTGGAACACAGAAGGCAGCAGCTAAATTCCTGTATGGAATTTTATCAACTTGCTGAGCAGGTAATCCAATCGTTGATTTGTTTAAATATGCAGCTCGGTCTTGAAACTTTCACGGCCAAGCTAAGCATATAAACTGAACGAGACTTGCTGAGTGGTTCAATATTCGGATTTAGAATGTTTATATCCCTTAATGTGTTCGTTCCCCGTTACATTTATTATTCTTCATGATTGTTGCCGGGTTCCCCTCTTCTCCTCTTCGAATCCATGATCACGTGGCAGTTGAGCTTGTTTGCTGAGACTGATCAGAGCGTTATTGTATGTTGTATCGCAGGCGTCAGAATGGTCCATGGCCACACTCAAACAAATGGCAATGATGAACATGGAGGAGATTCTTCATTTGGAAGGTGTGACTGCACTGACTCGCGGCTTAGAAAAGTATCTTCAAGAGACACCAGTTTGGACTGAGAGTAGACTCAACAGAATATCAGAGCTTGCTACAAATCTGGGCAGCGCTAAGCTTGTCAAGGAAGCTGAAAGTATACTCACGCGCTACAATGAGATATTAGACATGTTACACAAGAGACAAGAAACACTCAACAGAGCTCAGGAAAGACTTTCGGTTAGTACCATTGTGACCGACAAAACTAAGATACAACTCACTTTGACTCTGAAGATGACTACCGCACAGGTTGTCGAAACGTCAGTCACTGTCAACAACAACAGTCCTATTCAGGACTACGTTCACCCGGACGATCAAACTCAACCTTTTGAAAACTAATATATGTCATATATTTCAATCGCGAGCTTTATGATGCTGGTTTTCTGTTACTGCACCCCTGTGTGTGCATGTTACCGAGCTCGTGGTGTGGTGTAATCCCCTTTTCACGAGGAGTTTAAAGTTGTGATTATTACAATTTAACTTGTGATATTTTTCAAATCACGAAAGTCGTGTATCCTGCAGATTCTGCGGCCTTCAATTTTCATGCTGGCAATTCTTAACCGAATAGTCCAACCTGACATTTGTGCTGGAGCTGCGCGTGTGCTTTACTGGACGAGCATTTATCTGAGTGTTGCACGATTGTGTTGCACATTGATGTCTTTCTTCTGCCTCTGTGTCATTTAGGGCCTTCCCCCAAGTGAAGCAAGTAGTACTGCCACTGGTGGTAGTGACGAGTCCACCTCGTCCAGTCCTGGCCAAGAGGAGGATGAGGACGAAGACGATGGGGACTTGTTAGTTGAAAGCGAAGACGAAATTGAGACCCAACCCATCACCCAGGTGGATGCTCCTGTTCGACGTAAAAGCTCCATTCCTGTCACCCCACCCCCATTGTATTCATGGAAGGAAGTACGTATCCCTTAAAATCCACTGACAATCTTTTCCATCAACAAAAGATGCAAACTTCGATCTCTGACTCTTTAACACTAACTGAATGCAAAACTGTTTGTTTCTCTCTCAGACTGAAATGCCAGTAATCGAGGAAGTTCCTGTTCTGAATCCGCGAGTAGAAGAGTAAGTCGTACATCTCACGTTTGAGTTTTACCTCCAGATTCGTTTTTGTTCTTGTTCTTTTTCTGTTGCTGTTGTTATTTCTATCGCGTATTTTTCCCAGCAAAGCCACCTTTATAATAATTCTGAATTACAAATAACGTAGTACCCGCCATCCAAAGGTGCTGCCAAAGATTTATTGGAGTCTTTTATATTGTGCTCTGCAATTTTTTGTTCTACCCTTTCAGAGGTTGTAAAGATATTTATACATGCCCCCCAAATTAAGTCAATCCCTTCTTGTGTTTCATCTTAGAAAACTGATGTACATCTTTCAAGAGATGATTGATACGGAAAGAGATTACGTGAAGTCATTGCAGTATATAATGGATGTAAGTCAACTCCGCTTTCTTCAGTTTTTTATCAGTATTTGGGTGTTTGTTGTGCTTTAACCTGTTATCTCGGGTTTTTTTGTGCTCTGTAGAATTATTTGGTGGAAATGAACAATCCTGTGTTACTGCCGTCATTAAAAGGGAAAAAGAATATTCTGTTTGGGAACATAGAAAGAATTCACGACTTTCACAAACGGTAAGGCTCTAAACATTGCAGCCGGTGATGGAGAAGATTTCTTTGTGGGGTGTTAGTGTCTAACGCGTTTCCAGATCAAGGCTGCACAAAATTCTGACGCATTAAGTTGTTATATACTTGTATGGCTAATATATGGGGTCGTTAATCCTTCGCGGGGGGTGGGTTGGGGGCAGATGTTAGAACGGGTAAATCTTTCCACTCGTCAGATCCAGGTTGTAGTTTTTCAGTCTAATTCTCTTCTTACATGTGTCACTTGACTCTTGATCTGTTTAAAGCGCGACACAGATCCTCCCACACAAAACGTTTAAAATCAAATACCACCATTGTCTTTTTAGGTATTTCCTTCAAGAACTGGAAGCATGTAAGGGCAGATTCCTTGATATAGGAAGCTGCTTTCTGAAATGGGTAAGTACGGAAAACATAGAAGTCCAAGGCCTTGGGACTTGCAACCTTTGTAGCAAAACAAGTCTGTCGCAGAAGCAATTGTTTTCCTTAGCAATAAGCGCTTTTAGTGACCAAATTGGAAGAAGGCAACTTAATTGATCTAGCCAGCACAGTAATATATTCTCAGTTCCAGTAACACCCGAACACAAAGCCAAATGAGCCTAAATGCATAAGATATGGGAGAATCGGCCCGAAGATTTGCGAGTCGTTGGACCAGGAGAGAATACTAGGTATGCCTTATCGCTGCGGCGGGGAGGAGGGTGGGGCGAGAACTGCTATCAAGGGTGCCAAGACCTAAACTTTACTAGAACTAGCAAAATAATCAAGCTGCAGGCTGCTCTGAAAACTGATGGACAAGTTCTGCACGTGGGTATGCCTTGTATTCCCCTGGGCCACGCTGAGAATTTTAGGAATTACATTGGTGCTAACTTAGGCTTTTGTGCGAGTTTTCCTTAGTGGGTGTAGCGAACTAATCGACTACGAACGGATCACTAGCTACTGAGGAGCAAGGCGTTTTCTTACCTTTAAAAGTAGTTGTTCCGTTTGAGATGACCGCTTCCTTAAACTTTTTAAATCCATGAAATTCCCGCTTCTGAATGAACACTCAGTAAGGTCGGTCAAGGCTACGTTAGCTATTTCCATGTTTGCAGCACTTGGCAGAAAAGTTTCTTTCCCAATTGTTTTTGTTGCTGCCTTTTGCCGGTATTGAAGTGCTTTTTGTACTTGGTTCCAGGAGCGACAGTTCTACCTGTATGCATTGTATAACAAGAACAAACCGCGCTCGGACCAACTGCTATCCGATCATGGAAATGTTTACTTCCGGGTAAGCACAATGTTTTGGGTTGTTTTTTTCCTGCGTGTGTAACTTCTTAATTTGTTTAGTACCATAGCCTTTCCTCAAAAACCTCTTTCATCAATTAAACGAGCAGTGTCACAATAAGAAAGTATTGTAATAGAGGGTTGCTTCAAGCTCAGCTGTACTTCTAATCATACTTAAAATCAATCACAACAACCAAAGTTATCTCAGGGAGAGGGCGTGCGGGGGTAGTAACCTTGCCAACACTCTAGGAGATTTGTGTATCCACTATTTTGCTTTGCTTTTTTGCATGTGTTTTTAGTGACGAGAATGAAGGTCCGCGTTTTCACTAGGAAGTAATTACAAGTCTCTACTAAATATTGTTACATTGATTTTTCAGGCTCGTCAGACAGAACTTGGTGACAAACTTGACCTGGGAAGTTTCCTTATTAAACCAGTACAAAGGATGGGAAAATACAGTCTTCTGCTCCGGGTGAGTATATAGCTAGCTTTTTCAAAAAGATAGATAGGGACATGTATGGAATAACGTTTGGTAATTGATTTAAATTCCAGGATATGATCAAGGCTCTGGACGTTGGACATCCGAAAATAGCCGAACTGAAGGTAAAAAGAAACCCACAGTACTTTTTATCGCGCTGTTTTTTTCAGTCTCGTCGGAACTGAAGCTTTAAATGTCCGGCGTTTCGTGGATATAGCGCTTACCACAGTACTTGTGTTCACCCATTTGGAGTAATGTCTATTGTTAGGTTCCCTTTTGATTGTCCAGAAACACTGCAACTTGCTTTGGTGGGTCCAGTTATGGACAAAAGAGTGGAGTTAGTAACTTGTAGGCTCGGATAACCATATACTTGCTTTTTATAGGGCAAGCTTCTGATTTTGTCCTACTTTGTTAAGTATATTTAGTAGAACTGAACTAACAGCATTGCTTTGTAATTATTGTTTTATTGACAGGCGGCAGAGGAAATGGTGAAATATCAACTGAGACACGGCAATGACCTGTTAGCCATGGACTCTCTCAGAGGATGCGATGTAAGTTGTTACAGAACCGCGGACTGTCGACACTCATAGCCGCGCATTTGTTACGACGAATCCTGAAATAGATCAGTCTTATTTCTTTTCGCGAAAGATTTGAACCAAGGAGTCATTTCTTAAATAGGCTAAGTACGATGTGCGTCTGAACGTAGTCCTGAATAGGACTGTTGTTGATAGTGACTGACGTTTCGACAACTTGTGCGTTAGTCATCTTCAGAGTCAAAGTGAGTTGTATCACGTCAGCTGATGCTATTGAACTCTGGTTATTGACCTGATTGGTCAATTAAGTCACGATGTTATTGATCGTCTTTAGGCAGTTTTAGCTGTTAAACCACACTTAAGGTCGGTTATTTAAACGAAGTCAAAAGTCTAACTTAGACTTAGACTTAGGCTACTGAGTAGCCCCTGAGTAGCATCTTTTAAAAAGACACTCAAAAGACATTTTTGTTTCAGAAAGCTTTTTTGTAATTTTATGTGCTTTTTAATCTCGTTTTTAGTAGGTTTTATGCAGTTTTTTACGATTTAAGTAGTCTAGGTAATTTTTATAATTTTAGTGTTGACACAATTGTTTTAACTCTTTTTGGTAGGTTCATGCACTTTGTATACCTTATGCAGTCTTAGTTATTTTTTTTGAAATATTTTTATTTTTAAGCGCTGATGAAAATAGCAATATTGATATCGGGGCTATATAAGGTCTATTATTATTACTATTATTAGACCGCGGTTTAGCAAATCGTAAGACTTGTAGATCTCGTCCATAGTGGGTTATTTTAAGAACATTCTTTTTTAGTCTACACCATATGCTTTGATGAAACTGTTCACGATAAATGATGTTTATATAAAAAGGGTTCGGCTACTGAAAATTGTTTAGAACGCGGTTTTGTTAAACACTGGCTAAATAACTGGCCCTTATAGTTTGTAAGCTGTACTGAATTCTGGTATTTCCCGACATCACGTTTTTAGAAGGTATCAACCCTGATCAGCGCTTATTTGACATTTGCAGATGAATGTGAAGGATCAGGGTCGTTTGTTACGCCAGAACAATTTCACCGTGTGGAATGGCAAAAAGAAACGGCAGCGGCGAGTATTCTTGTTGGATGACTTGGTTATCTTCAGTAAAGTCAGGAAACAAGCTGGAGGAGTGGATCTATTTTATTACAAGAACTCGCTCAAGGTTCGTTAATTGACCGGCAAACCGCACGGTTTTGTTGTTACTAGTGTGATAGGGAGCTCATTCGGCTGGAGGTGAAACACAACTGAATATTGTTATCAGGGCGGTCGTCTTTGACAGTGGGAACAATAAAATGTTTTTCTTGCTGGCTTAGCTTGCAAAAGAGGCAAAAAATGAAGTTGTCCCGCACTGAATGGAACCTGGGCTTGAGTGACATTTTAGGGTATCAGTTTTCACGCTCGTCACGTGATTCAGTTTTTATTTCTTGCCGTACAGTGCATTAGCGTTTCCCACCCTTTCGCCTTTTGCCAATTCCGTAAAGAAACGTGTGTACAGTAGTGTATGAGGTTCAGGAAGGGTTTTGTCTTTTTTCCTTTATCCACTGTAAAATTTTTGTGGCGTTAGTGATTAAAGTGCTGTTGCATTGTCCTGTGGCACTGAGACAAATGCCATTCACTGTGTGTGAGAAATGTGGATTGTTGGTAGCCTGCGTAGCTGGCGGCATTTTTCGCGCGTCATCTTTTCATTCCAACAGTCTTTTGTTGTCTTTGAGTCAAGTGGAGGTGGGATTCAGTTCTGCCCCTCCGCCCCATGTGGTAGCCCCCACGCCTGAAAAACTCCGCATTCTAATTCTGCCAGCTACGCAGGTCAGGTTGCACGTGGTTTATAAATGAAAGAAATGAGAAATGTTATGTTTTTGTTTTTCTTCGTTGATTTTGTTTCATACTGGTTTTGTCCAGGGAGATAATAAAGTAACTTTTCTACATGTTTTTCATTGAGAAAGAATTTATACTGATTGTTAGCCGTCTTTGACCTTCAAAAAGTATTTTATCAAGCATTTTCAAGCATACTGATTTTTGTTGCTTATCTCTTTTTATCTGTTATTTCTTTTATTCAGACTACCGATTTAGGTCTCACGGAAAATGTCGGTGACAGCGGGCTCAAGTTCGAATTGTGGTTCAGAAGAAGGAAGCCTGAAGATACTTTTATTCTACAGGTCAGCGGATGAGCTCTTCAAAATAGATTGATTGTTAACCTTTTCAATGACTTGAGCGAAAGGTGAAAGACGGTCGTTCATGCTTGTCGCTCATTTCAGGAAACAGAGAACTTTGTTCTTAATGGCAGCATTTGATGAATAAAGAAGTAGTTTGAATAAGCAACGTACCCGGGGGTAGGGGCTGGGGGGTTGGGGTTGGGAGGGAGGTGGGGTGGGGTGGGTTGCGGGTACCACTTAGTACAGGTTGCATTATAGCAAGGAGCTCAGTACAGTCCCCCATAACCCTCGGGTTTTTTTTCGTGATTCTGCAGGCGCAGACGCTGGAAGTAAAGACCGCTTGGGTGACGGAAATTACGCGATTGTTATGGAAACAAGCCATGCGCAGTAAAGGTACGTGTTTTCTAACGAAACCACCACTGCGTAAGTTCTGAAAGTACTTTTTCTTTGAAGGAGAAATCAGTTGTTAAGACGCCCTGAGAGTGAGCATTAATTTGTTACTTGCTTCCTTGATTAACAGAGTATGGTTTAACAGAGGCGTCAACTGGAATCAGTGTGGGAAGCCAGCCGCCGTTGGTGATCCCGAGCACTCAGCCAGGAGATACCTCACCGTTCCAAGCACCTCCTTTTCAAGCATTATCCAACTTAACCCATGGTCATCTTATAAGGACCTTCTCCACTCCATCAGCTGGTTCCAGTCCTCGCTCAACAAGGAAACGTTTATCACTTGCCAGCAATGAAACAACTTCCAGTGTTGAATCATCCAGCAGCAGTGGTGTTCACGATTTAAACCTGGTTACAACAGAAGAGGAGGCTTCCATTCGAAGCTGTATTTCAACACCACTGGAAGAAAAACTCTCTAACGCTGTCAAACGAAACAGGCAGCGGAAATTGTCCCGTGAAATATCGCCAAAGACACATTCAAATATTATAGAAAGACTAGGTGAGCAAGCTGACCTTTATACTGACAGACCAGGGAGTCTAAACGTTGAAGAAACGCTAGCTTTAAAAGTTGGTAAAGATATTCTTGAAGAGGACAGGAAAAGAAATAGAACAGCTCCGTCTCTCGCTGAACGAGAAAGATCTAAAAGTACGGAGGAAACTACAAGTGAATCACCAGTTTTACGCAGAAACACCAAGGAAAAGGACATAAATAATACGGTACCTCGTAGGCGCTCTTTCATCGAGAGGATATCTATTAAATCACATTTTGACATTGTCTCAAAACGACGAAACTCGCTGGACATGTCATTTGCCAGAAATGGAAGAAGTGGTGACGTTGGCGAGAGTCAACCAAGGAAACGAAGTGGACAATCTACAGAGGTACAGAGAACTTAATACTAATAATTTGTTTTCTTTACACATGTGCGCGAAAGCTGGGTTAATTGATCAAAGTGATTTTCACGATTGCTCTGGTTTTGCAACGTTACACCGCGTGATGGCTTATTAAAAATATCTAGCGTCACTCACTTTGCTTCGTTTGTACTCAAATAACAACAACATCCGCCAGGTATCACTATCTAGTGGATAAATGTTCGCTAAACTTGAAGACGAGTAAAACCACGCGATCGTCGGCTGTATGCATTAGGATTCTGACTGGTTCTTAAGATGATTGGCTAGAGTAATTGCTTGAGTTTTGGTCAATACGGTGCTGATGATGGTAATAGTGAAGTTAATGATGGTGATAATGATGGTATTAATGATGGTATTAATGATGACAATAACAAAGTTAATAATGATGATAGAGATGATAATTATGGCATTAATTATAGCGCTGATGATGGTGGGTGATAACAACAGCGATGAAGGCTATGAGCAAATTTTGACTGAATGTGCAAAACATGGAATAAAAACATTAAAACATGTACGCCTTGACCAACTCTGAGGGTAATGCTTATTGGAAGATTATCAATAGTCTTTTCAGCAAAAATAGAATAATTTTCATCACCCAAGTGTGTTTTTTTTTCCTTTCGTAGGTATGACGGGTTTGTTATTCCTCTCGCCTCCTTGTGAGCCACGAACACGAACAGGCTTGATCTAGCTAAACTGGTTTAAAACTGGTGTGAAACAAGTCTGGCTGAAATCAAGAGAGTTTTCGCAGATTATTGAACGATGGCTGTGATCCATCTAGACAGGCGCCTTGTACGATGCCAAATGCTTCATGGTGAAGTTTAATTGCTATTTGCAAATGAGGCTAATGAGTGTATAAAACAGAATTTAGAAATATTGAGTATCAAGAGGTTACCGTTTTGAGATTATCGTAATTTAAAATTATTGAGATAATGAATTGTTAATGTTTTATTACAATGCTGTATAATGTGAATATGAAAATATATAAGTGCCACTTTATACTGAGTCGCACATTGTATCTTATAAGAATATTGTCTATAGTATAGTGGTGAAATTTGATATTTTGTCATTGAACATTTTTCCGGTTCAAATACGCTTATTACTGAGTTATATTATAGAGATATATCAAAATAATGACATTATTTTCTTGAGGGAGGCTAGATTTAGAAATGTAGAGTTCGTCTTGCTGAAGATCATTGTCGGCGTTGGGGTCAATACCAGTGCAATCCGTTTTTTTGTCTTTTTTCACAAATATCTCTTTTCACGTTCTGTTATTACCTTCAAGGTGTCAACCTGCGCTAACGTAGGTGGTCTTCAGAATATAGGCTTTATAAAGCAATATTTTGATTGGTTGATTAGCTTACAGAGAGGGTTATTAAAATTGAGATTAAAGGTGAGAAATGTCAAGTCGTAGGTCCGTGTTTTTTCAGATTTGAGGCAACGCTAAAACTCATCCATCATCTCATCCAACCGCAAAGAAATACAAAGCTCTTTCCTTGAGTTTCGTTGTGGCCAATACGACTGTAACTTTGGACGAACATTTTGTGCCTGTGTTTTCCCAGGGTTACTACTAACAACTTAAGTCAAGGAAAGACGTTTTTCTATCAGAACGATTCTGTTTTAGCAGTGTATAAAGTATTCAAAAACTTCATAAGATCTTCCTTCAGTTAGCTTAATTGAAATAGGTCGACTAAATAGTATAGATGCGAATTAAACGACCCGTCTCGATTGGAGTTGGGGGTAATTTAGAAACATGTAATGATGCTCGTCTCGTAAAGCTGTAACAACAAAAATGATAAAAAGAAATAAAACATGTATCAATACTGTTGATAAATTCACATTGACTTTGGGTATTTTAAAATGATATCAACTGAGGTAAAAACAATACTCGATACTTTAAATAGTCTCTTCCCGTGGCTATCTATCTTTTAACCGCGGCAGGATTAGGTCAGTCGGTAGAGCGCTTGACTGCAGAGCTGGAGGTCGTGGGTTCGATTATCTGGGCTGAACCAATACTCAGAAAGGAGGGTACTTCCTTTGCCCTGCAAACAGCTAGACTGACCTTCGCGTAGCTGGGATGACCACGTGAAATGGCGGCTCCGTCTCCAGAAGGAGACGAAAAATATGCTGTTCTCTATTAGTACCTTCGTGCTAAATACATTGACACTCAAATTAAGTTTTTTCTTGCATCACGACTTTCATGCTTCAATAACTGGAGCTGAAAAGTGAACAATCTTGTAGAACGTAAAAGAGAAATTTGCAGCTGCTTGCCACTCAACACTACGCTATCCAGCTTTAAAAAGTGAGGCTAAAATTCCTGTTTCTCGTCCCCATGTTGCCATCAATAAGATACAAGAGCTCCACCAAGTCTGGCATTTAAACCACACATTACCCACAATCCTCTGATTCGATCTGACGAAGCGCCGGTGCTTGAAACGTCAGATCACAGGCAGACCACCCTCTGATCGTGTGCCCGTTGTTGTTATTGAAATCTCAGCATCGAACTCTTTTTGATAGAGGAAATACAGATGAACAATTCGTAGGCTACAATTTGCTCTTAAATACAGATTATCTCACAAGATAACTCTTTAAACAGCTCGGGACGACGAAAAACTCGATACATGAGTCAGTTAACATATTTTGTTTGAACTTTTATATATTGAAACATTTATATTCGAATCTGTACTTGGCCAACATATCTGTATTTCTACAGTAAATTACTCAAGTTTCAATGACAACAACGGACACACACATTTCATAGTAGATTACATTTGCACGAGGGAAAGCCATTGGAAGCCTGGGTATCAGGGTATAAATGAGGAAAGAGGAAATGTTTATGTTTTTCTGTGTCAGGCCGCTGACTGATGTATCACGTGATTCAAAGGGGAAATATGGTGGCCTTGATTTGCGCTGTCATAAATAGCACCACAGATCTCTAAAAACTTTAACTTAGTGATTTGAGCTGTTAATGGAAAGTACACATTTTGTGTGAGGATGAGCGCAGTGGAGAACGCGTACGGCTCACCGCCGGGTTCATCGGCGGGAATTGCAATTGGCGAGGAGATGGGACCGATCATAGCTGCTTTGAAGGAGGGTAGCGCCATGACTAGATACTACGCTAATAGGAAAAGAACGGCACCAGATTTAAGGATTTTCATGTTAAAAATGGAAGAGTTTCAGCTTGTATGGTGCAGGACGGGCAAAGAGGGAGGCAGACAAGAGGGTTCAGGTATTCAAAATCTGTGCGCCACAATGTTGGTTTGGTCTTCTACACCTTGCCTCGGCCACGGGCTCCGATGTCTAGCTGTACATCTACACTGTTCATTCATTTTGTTGTTGTTTGCAGTTTTCATTCGAGAGATCAAGGAGGTCCGGCGCGGTTTAGGTTCTAAAGACTTCGACAGAAATGCAGAATCAGCGCGGAGGCTCGATCCAAACTGCTGTCTGGCCATATTTTACGGCACTGAATTCAAGCTAAAAACTCTCAGCCTTGTTGGTAAGCTCAATTATGCTCTTTGCCGGGATGTTTATAGCAACACTTTTTGGGTAGAGAGTACTGAGCTGTAATAAACTCCACATCTTTAATGATTTCGTTCATTTGTTTAGCACACAGTCATAAGGAACGAGAATTTTGGGTCAAAGGACTGGTGTATTTGATGTATGAGAGTCTTATAGCAACACAAGCTGTGTTGATTCATAGGTAAGAACAGATCTTCGAGGAGCGATTGTACTTTTGTTAGGTGGACTAGATGTTGATGATAAGACCATTAAATAGTATAGTCCAATCTCTCGTTTTGTCGAAGTGAGGAAAAATAAGTTGTCTTTAAAATTAGTGATGTCAATAATTTAAAGTTATTTTTCCTTGTCACCTCGCTTTTATCGTACTCCAAATTACTTGAATTGGTGTCTGTTTTGTAATTGAACAGGATATACAAGTAAAAGAAAGACTATTTCCTTGAAGCGACTTTTCGTTAGTGTTTTGATAACTTTTAACACTTATGTGGATCGTGCGTGTGGGTTTTATTTTGTTATTTTTTATTTTATGATTTAGGTGGCTGTTGCGTGAATGGAACGGCATGGTTTCTATCACATCGGCACCAAAGAGAAAGTAAGTTTTGTTTGTAAGATTTTTCTGTAAAGTTGACATTATCCTAAGTTTAATTAATTTTACGGCAGTGCACGGAAGGGAATAAATAATAAGGAACGGCCGCAGGTGATAATTCTTGACAAGAACATGTCAACATTTTCAAATATAGCTTCAGCTCTAACTCAAGCAATTGTGCAGCTCAAATTTTATTCCTCTTTTACAGTACTTACTGATGTAAACTCTCATGTGTGCGAAAACATTTTTTAAATTTGTCGGGTGTAAAAATTAGTTATTTTGTTTTATTTCACAATTTTTGCCTTTTATTTTTAAGCCCTTGACATTGTAATGTAAATATGCATTATTTGGAAATGTTATAAATTTTTAGCCTTAACTGGCTCTGGCAGATCAGTCGGTGATACCTGTATGTGATGCTGCTGATTTCTGTGTTATGCATGGAAGAACATTTGAGATGTACCTGCATATACGTACTAGTTTTATTAATTTCACATTTGCACTGAGTATTAAAGTTTGTAGGGAATCAAGTTACTTGTTCTTCATTCAAATGACTCTGTGTATCAATAAAATTTTCTTTCTTGCTGCTTATTTTATAATACAGGATCCCTTAAAAAATTAAAAAAAACACACACACATAGTGTGTTCTCTGTTATGCTTATGTTGCAGATGAAATGTGCTACCTCAAATATTAGCATGTATCACAGTTTGAAATAAATAATAAACAGAAAGTTAGAGAAACAGGAGTAATAGATGCAATGCATACAAATGAAGAAATAATTACCATATTGGAAATATTATTATCATGATTTTTACTTTATGTGCTTGAATACATGTGTGTTTTAAAGCACTTATAAAAATTTCATATTAACTTTTTTAAACAGTGCATATTCCAGGGGGATTCTTTTTTGCGTTATTCTTTTATTTAGAAAAATCGTTAAAAAATAATATGTAAACAAAGAAGATAATAAATATATGTTTCTATAATAGTGAATCAAAAAATAGTTTTTGCATGAAAGAGTTTTTCAGGTTGTTTAAATCAAGTCTTGTTTACAAAATAATAAATAAAATAGCGAAGATTTGCCATAAACTGTTTGTACTTTCTTCAATTCTCTCTCTACATCGTCTTGCTAATTAATATTTTAATTTTTGAATGTCTCTTTGTAGCACTTTTGGTATGAAGGAGTTGAGAGCGTTCTTCCAGAGAGCAAATGTAAAGCTGAGCAATTCAAGATTGAAAGAACTCATTCAGGTTAGAGATTTTTGGTTTTATTAATTCATGCTACCTTCTGAATTCCTGACTTGCAGTTTGAGAGCTTGTAGATTTGACTCCCAGGCACCACACAACTTATCTTAATAATTTATTATTACAGTAGGACCCCAGTAACTTGAACACAGTTAACTCAAACTCCCCTCTAACTTGAACTAAGTCCCATTTCTCTTGGATGCCGTGACCCTCCTTTTTAGCCCCTTTTACGAGGATAACTTGAACATGGAGAAATCAAATTCTCTGCTAACTCAAACTAATTTTGTTTCCCTTGATCAAAAATTACCTCGGTAACTCAAATTCTGGTTCTTGCAACTGACCGTGAATGCCATCCCCTTAGCTCTTCTTCTTGTGCAATTGGTAAAACCCTTAAAACTATTACTACGGCAATTTGTTTTAATAAGTGCTATGAACAGATCATGTATTTGATGGCTATTTTGTACTACAATAAAAATGCATAATTGTGTTACAATTTCTGATGAGATACGTTTAATGTGCACTCTGCTGTATACTGAAGAGCTGAAATATTAGTAAACTATCAATATCAACACAGGCAGACCACCCTCTGTTCATGTGGCAGTTGTTAGTCGAGCTTGCTTTCGCAGAGCGAGACTCTAAAAATGCAGTTGTTTCTTTTTTGTCGGTGGGACCTTGTTTGTAGGCCACGCGTTCCTAGCGAAGACCATGGAAACTGGAGATAGGAATCGTGGCGACTTTCACTATATGCAAATGAGACTCGTGATGAGCAAGTAGTATATTTTCGGCGATGAATTGACTGAAATGACGCGTGTAAGTTTGGCAATGATGTAATTTTCCTCGAATGGAGGCCCTTGATTTTCGTGTAATTATGCACGACATGCAGGCACTGATTAAAAAGGAAATATTTCCAAGTAGGATGAGAAAATATTGTAGCGGGGAAATCCTATTTTGTGGTGTTTTAAGGCGTTACGTTTCTCAGAATATTGTTGCAATTACTGGAAATCTACGGTTAAATAGATTCACCTTGTTTTATGTATTTAATTGATAGATTTTCGCAGTTGTTAAGATGTGAAGTCGTGTTGCTCTTTATAAATACTTGAGATATCAAGTATCCACTGTCATGTAATTTTTACATGCGTACGTGCATAAAATTTGCGTTCGCAAATAAAATAGAGGCAATGTATGAAAGGACACACGTACAATTATGTAAGTGTAAAAGAAGAAACTCGCTCAACTTGACGTTTAATCTCAACACTTTATATCTTACCTCAATTTTATTTACATAAATTAAATTTATGTGCGTTAACGTGCGGAGCCAAAAACGCGTCAGTGGAAATCCACCCTAACGTTACGTATGTGTCACGGATGTGTTTATACGGTTAGCTTTGAACTTGACTATCCACGCACTCTACTTGCAGTACTTCATGTCCATAGAATAGAAATCCCATATCGAGCTTTTCTGGAACAGGTTGCTCCAAGAATTCTATCGCTTGAAAGTGTTAATTATTTTGGAACAACTGATCATTTCACTGGTTGAAAAAAGAAAAGAATAATCTTAATGAGCAAAACTTCAAGGTTTACTGGAAAATCAAGATCGAGGATCAAGGAATCGGGGATCGAGGTTAAAAAGAACTTGAAAATAAAATAAATAAATAAATCGTGGATCGGTGGTGATGTGGGCCGCAGACTGTAGATAAATTTGACAGAACATAACCCCGTTCACTGTCCTGAACACTAATTTTTAGTAAAGTAATTCGAGACTGTCTGCGTCAGTGATTGTTTTGACGAGAAATGAAATTTTCCTGGAAAATGAAATGCTTTATCCCAGTGATACTGTAATAAAAAAAAAAATGTAACATTTTTAAATTTTTAATTGTACATTTGCTTGCAGTACTCCTTATTTTTCTTGTAATTGTTGTATGCTCGACCCCACCAGGAATGCTGATCTTTTTATTGCGCTAAAATAAAGTTCTTATCTATCTATCTATCTAAAATGTATGCTGTGTACAACTCTAAACTTTGTACTCTGAGACTGTACGGAGATATTAAAAGTAGATACTAAGCAGCTGTGGAAAATGTAATTACTTTCGCGCGATATTAATATCTTATAAAACGGACAACAAATTCAGGAGGGAATACGCACGAACTGAATTAACTATGTGTTGTATAAAGTTCTGTTAAACTTACCCATTTTTCCTGTGCTGAACATATACTGTACTGAACCGTATCTTGGTCCGGTACAAAGAAGCTATGTATATTTATACTGACAGAGTCATGGGCCCCTGATACCGATAACAATCATCGTTCAATTTTTTGAGCATAAAATCCCTGAAAAAGTACTCCTCAATGGAGCAATATCAATATGTAGACGGTTTACAAAGGTTTCACACCGGTTTGAGGCTAAGATGTGCGGCCTGTCTCTACTTGCAAGTTTTACTTTTTGAGTATTTACATTATGACATATGAGACTTGTTTTGTATTCCAAATGAAAAAGTAGTATAACAGCACTGCCACCTTTGACAACAATATCTCCAAGCAAGCGAGACTCAATGCTACTAAGAGCGTTCTTGTTGTCATTGAAATTTGAGCATCAGTCTTTTGTACTCAACAGAAGATTTTTAAAATTTATTTTTAACTTTTTAAAAATTTCATGAGACACTATTGAGCAGCACACATACACTTCCAGTCTTCCAACATTTTTACTTGGAAGAAGGAGAAACCATACGCAGGAAAACTACAAAAACTTTTTGTGCCCCAGGGGAGAATCGAAACTCATGACCTCCAAATTCTAAATCAGATGCTCTAACCAGTGAGCTACCAGGACTCTGCACTGTCTGTTACAAACTGTAACTTTAGCTACCGTAATCCATGTAAGTAAGATATTTTTGGGTCCCACCGTTGTAGCTAGAATTGTGGGCACCAAAACATTACAAATGTCACACCTTGCAAAATTTTTTTCTGCCTGTTTCCTAGACGTATAACCATGAGGTTTGCAGTTCCTAGACGCAAATCTGTAGGTGTTTTGTGTTCAATGTAAAATTCAGTTCGTTTTTAGGTATATATACAGGTACTCTTAGTTGTATTGTAAAACTCCCTGATGATGTGTGCGCTAGTCACACAAAGGACGTGGGAGACAATAAAACAATTTTACAACTCAAGAGGTTCACAGAAGTGCTGCTCACTGGTTTATCCTTTTAAAAATACAGATGAATGTTATGGTAGTTACAATTTACTCCAAAATTCAGATTTGAGACTAAATGTTCAAGTGAAGGTCTAAATGTTAACTTAGTCACCTGTCATTTTTTTTGCCTTCCTGAACTGTTTAAAGCATTATTTTGCAAGATGATTGTTTGACCTGTAGTTTAGAACTAAAGGAGACCAGGCTGACAGTAATCAGCGACTGGCATGTGACCTAGTCCACTTAAAGCTGAAACTGATGCCAGCCATTGAATTTTGCAGCTTGTATTGGAAACACCTGCATTGGATCGATGAGATATGTCTTTATGTTCTCGCCAAACCTCAACTTAATCCTTCCAAAATCTACCGAGAAAAGCGATCCTGAAGTTGTAAGAGCATGCAGCTTTCTCAACATGATCAGGGCAAAATTCTTGACCAGTGGAATTTGAAATACGCAGTTTGCACAAATCATGTTGAGAAAGCTGCTCTTGCAACTCCAGGATTGCTTTCCTCTGTAGATTTTGTAAGGATTGAGTTGACGTTTGGCAGGAGCCTGGAGACGTATCTCATCGATCCGATGTTGGTGTTTCCAGCCCGCGAAATTCAATGGTTTGGCATCAGTTCTAGCTTGAAGTGGACTGGGTCACGTGTTAGTGGCTGATTGCTGCCTGCCTTGTCTCCTTCTTTAGTTCTAACTATCACTCAAATGATAATCTCACAAAATAACTCTTTAAACAGCTCCAGAAAGTGGAAAAACATGAAAGTTGACTAAGATAACATTTCGCTTGAACTTCTCTTGAACATTTAGTTCCAAATCTGTATTTTGGAGTAAATTGTAGCCCCTGTAATATTCATCTTTATTTTGTCTATTGAATACAAGAGACCAATGCTCAGATTTCAATAACAACAACTGCCACATGAACAGAGGGTGGTCTGCCTGTGATATTAACATGGCAAATTAGGGATTCAACTGACCGCAATAACTCAAACCCCTGCTGACTCAAACTGTTTTTCATTTCCCTTCAGAGTTTGAGTTACCAGGTAATACATGGATACTAATATGTTTACAAAGGTTGCATTTGTTTGACTTAAAATGCTGAATTGTGCCAGTGAATACGTTTACCTTATTCATATCAACTAAACGTGTTTAATTGAACCAGGTTTAAGAAATAATAAAAATGACAGTAAAAACAGTTGGGGAAAACTCGAACACCAGGCTTTACATAGATTCAAATGAACTCCAACATGTTTTGTAATTTTCAGCTAAATTTGCAATCAGCTTTAAAGTCAGTAAGCAGCTGTTTTGAGGGAAACAATTTTTAACTGTTGAAAAAACAAGTTTTTTACATGTTTATGTGCTTTGGTGTGAATGGGATGTAAAGACTGTTCCTGATAAAGTGATGATTTTCATGTTGTTGTCATTATTTATGTGATGTGCTTTTTTCCATTTAAAACACAATTTATTGGTGTCGTAACATTTTTATATGTAGGGGATCTCCCAAAATATATATAAAAGTTATGAAGCTGTCAAAGTCACCTGTAACAGTCACATACAACTTTCATCTTGTAGCTTAAAAAATATACTTATTTTGTCCATTTCCCAATTAATGATGCGTCTTGATCAATTGGAAGAAATTTGGACAAAGTTTTATTTCAAATTGGGGTTCCTTAATTGTAGAATGTCACCTGAACTGCAAGTATTGTGACACCATAGGTCTACATAGTGAAAGCTAATCTGTTCTGTTATGGATAGATGGAAAGGATTGTTACAGATCAAATTTGAATTAACCTAGGTTGATTTTGTGTATCCTTTGTCTCCTAGCACCACAAAAAACAAAGGAAATTGAAAATCAACCTAAGTTAAAAAAATCTAACCTGAAATCAAATTTGACCTTGATCTTCACCTGCATATCCAAAAAACTATAGATTATTATATTTTAGCAAAGTTATACAAGAGGTAAAATTATGCCACAGGTGTATCCAGCCATGTACATATAGTCTCATAGAATGGCAGGTTGAACTTTCATTTTGAGGTTATAAATCTCATTTATAGATTATATATACAGTAAGCTAAAACATAAATGATTGCTATAATTTTATTGCTCAAACTATGAAGCAAATTAACTGAAAAATACTACTACAAACCAGTTAAACTGTTTCTTTTTCTTTTTGATATAAGTGTTTGGAGTGAAAGTTACTTTAAATGTTCCTTCATTTTAGGCAAATATAAAATTGAGAGTTTATTTCTACAATCTATAATAGTTATAAATGAGAATATTAATTTTTGAATTATATCCATAAGCTTGATAAACTGTATGAAGGTGTAATTTACTAACTTTGGTTCTTATTGTTATTGGTTAGCCTACTGGTATACACTGTAAGTCTTGAATGCCAAAATTTCCTCCCTCTATTTTCTTCTAATTTCAAAAACTGCTCTACAAAGTTTATCTGTTCTCACAGGGCCAATTAAGCTCAATTGCTGAAAACTCAGAGTATTTCTGTTACACTTCTGTAAGTAAAATACTTTATGGGGTTGTGAACAAAGTTTTCCTGTAGGTATAGGTAAAATCTGCATAATTGGTGACTTTTCATTAATATAATAGTAGTAATATAAAGTATTGTAAAATAACTAAGATAGTATGTGCATTCTGATTGGTTAAAAACCTATGGTTTATTTAACCTGAGATCAGGCTCAATTTTCATTTCGCTTCGTAATAACATTCCGGCAGGCAAGGAGAAACGAAAACAGAGCCTGATACAAACCTTCTATGAAACGTCTGCCCACTTTTTTGATTGATTGACATTTGCCGAATCAGCCAACCAAAATTACTTGTGTTGCTTGTTTTTCTAGTATGCAAATTTTTCATGCGTGGGAAAAATGCAGACTGGCTGATTTAAAAGATAGCTTTTAGCTGTTAATTTTTTTCAGCTAAAAATAAAACAGTCAGTACAATCACTTTTAACTTCTTGCGAAATTAAAGGAGATCTCGAAGGTTATTGCTGGTAGGGTAGAAGGTAAAAAGTTTTCGAAAAGACAGCGACACAATGTTCTACTAGTTTTATTATTTTGGCTAGGCGCGCTTGAATTTAAAATACTGAAATTTCTCTTTTGCTGTTGCGTTAATATTTTCCTCCACAATTTTCCCCAATTTCCAGTACATAAATCTTTAAAAATCTTGAAGAAATATATCTCGAACTTTTTCAAAGGATATATAAATATTTCAGAGCAAACCAAACGAGTTCTCAAGTGTATTTAATGCAGTTGATTTAGTCCTGTGCATACACTTGCAAAAATATTTGCGAATTTATTAGAGAAACAAACGTCTAAAAACTATATTTATTTTTAAAAAATCCAGGTAACTATTATCTGTCACTAAATGCATGCTCAACTGACCTATAAACAAAACGAAAAACAATATTACAAACACACTTTGTAGTTCTCCTTAGTTGTGTTGTTGTTTTACTGCAGGTCTAAAGACTAGGCTCGCTAAATTTATTAATCAAAGTTAACAAATAGCCAACGAGCGAAGACACCAGTTTTGCTGGTTTATTTCTTACAAAAAGCGAAGGCAAACAACAAGTCTGTTTCCTTAAGACTAGCGCCACCAGCTTTTATAATAATACCTACAAAAATTCCTTGAACAGCGATGTGATATTTTTCGTCTTATACTTCACAGTTGGCGATTGAGAATTCTTTTGCAGTGAGCCTCCGCTTGCGTACAATGTTCAGAGAAGTCATTCCTGGCCAAACTTTCAAATGAAACCAGTTTTGAGATGGAGAGTATTTTGATTTGCACTCGTTTGTTGGTAAATCAAAAGGCAGCTTGTTAGCGGTCAACAACTTGCAGAGGGATTCAACTCCACGATACACTCACATTAGTTCTGTAACTAAAGCAAATCTTGAGAAGATATGAACAACCATATGAATTTTCTGAATTTCCATGGCACATATTATTTTGATTTGCACTCGTTTGTTGGTAAATCAAGAGGCAGCTTGTTAGCGTTCAACAACTTGCAGAGGGATTCAACTCCACGATACACTCACATTAGTTCTGTAACTAAAGCAAATCTTGAGAAGATATGAACAACCATATGAATTTTCTGAATTTCCATGGCACATATTATTTTGATTTGCACTCGTTTGTTGGTAAATCAAAAGGCAGCTTGTTAGCGGTCAACAACTTGCAGAGGGATTCAACTCCACGATACACTCACATTAGTTCCGTAACTAAAGCAAATCTTGAGAAGATATGAACAACCATATGAATTTTCTGAATTTCCATGGCACATATTAAGGCATATTTTCTTACCATAAGACCATAAAACAATAAAAAAGACAGCAAAATCGATCCTTCTCTCCACCTACGGCGGATCGTTCACGGAAACAACCACACGAGGAATAAGCGCTTTCAACTTCTGGCATTTCCGACAGCCAATCAGATCTTGTGACATTGTTCTAACAGCCAAAATCTGGCCGTAACGAGCACAAACGTGAGAGAGTTTGTATCAGGCCCAATTTTAGCGGTTGCCGTTAGAGAGAATGTAGGAGAACCGATAAAATTGGACCTGATCTCAGGTTATGGTTTATTGTGCTGGTAAACTCATAGAAAATTGAAACATTTTCCATTTTACTTAAAGTTATTTATATAAGCAATAGACCACACTTTCTATGGGCACCAGCATTATAACTCACTTGGGATGTTGCCAGAACGCTTGAAAAGCTTGTAAATCTCTCAACTTCGGCTCGTGATGTACAAGCTTTCCTCGTGTTCTCCCGACATCCCTCGTGGCGGTATCATGCTGGTAGATCCATAGAAAGTGTGGTCTATTGCTTAAATAAATGTTACTTGTTACAGGGGCAGGGGCCCCAAAGCCTTCAAAAGATTTACAGCTAGATCAGGAGAACTGCTCTTCAAAGTTTATATGTTCTTACTACTGAGCCAAGTTAGGTCAAATACATGTAGTGTTAAACATGTAATAAATGTTGGAAATATGCTGTCATGCTGTTATAGACCATTGTTTTACAGCAAGAATCAAAACAATTTGCTTGTTGTTCACTTACTTCATGTTGCAGTGCCTGTCACTGGCTGACAAAGATTATTTAGGTATTAGGAATGCTATTTTACTAGGTACTTACTCCCTAAATTATTAATTGGGGAAAGATATTGAAACTTTACTAAAAAGACTGTTGTTCAAAGTTTATGTGTTCTGACAGGGTCAATTTTGCTCACACAAACCTGAGAATTGCGAGTGTCACACATATGCTAATGTAAGTAAAAAAATGAGTTCATGAAGAATGTTTTACAGTGTGAAAAAAAAGGGAATTTTCACATAATTGACCACTTTCCCGCACATGTTGTGTTTTCCATCAACCCACAAAGATGACTGATCTAAAATATTTGCTGTAGGGATTACAGGCAGCTTCTGTCACCATTTCCTTGCAAATAATTGTTATGTGCAAAAAGGTTGTATACAATAGTTTGCTCTTTTTTGCATGGACACAGTCAACTTAGATAATATCAATGCAGATGATGTTACTGTGATAAATTGTACATGTATTATGTTATAGGTCAAAAATAAATTCAGGTTGATTCTCTAATTACTTTGTCTTCTAGTCCTAATTAGTCATGAATTAGGGCTAGGAGACAAAGGAAATTGAGAATCAACCTAGGTTCAACAATTTTAACCTGAATATAAGTTTTACCTGTAACATATACAATAAAGGTGCTCTTTGCAACTTTAGCCTGTGTTTCTTTCAGGTATGTAATTAAACTCTTTTCTTTTGTTACAGTTTTAATTTGGTCAGTTGTGTTTAGTACATGTAGTACCTCATGTTTCTTGCTTTTCCAAGACCATTTTATAGGTTCACACCAATTTTTTTACATAAATTGATGTTAACATAAGATGTGATATTCTGTGGATTTTGTAACCCTAATAAAAAATAAAAATAACAAATAAATTTAAAAATAATGAGCAATTAATTGTAAAATCCTTTTGTTAAAAGTGTTTACACTTCAAAAAAAAAATCTCTGGATTTGATATGTATGTTTAGGGAATAACTATTTCAATAATGCACTCTTTACATAAACAATGTACGTATCGATAACTTTTTATGCTTTGTATGTACTAGATAATGGCTTTTAACTGTTAATTAGTGAGTTTTTGTAATAAGCATTCTTTATCTTGTGTAAGTAATGATTGATATTTAAAAGTAATTAAGAAGAAAAATTAATATGTAAAATTTAAAATTTTTTAGACATGGAGGAATCCTTAAAACAGGGGCTGAACACCTTACATGGTCAAATCAAACATTTGAACATTCAAGTTGTGAACATATCTTACATTCTCAAATAAGTGCTCTCATGCCACCCATCACTTTGATAAAAATCCTCTGCACAAACTAGTGAATCAAGACAGACGAAGCAATATTTTTTACAAACTAGTGAATCAAGACAGACGAAGCAATATTTTCTGACTTATTCTTGGAGTTTTGTAATTAGAGGAGCAACCACAATTTAGTACTCTGTGATCCTCAGGTTCTGACATTTAAAACTTGTCATTTGATTTTGTATGTAACTTTACTTTTTACATGAAAGTCATTAATTCAAACTGAAGAGAAAAGTGTGGTTTTCCGCTGGCTGAGGAACAAAAGAAGCGGAAAATGTTTTTCTCACACACGGCTGGGAGTATGGGTTTGAGTGTACAGGGGGTCTTCAGGTCAGGTGGCATTTCAGAATTCAGTTGTTTTTGTTGCCTTCCACCATTGCCTGACCTTCCCCACCCACCCACCCTCCATGTGTTTTTTGGGTTGTAGGTTTTCAAGTAGTGCCTTAGTTCTGGTTATTCTTGTTTGTTAATCTATTGTATCTAGGCTCAATTTCAGCTGTTTTGTCAGCTCTCTTTTTGTGCTGTAACACTAATGATTCGTAGTGTTGATATAATAAAGGTTGGGCTGCATGGTCGGCTTGGCATGGCTCCCAGTTGTGTGTGAGAACAGATATTTTTCTCTCTTCATGTTGATTTAATTTACAGAATTTTATTTTAACCACTTTTTTTATTTGAAGCTACCAAAATGTTTCCCATGATCCCCTCCGTGTTTATGTCAGCTGCGTTTCTTAATGCTGTTTGTGTTGTTTCCATTGAACTAATGCATGGTTCTTTGCTTTTACAACAGATTGCTGGGAGAGGAGAAGGCCATGTTGATTTTGAAGGGTTTCGCAAAATTTATGATGAGATAATGACTGTGAAAGAGGTAAGTGTAATGATAAAGATGTGAAAATTGATGGAGCATGGTTGAAATGTTGCTTCAAGATTATATTATATATTATATATAAATCATTAAATCTTGAATAGTTTCTAAAATTCTGTACTCAGATGAATTTATATTTTGTGTAAATGTATGTGTAATTTATGTTAAACATTTGAGGCTTCCGTTGGAGTGTTTTTCAGGGTCAGATCAAAACAGTGCCAAATTTAAAAGTGTATATTAAATGACGTTTTGTTGCCTTTACAGCTGACTTTGAGATTTAATGATTACATAGAGAACAAGTAAGTAGCAGATTTTATTGTTGTTTTTTAGAGTATTGTTTATTTTAGCTGTTTGATACAATGTTTTTCAACCCTCCTAACTTAGTGTTGAGACAAACAATTCTAGTTGGAAGTAATTAATGATATGTTGTCTGTTTTTACTGCAGCACTTATGTACCCTTAGCCAACTTTCAGAGCTTTCTTTTGGAAGAACAAGAAGTAAGGATGCTCTAACAAATGCGCTCTAATTTTAGCATTATTGTAGTCTTGATTGAATTGTGCTATTCATGTACAGTACACTCACTCAAAGTAGACCAGGTCCCAAGTAAGAGGTACTACTTGTCTCAATCACCCAGTTTCCAGGTATCAAAACTCATATGCACTTAGCCCAGAGGCTGACAGGAGTACAATTGTATAATTTAAAAGAAATGAATTATTCATCCCTGAATATCAATGCAATTGGAGCCAAGTATGAATTTTTTTTCAAATCTAGCGTTATTATTATCAATAGATAGCATCTTCTCTGTGATTTTCACTTGTTTGTATGTTGTTGAACTCTCTGAGACTGCATGGCTTAAAAACAAACAGCACTGTACGCAAATGTATCAGAGAAGAGTTTTGATACAGTGGTTGTAGGAATTCTTGAACATGTGAACTAAAATAACTTAAGATGGTCCCTGATTATGCCAAATCCAAAGTTTTGGAAGTAATATATCAAACATGAGATGCAGTGTTTCATCACCAGATGAAACACCGAGAAGAGAGTTGAAAATACGACGCGCAGCGGAGTATTTTTGACGAACTTCGAGGTGTTTCATCTGGTGATGAAACACTGTGTCGAATGTTTGATATTTCTTCTCAAACAAAATCATTTTTGAAGGAGAAATTAAGGATGCAAATACTAAGCAGTGTTTCATCCGATTTCCAAACACTCATTAAACATTAATTTCCTTTGTATTTTCTTAATGAATTATTAATGAGTTTGAGAAGTTCATTTTAAATAATGTGATAATTATTTGCTTTACAACATTCCATTACATTCTTGCATTTGCAATTTAGTTTTCATATCAAAAGTGTTGCTCAGCTGTGATTATTCTTCAGGAATCTGGTGCTATAGACATTGAATCTGTCCGAAGCTATATGTTGCAGTATTTAGCAGATGGTAGCAGAAGCTATTCTGAGCCCTATTTCACTGTTTCAGAGGTAAATGATTATTAAGTATTTAGCAGATGGCAGCAGAAGCTATTATGAGCTCTACTATGTGTCTGTCTTAGCTAGAGAGATGTCAGTCTTAGAAAGAGTCAAATAAAGGGATTAAAGAAAGGCAGGGACCAACCCTAGGTGTTTGTTTTGCTGAGGTTTCTATCTTCCATATATAGAGGTGTCCATTAAGGAAGAGTTGACTTTAAAACTTTTTAATTTTTAATAGAACAAGATGTTGATGTCAGATCCTTTCTTCTCCAATGAACTTAAGTTATAAGACAGTACTCCAAGCTGGCAAGTAGAAAAAAATTTTGGCGACCAAAATTGCTGTGAAAGTCACCAATTTGGCAACTTGTGTTCAGTGGTCACTTGCCAAGCTATTCCCAAGAAATTCTTGATATTTTGTACTATTACACAGAAGGTTGTAACATTATACACTTAATGTCAGATACCAAGGGAAACAGTTAGTTTTGTTTTCCCGAGGGTCCTGATGTTTCCCTAGACAAATTTGTTATATTTCTAGATTTTCACTTCAACAGCAACAAAGAATATCGGAGCAAGTCAAAACAGTCGACTTGGTACTTACAGCAACACAAAATAATTCTCAAAACCATTGAATGAATGATTTGCAAAGTACTTTCCTTATATCATTTGCATCTTTTTCCTCCACTAGTTGCTGTTTCTCTTCTGGGATAACTTTAAAAATCGTTTCTTTTTAGCTAGAGGCTTCACGTTTGAGTTGTTGTGTTCATTCACAAAAAAGAAAACTGACAGTGTTTTTCATGCTTTCTGTCATGCCTTTTTCCACTATGCTTTGACCACGTGCTGTAATGTATCCCGAGTGGGGTACAATTCAGAGGTGGACCCAGGGGACGGGCCCTCCCCTTAATTTTAGACCAAACTGAGGCTGAAGGGCCAAAAAAATATATTGTTGAGACCTGGCTCCCCTTATCTCAGGGTCTGGATAACCGGGCCTCCCCCTTATCTAAACATCTGGATCCGCCATTGCAATATATTGCTCAAATGTATCACGATCGCGATACATTTGATTTTAGTCAAGGCCATGTGAGCAAGAATCGACCAATGGCAGTCCCTGTTTAGTTGAGTGAAAGTCTAGGAATATAACAATATCCATTGTCAAAAGTTACCTTCTGCAACACAGGGGAGGAAGTAAATTGGCTGAAGAACTTTTAGCTGCTGTAAACAATTCTTCCCTGACTAAATTTTTTTTCTAATGTCAATGCATTTCTTTTAGTTTCTAGATTACTTGATGTCAAAAGGCAACAGTGCATTTAATTCATCACATTGTGAAGTTTACCAAGATATGACCAGGCCACTAGCTCATTATTGGATTGCATCTTCACATAACACGTATGTTACACTTTTTTCAAACTTATTTCATTTACCTATTGTAGGGGGACCTGTAACTGTAAAGACAAATTTTGGCAAAATTTGAGACCCTTGGTTGCTGTGGTTATGAGATACACTTGGATGCTTTTTTAAAGTACTTTTTGAATTTTTTTTATAAAGTATGATATGCCACTACATGTAAAAGCAGCACAATGTTTTTTTTAAATAATACATAGTGTTTTTTCTCTTTTTGCCCCACAATCAGACTTCTCTTCTTGCTAACTAAGCAAGTCCAAGCACCATTTAAATCAATCTTTCAGGAACTCAATTTGCTGCTGCATACTCTTGTACAACTGTTTCTATATAATAAGGCTTCTATTTAGGAGAATCATCTCCTCCTTTTTATATCCTGCATTTGACTTTTTTTGACAGTTACCTGACAGGAGATCAGTTTCAGGGTGAAGCATCAGTGGAAGCGTACATACGTGCTCTCAGGATGGGCTGCCGCTGTTTAGAACGTAAATATGGAATCAATAATTTGCTTTATTTACGTGTAGTTACAACCTATTAGTATAAAAGTATTTATGGGTAAAAATTGTTATTAAGGAACAATATATGGAGTAATTGATTAAATTTCATTTAATGTATAATTACTGGTATGTCTTATCCTTGGTTTTTCTCTTTTTATAACGTACAGTAAGCTCATAATATGATTGTATCAGTCATTTTACTTGCACCCTGTCATGACATGTAATGCTTTTTTTTAGTTTTTATGTGACATTTGCATGACATAAACAATCACAGATTTCTCAATTGCCGCAAACTAGCTACTTAGACCAAGAATCACCTAGTGGAAGTGCTATCTCTAAATCATTATTTATTTGTTTGTTTATATGTTTATATATTTATTTTATTTATTTACTCAACTTGCAGTTGATTGCTGGGATGGTCCAGATGGACAGCCTATCATTACCCATGGACACACACTTGTATCCAGAATCAAATTTGTGGAAGTTGTGCGTGCAATCAAGGACAATGCATTTGTTGCATCAGAGTAAGAAATAATGTGTGTTTGTTATTTTGAAGAAAAGATGCCGAAATTAGTGTGATTTTGTACTGTTGCTGGTAAGATTAGACTGACTTGAAAATGAATTTTAGAATATCAGGGAGAAGAAGATTGGGGACCAGCCCTTATGGACCATCTCAGTTCTTGAAAATAATAATTGTATAGGTTTAGTTTGAATGAGATATTTCCACTTGTTAAATCTCGTTAATTTAAGTTATTTTTGGAAGAATTTTGTCAAAGTACAATATCCAAGTTTTATTACTTGTAGCTGCCACCATCTCTTTTAGTTGCCTAATATTCCTGACAACAATTCTCGCCATTGTTGTAAATGATGTTATTGTCATTGTCACCATCATTGTCATCATCATTGCTAACACTGTCTTGATTGTCATCGTCATTTTCATCTATTAAGACATTTGCTTAATTTTCAGTTATCCCTTAATTTTGTCACTGGAAAACCACTGTAGCATACCTCAGCAGAAAGTAATGGCACAGACATTCAGGGATGTTTTTGGAGGTTTGTAAAAAAAGTTAGGTAGTTACATCATAGTGTCCATCCTATAACATTGGAAGTAATGAGGAGCTGTCAATGAAGTGTTGAGGTTGAAGAAGGCCAAGGAAGGCAAGATTTATGAGTCATTGAAATAAAATGGATGGGTACTTTCAGCCTACATAATTTTCGAATCTTAGTTTTGTACAACTAGTTTGTCAAAACGTCTTCATGTGTACTGCAAGCAATGTGACTAACCAGTGGCAATTAGCTGACAACTAGCCTGACTGGCATGATCACTATTTTGTTTTTTAAATGTCACTGGTTATGATAACTAATCATGCCTGGATTGATTGCAGATTTACTGTTGACTCAACCAACTGATGCCAATGCGAAAGAGATGCCATCACCAACTGCTCTGAGGCACAAAATCATCCTTAAGGTACTGCTGTATCCAAGGGTTTTCCAGAAAATTTATAACAGAAGGAGAAAAATTCAAGAAGGTTGCAGTAGGTTAGATAGGTGCATAGTGCCCTTTACATGTACATGACAATTAGCCAGGTTTGTCAATAGGTACAGTGTATAGGAGGAGGGATGGGAGGGGCAAGTCTTGCCACCTTTCTATTGGGACCTTGAAAAGTACATATTAGTGTATTTTGAGTGACCATGGAAAGAATTTTAGCTAAGAGGATGGTTTCTCTTACCCACATTTTTTTTTTTTTTTACGTGATAATAGTGTATAATTTCCTTCATTTAATAAAAGTGTTGTAAGACAAATACAATAGACTCACTATACAACATGATAATGATAATATTTTCTGTGTGTAGCTCACACTTCTGAGCAGACTAGACAATGATTTTTCCTTGCTGTTGGAGCTGTCAGAAAACCTGGACAGCCTGTTTATGACCTTACTTATCTCCCACTCTTTAAACTACTTAGTTCTTCAAATTTAAAACATCAAGAAACATGTGCATTTGTTAATTTCCCTGCTGATGTGAATTAAAATCAAATAATTTACTGTATGTTATTTTTGCAGCATAAAAAACTGCCTAAAGACCCCACTCAGGTTACAGACACAAGTATTGGTGATGCACGTAGGTTTAACTAGATTGTTTTATTTATTTTTTGCTGTGATATGAAATGATTTTTGTTCATTAACGCCTGCGTTGCAAGTGGAGGTTGGGTGCCCATAGGCCAGGGGGCTGCAACTGCAATACACCCCAAGGCAGAAGAACACCCACAGGCCTACCAACCCACAACCCAGCCACGAGCCCCCCTTGCCCAGCCCCCCACTATAACACCCGTCACACTGAGGCCAGATGCCAAGTGGAAGTAAAATGAACAAACCCCCTCAAGAAAAAATAATGAAATAAATAAATAAGAAAGAAAGCGGAGGAAGGGAGGGGAACCAAGAGAAACGCTACGCTACTGGAACGCCACGCCACGCCACGCTAACAAAGCTTCGAGTACAATGCAAACACAGCGTAGGCACATGGCCTCTGCATGCGCCAAAGCGACATACCACTAGACAGAAATCTGCCCCCCATGCTCATGAACAATGGTAAACGCTACAAACGCGAACATAGTCACACAACAACGGTACAGACAACCAACATGCCACCAAAGAATGCCAAAAACACCCGAGACCATAGCTCCTAGTCGTTAACTACATTAAATATGATTTAATAGTATTAAATCTTAAAGAAAGGACCAACATCTACAATGTTTTGGACATCACCTTAAGTAACTTCTCAAGAAAATTACGTTATTTATGTTAAATTCAGGTCAAATTTTTTTGCCCTAGGTTGGTTCTAAATTTCCTTTGTCTCCTAGCCCTAATTATTCATGAAATTGAGAATCAACCTAGGTTAAAAATTTTGACCTGTAACATTATGCATGATGAAATGCTAGTTCATTGTTGCTTATAAATAATTTTATAGAAAATGTTCTTTTGCTTTTTAGTAGTAGAGGATGATCTCAGTCAGTCACTGAAGAATGGATACCTGTTACTAGAGGATGAAATTGATCATGTAAGTTCAGTTGTTAAAGTACTGTGCAGGAGTCTTTGCAGACTTAGAACGGGAATCATTGAAATACTGGTTTGCCTGTGGACATGCATGTGCTACATGTTCATCAAGTGACAACAAATGATGTAGGGTATGATTTTTTCAGTGTTCTTTAATCAGCCACTGTTTAATTTGGAGGTATGATGAAAAGTAAGCTATTAATTACTGTAGCAGCTATAGCTGTACTAACTTTTCCCCTTTTTATTTACCTCTCAACAAAAGGGTTGGAAGCGACACTTTTTCTGTTTAACCAAGGACAAACTCTTTTGGACAGAAGAACAAACAAAGTCTAATGATGATGATGATGATGATGAAGGACTGGAGGGAGGTGGCACTGGAGAAGTAATTACCTTTTTATTTATTCAGTTTAGGGATGACCAAACATTAGACAAGTGCAAGTGTTAATTGGTCTCTAAAGCCTGACTGTCTTCAACAACAGCATAATAAATTATTTAGCAATTAATGAATGAGGCTGAGTAGTACATTATGAAGAATTAAGCAGATCGAGGAGGGTGTTATCCACCGAGGCCGAAGGTTGAGGTGGATAGCAGCCTCCAAGATCTGCTTAATTCTTCATTTCCTATGAAAGCCAAATTCATTATTGTTTTATTATTCATTCAAAATAATTTTTAGTTTAAAAACATACTGCTAAAACATGCTTACCTGCATTGATGTTAAGTTCATCTTCGATAGTGTACATTTAGGTTTGTCCAGCTCCGCAAATATTCTCCAAATAGCAGATGTCGCCCTCCGGGTTGTCTTCTTGCTGTTTTTGTCATGTTTTTAGCTATTATTTCACCTAGTTCCAGCTGTAGTTCTTACTCTTGAAACGAGTGAAATGTCTGCCTTTTTTTTTCACAACCAAAACAACTCAACCTTGTCCCCAGGTCTTCTCGGTAACGGTGCCTTAACCTGTAGCAGGCTGCATTTTTTACGTCATTTCCATGTTAAACACAAAATTCTTCCAAATTTGGTCATCAGTAAATGGTTATGGTGGATTATGCGTGTGCTTTTAGCCAATCAGAATTGGGGAAATATTTTGTCTGGGCCAGGTTGTTCAGAGCTGGGTTAACATAACCCAGGGTTAGTGTGAATTAAATTTGAATTCAGATTTGAAAGCTTAAAAAGTAAATTCAGTTTAATTCATTTTGCCAAAAAATATGCGGGAAAATGCTTTTGAACAAAAGAAAAAGAAACCCAGGTTAAATTTAACCCTGGGTTAAGTGCTAATCGCCTTTCGAACAACTGGGCCCTGTTTATCAGTTAATCACATTTTTCATGACTGTATATAAACTCATGTAAATATTTCTTGTTGTAACTGATGTAAATATTTTTGCCCCACTGTAATTTTGTTGTTGTATATTTATTATTGTATATGACGACAGAATAGCCCCATATAGAGGAGTTGTAATAAAGTGTATGTTATGTTATGTTATGTTAATCTCTCTGTAGCAGAAATTTTGCGCATTGATATATGGATATAACCTTTAGTTTTATGTTTCTTGTTGCAGTCCTCCAAAGACGAACTTCACTTTGGTGAAAGGTTTGCTCAGATTTATTTTAGTAGAATTACAAACAGTACTATGTGAAGCTTGATGTTGTTGCTGATTGTTGGCTTTCTTGACAAACTTACGACACTTATTTTTGCACAGATAAATTTCTTCTGCCACACCCCTCCCAAGATGGTAAATTGAAAACAATAACTGGTTTTCATTGGGCGATTCGAGAAAATATCCATAACATACCACGAACGGATTTTCGGAATTCCAAGGCCAAGGGGTGGGGTCTTTGGACTGGAATTCCAAAGACATGGAGGGATTGAAGATATGGAATTTCCACAGGGGACAGACAAAAGTGTATTCCTTGAAAAAGCTTATTTTATGGACTTAATCATGTCGCAAATAAAGCACAAACTGAGGAAGCTGCTGACAATGGCAGGAGCAGGATGCAAGATCGATGAACAAGCATCCTTCAATCTCACCAATCTGGCATGTGTTCGTGTTCATTTGCTAAAGAAAAACCAACAAAACGTGGGCTGTACAGCTTCATTGATTATTTTGTCCATTCAATTTGAAACATGTTTTTTTTTCGACTGAGGACACCATTTTAATTTTTGAAGCTTCTGGGATTAAGAGCAACTGCTGACCCCAAAGGCTCAAATATACTCAATCCTCTTTATTGTAATATTTTCTGAGTGTGCACATGTTCATTTATGTTCTGTACCAGTTTGTGGCAAAGTAAAGTTAATGTAAGTTGCATCTGTTGAATCCGAAGGGCTTGTTGAAAAAATGGAGAATGGGAACGGAAGGGGGGAGTTAAGTAATAGAGAGATTAAGATTCGTGTTTACGGCAAACAGCAAACGTCAGTCTCAAGTTGAGAATTTTTCAGAATAGAAAATAAGCAGAGAGAAACAGTCACCAACGGTTCCTGTGGTTAAAACTAGCAGAAAACTACTTAATTTTTGGAGAAGTAATAAAGAGTAAAGGGAAAATAAGGGGAAAACTTGGTCACATGGTACAAGTTCACTTCTACTGTTTGGCGTAAACATGAATCTTAGTCTCTCTAATGTTAATGGAATTTTGAGGGCACTGGGGTAGAACCCAGTTTGGAATTTCTGAATGCAAGGGGGGGTTAAAATAAGGAAACCGTCCATGGTATGGTATGGATATTTTCAGAAGTTGCCCATTTACAAGCTAGGATAGACCTTTTGCAATAGTTGGTCGTGTGATCAAGGATTTGTATGGAAAACCACTGAAGCATGACTAGGTGACAAGAGTTGTTTTTCCCATACAAATCCTTCTAATTTTCCGTGGCCATTGCAATTGCTACTTTTGAGGTATACGGCTGAAAATTTACAGGTTGCTTGATTTATATCTGCTTTTTCAGTGCGTGCCAACAAACTTTTTCAAAAAAGCAAACTGTTTTGGTTTTTACCGAAAGCTGATCACATGATCAACTAATGCAAAAGGCCTATTATCATTTTAAAATGGAAAACTTAACACTGTAAGGGATTAAGTGGGTGGTATTTTTACAGACATCTCTCAAAAGAATATATGATGTCCGAAAATTAATACTAAGATTGTTGTCTCTTGTCTTACCCATGTTTAAAGTAGTTAATTTTAGATACTCTTACAGTAATTTAATGGCGTCTGTTTTAGATGGTTTCATGGCAAGCTTGCAGATGGACGAAAAGCAGCTGAAATCCTTCTAAATCAGTTTAATCGTGGAGATGGCTCTTTTCTGGTGCGAGAGAGTACAACTTTTGTTGGGGATTTTTCACTGTCATTCTGGTAAGCTAGTGACCATTTTTGGAGGAATGAATGCTGTATTCCAACTTACTTTTCACTAGTAGTTTACACTCCATAACTTAAGGCTAAAGGTTGTTTTTTATTAGTTGAATTGTAGTGTTTATTACTGGCAATAAAACAGTTCTTATTGTCCTTTCAGCATGACCATTGATTGTAATCCAAATTGTTACAGTTTGTTTTATGAGCTGATTAAAGTAGTTTTCCCTCAATAAGTAGGATTATGCCATTCACTGGAGTACAAAATGCTTTTGTATAATGCCATTTTAAATGCATTAGGCCAAAATAAAACAGCATAACTTGATCAGGGCTAAAAAAAGTTCCTTCTGTTAGTCCGGGACAAGTACACGTTGGTTTTGTTGCTAGGCAAATAACTTTTAAAGCTTAATTAATACTTACATAATGAGTGTGGGTCCAGCAGGGAAGTCATCCTCTAACAAAACCATTATAAAGACCAGTAATATGTGGGCCTAGTGGAGAAGCAAAATGTGAGAACTTCTTGCCCAAAGGACAAGATGGAATTAAAAGTTTTTCTTGAAGACCTGTAGATATGAACCTAAATTGGAATGTTGTGTTTTACATCTGTTCATTGTTTTTCTTTGTCCCTGAAATAATCAGGCGAAAAGGCAAAGTTCAACACTGCCGTATCAAATCCAAGCAAGAGTGTGGACAGACAAAGTATTACCTGGTTGATCAAGTGACGTTTGACAGTTTATACAGCCTCATCAATTTCTATCAGTCTCATCCTCTCAAAAGTATGAACTTTGAACTCACATTGACAGAAGCAATACCCCAGGTGACTGATACTATTAAGTAGGTGAACATTAATTTACGCAAAACACTGATATTTCAAGAAAAATGTTTGTACTGATTTTTAACAGTGAATATGCAAACCAAAAAAAATCTGTCCTGAAAATGTGTCACTTTGACACCATAGTAATATTTCATGGATGCGATATGGTATTGATTTTAACCATGTATCATAATATTTACAACATTGAATTATTTTTTCTTTTCCCTGCATCATTGATGACTTGTACATCAGCCAAATGCACATCTTGAAAAAGAGTAAGTACACTGAAACACATTGTTTTGTTCTACAAGGATTTCCTGTATCATTTAACATTTTTTACTTCCATCTGAATGTAAGTGCTTAGTTTTTAAATGTTGTAGTTCAAAATGAAATTCAGTCAATTCAATGACATAATGAAAGTACTATAAAGGGTTATGCAACAGATGAAATTGAGAATCATACTACTGTAGGTTGGAAGCACCTGGCTTGAAAGATTGGGCAGCTTGAAATACTGCTTTTAGTGCTTATAGAACTGTCAACTGCTGCAGGGCACCCAGGATTTCAAACGTGCAATCTGGGCACCCTTTAGCTCTTTGAAGAGCTGAACCTTCAGTAAAAATATCTTGGTTCTATTCCAGTGAGGATAATAAAATACAGTTGCCCACGTTCAGTGTATTCCAACAGATGTGTAATCTTTACACGAAACTCCTGCTTAAAAATTGTTAATGGCAGCTATACACAGCAATTGTTTGTTCTGCTAGTATAGTCATGCATGGCATCTTATTTTTCTCAACTTTTAGTTGGTACCATGCTAATCTCAAAAGAGACGAGGCAGAAGATATGTTGAAGAGGGTGAGAAAAAATGGTGCCTTCCTGGTGAGACGAAAAGAAGCTGATCAACCAACAGCAGAACAGTCAGAGGCTGCTGCCATGCAGCGGGATGAATCATATGCCATCTCATTTAGGTTAAAATTCATTCCAGTTTTCCATTTATTATTATTTGCATTAGTTTAATTCAATAATTCAAAACCAACAACAACAATAACAACAACAGTCAATATTAATTAGTGCTCCAGGAAAAAGAAGAGAGGTAAACTACATGTTGACAATTAGCAAGGTAGAGAGCACAGCCACATAGAAATAACAGATGCTTGTCGTGCTAAGTGGCTGACCATTCTGAGAAAAGTATTTACATATGTATTAAATAAAGAAATACACACATAAAGAAAAAAAGACAAAACAAAACAGAAACAAAAAACTAAGCAGCAAGGCCTGTGTACATAATCACCTGGGAAAAAAAGTACATCAAAGAACCAATAAACATTTAGAGATGAGAGATTCTTTCAAGAGATTTTTGAAACAAGAACGACTCTCTGATTTAAGATCTTCAGGAACAGAATTCCAAGGTTTGGCACTGCTGAAACGGATATTAAATTTTCTGCAATTGGTCCTTGCTTTAGGTAAATAGTAAGACTTCTAAGAGGCCAGTCTTGTTTTATATTGATGTACTTTTTTAATGGTTTTAAAAAGTTATTAAAAGTGCTAGGAAAACTGTTTTAGTAAAATTCGTACATATAAAGAGCATTGTCTAGATATATTAAATCACAAAATTTAAGTAGCCCTAACTCAAAAAAGAGAGGACTAGAATGGAAATTATAATCAGAGAAGGTAATTCTCCTAACTGCTTTCTTCTGAATGGTAGTAAGTGTCTTTAGAGAGGTTTGATATGTATTTGCCCAGGTAATTTAGCTATAAACCAAGAAGGTATCTGTATAAATTAGCTAGTAAATATAACCGATATGTATATATATATATATATCTAATTTTAGAAAGTATTCCAATACAACATGGAAGTGGGATTCAAAATGTAATTCTAAATATTTAATGAACTTTTCTTGTCTTATCTGCTGTTAGAAGTACTATCTTAACTATGTGATTTGTTGGCTTTTGAGAGGGGTGAAATATAATGAAGTTTGTCTTGTTGATATTTAAGGAGAGCTTTTTTGCCATAAGCCAATTGGAAACTGATTTTAAATTTTAAAATTATTATTAATAATGACCTCCAGTTCAGGTAGACTGCGATTGGCATAAAATAAATTAGTACCATCTTCAAAAATGTGAAAGTCAAAGAGTTTGCTATCATTACGGAAGTCATTAATAATATACAGAAGAAATAAGAGAGGGCCTAGGACAGAGCTCTGAGGGACACCATGAGTAATAACAAGGTCATCGTTGTAACTAAGATATTATTAATAAGATTTTCTTACATGTATGACTTCGTCATTTTGACTTAGTTATCTGCATAACCAAACTCAGGACTCATAACCACATCCACACTTTAATGTGTCCTAATTCTGTTAAATTGCAGAGCTGAAGGCAAGATTAAACACTGCCGAATAAAGCGTGAAGGTCGCCTTTATACAATAGGCACAGCTCAGTTTGAAAGTTTGGTTGAACTGGTTGAGTTTTACATGAGACATCCACTGTACAAAGGAATGAAACTCAGATACCAAATCAATGAAGATGTAAGCAACTTGAGTTTAATTTGCTTTTATACATTTTGCAGTGCAACATATTGTAACTGGGGCCACCTAGACAAAGTAGCCAAATCGGATTACAGGAAAATAACAATACATTCCAAGAAAGTTGGTTGTGAGCCAATCAGCAGCTCGTAACAAAACAATAAAGTACTCAAAGCACATGATTTGAAAATTGATAGTAAACATTATTTAAGCTGGAAAGTGAAATGTTTCACCAGACAATGTTTTTATACATGAAACTTTACATATAACACCCAGGAGATGTATTTGTTTGACACAAGCTGCTATTTTGTCATCTACCAGTAATTTCTTCGCTACCATTGCGCCATTTTGCAATATCAAGTGACCTCAAGTAAAAAATATGACCAACGTTTACGTTTTTCGCGTCAATCGACACCCTAACAGACCTCTTACGAAACTTGGGCTATCTTCAGCAGGTTCAAAAGGTCACATCTGTAGCTTGTGATTGGTTGATTTTGATCCATGTTGTCGATCTCGTTTCATGGTAATTATGATTTACAAGTAACTTTCTTGGAATGTATTGCTATTTTCCTGTCATGCAATTGGTCAACTTTGTCTAGGTGGCCCCAGTTATATAGTGGCACTGTAATGTAGATTTTATGGATGTAAAGCGATCTTTATGGTTAAAATTTTTTTCAGATCAGTTGAATGTAATGACTTGTCAGATTATGGTAATGAATTTATAAGGTGAAAAAAGAAAAAAATAACTTCTTGCTGTGTGATATTTTTCACTGCAAAAGTATCACAAAATGTAATTATGATAAAGACCAAGGGCTGGAAGATATATGTTGCTTGCTCACTAGGTTAATATGTCCTGGTTTATTTGCCTCTGTTGTTCCCTTACATGCAACTGCCACACTATTATAATTTACAACTGATCACTAGAACTTAATGTCAGGGTTTTAACACTGTAAGGGACTAGCATCACATCTAGGGAAAAGTTGAAAGGTTGTAGTAGGGATAGAGGTTGTATGTTTTCCTGCCTCTAGAGGTCAGTTTCACATTGTTACATCACTTTATTTCTTCTTTAGGTGTTATCAAAAGTTGGTCAAGTAAGTTTCTTCTTTGTCATCAAAATGTTTTGATTTGTTGATCACTTTGTTGACAGCCATGTATGAAGAGTAAAAGGATTTCTGATTTGTTTGCTTGGTCAGAAAGAAATAAATCAATTAACCATTCCCTCCTCTTTTGGGAAAAGAGGAGGAGTAACATTAATTTTACGATAAATTTTGAAACACAGTCTTGTCTAAAAATGAAAAAAAGAAAAGAAGGAAAGAAAAGAAAAGATCATTTGATTATTTGAATCTCATCATACCTTATACCCTTTTGATAATCCTCTACCTTTTCAAAGGAAATTAAATTAATAGTTAATTAATTATTTTATTGCTAAAAAGATGGGAATTTCTTTTAGTCACCAGAGGAAGAAGCAATTTATGGAAGTGGAACTCATTATCACGAGCCTAATAAATTTATAACCAAGGTCAGTAAAATGCACTGAAAGTATGCTACTTTTTACTTAATAACACATTTTTGTCTCAATTTAATTAATTAAATGTTTAAAAATTATCCAACACAAAGTGCAAAGATCAAGTTTTGTAAGGGTTATGTTGAAATTAAGCGTCTTTTTTCAATAGCCTGCTTGTAGAGCATTGTGGGATTATGAAGCTCAGAATCACGATGAGATGTCATTTTGTAGAGGAGCATTTATAACAAACGTGAGCAAGGAGGATGGAGGATGGTAAGGACTTTTACCTGGCATGATCTTTCATGTTTCAAGTTGGTTCTGCTGTGCCTGGCTTGCATAGTCTTTAGTGAACCTTCAATTCATTGTGCTAACTGCGACATATTGAAATCATACAGTACGATTGATCGTAGAAGTAATGCTGATCACATATTAGGAATTTGTCCACAGGCTCTCCAGTTAAGCTACATCATAACATAACATTTCTGTATTATCCACTCTGATCTCTTGAAGGGAAGGGATCAAGGACATCATTTTAGGGAGTATCATCTAACAAGATCTGTTTGATCCCTGTGCTTATTCAGGTGGATTGGTGATTATGGAGGCCAGAAACAAAAATTCTTTCCAGCCAACTATTGTGAAGAGATCAATTATGTTGCAGAGGAAGAGGCCAAGATGAATAAATTCCAGAATGGCTGCACAGATGATTTTTCAGAAGTAAGTATTTAATGCAACATTTGTTGTAATTCAATGTTCTTTTGTCTGGGCTCATGGAGGTATACAAAAAGTATTATGTGAAAGCAGTCTTAAGCCAAAGAATCGTGCCTCACCCTGTATTGTACAAGAGGATGATGAACAGATGATATGGACGTGTAATTAATTGTCTTTGTTGCTTTTATGTAGCCTCAAGAAGTGTCCCCATTAGGTGATCTGCAAAAAGGAAGCATAGATCTTCAAGGATGTTTAGTTGGTATGTAAATTACTGCACGGTACTAATGAAGGTAATAAGATGTAGCATTTCAGGGCTTCCTGTGTTTACACTTACTATAATTATGTTGTTTAACACAACTTGAAGTTTTAACTTAAAATATTAAAACACTCTTTTAACTGTCAAGCTGTCAAGCATTTATATAAGTAGTACAACATTGTTTTCGTTTAATGCTCAGGGCAGTCTCTTATATCTTAAGCTACACTGTAATGTGTTATGATTCTTAACTCCAAAAGCTGTTGTTCTGTTTTGTTGACACTGTATTTACTTATGGTTAATTTGCAAACAAAAACGTTCTTGCATTGACTAAGGCCATTTCAAGCATTTAACACCCCTGTATCTAATATTAATTTTGCTTCCCTGCTTATCTTTATTATTACCCTGAACTTCATAGATTCATTACCACCCAAAGGAGGCCAGAGACACATTATTCGAATTTCCAGACGTGATGGACAAGTTCTGCTGGAAGCTGCAGGAGAATCTCAGGAGGTACAAAGTAAAACCCTGCGACTAAGAACCTGGATTTTAAGAACCCTTTAGGCTAAATTTTGTCAGTTAAGCCTCCTCTATTTAAGAACCTGTTTTGCCTAGAATTTGAAACAGGTTCTTATTTTCTAAAATCTATGAAAAACTTCTGGACACTCAGACAAATATGAGATATGAGCTAAAAGTAGTAAATACTCTTAGCTATATTGTATTTTTTTCTTCTTTGGAAACTAAGAACTTATTTAAGAACGTACATAGCCTAAACGTGTGCTAACTACCATTTATACAAGAACTTGTTTAGGCTAACTTGGAAAAATCCAGGTTCGTAGTCGTGGGGTTTTACTGTACTGAACTTCACACACATGACTGTTTTCCTTGGGACTGGTTCAAAATGTACTGATTGTAAGCAGTGCTCCCCTTCCTTGACTACCCTGTAGACCCCATCTGTTGTGAAAGGAGTGATAATTATGAGGGATTATATTGAATAATGGTGAAAATCAACCGACATACTGCAGGTACAGCCAATTGGCCTTTATTTCCGCTGCCCGGTTAGCTCAATGGGATAAACGCCGGTCTGCTGAGCGGGAGGCCGTCAGTTCAAACCCCGGCCGGACCAACACTCACGGTCTTTAAATTACTGAGGAGAAAGTGCTGCCTTTGTAATAACACCTGCAAACGGTTTGACTTTCTAGTCTTCTCGTATAAGGACGGTAAACCGTAGGCCCCGTCTCACAAGCCCTTGCACATGTAATAAAAAAATCTGTGGGACGTTAAAGAACCCACACACTCTTCGTAAAGAGAAGGGCAGGTACTGCCTGGTGTAGTGGTGTCTATCTCACTTTCGCTCTCATGTATGGGGGTATCATTACTCATTCCTTCATTACTTGTAAACTGCACCTTAAGCAGTCTGGCAAAGTCCCCCAACCAGTGTTGCAAATTATCCCTGAAAAGCCCTGAGGGGAGTGGATAATATGATATTTACATTTACATTTTACATTTAGGATTTACATGAATGGTTACCAGTTCTGCAACAAATGGCAGATGAGAGGCAAGCCATAGTACAAAGAATGGTTAGACAGTCAAACTTGAGTCAGGAGCTGTCTGATTTGGTGGTCTACTGCCAGCCCATACCATTTGATATAGAAAGTAAGTTAGGCTCTAATGAGGAAACTGGAATGATTCAAAATGTATCAATAACTTTCTGACACCTTCATTTCTCTTTTGCTTGCATTAACTATCAGATAAAGCTCGTAGTGATAAGGGAGATTTTCCCTAAACCACATTCACAGGACTTGACGGCATCTCTTAAAACAAGATTTTTTTACTGATTTATTATTATTATTTTTGTTTTGGCAGATGTGTCTGGTAAACATTATGAGATGTCTTCATTCCCAGAAACAAGACTAGAACGGTTTGTGAGCAAGAGATGGAGCAAAGTGTTTATTAAATATCCTTTCTGAACTATTTTACAGAAAGCAGGTGATCGTTATGATAGGTCCCTGTTTTTCATCAGTTTTTTATTTTTGTATTTTAAATTCCAACCCAAAGATGAGTATTGATTTCCAAAGTGATTTTTTGTAAGGCAATTTAGGGTTGCTGCCTTAAGATTACGCAGAGGAGCACACAGGGAACCAAGTTGAGTTATTAGCCCTTTCACAGGAAAAACATTTTTGTCTCCAAAAGATTGCTTTAGGTGCTATAGGTTACTGCAGTTATGCTAGGCAACACAGTGTTTTTGTGGCGTGAATCAGAATTCTTTAACAGCAGTGTAGATATCATAGGAAACAGTTCAGCAGAGTGTATCCCAGGGGGAGCAGAATAGATTCATCCAACTATGATCCAGTGTCAATGTGGAATCATGGAGTGCAGTTGTGTGCACTCAATTACCAAACACCAGGTAACTAAATCTTGGGGCAGTACGCTTAATTTACTACCATTTATGACACTATGGTTAATGATTTGCACTTTTCTTTCTTCGTCTAGAACCTAGTCACTCATCTTGTCATATGTTTGTTCATTTTCAGATCGAGCAATGCAGCTGAACCATGGTAAATTTCTTGACAACGGAAGGTAACTGTTTTTGTTTTTTTATAGAGTGGATCCTTGGCTGAATTCCAACCATTTTGAGCAAGTCTGGTTACCATCCTTCCCAGAGGCCAGTCCTGGGGGAGGGAATGCATGCAAAACAGCCTGCAAAATTATCTGAATTTTGCCACTCTCTAGAACTCTTGATTGTTGAAAATAAGGGAGGTTTCAAGCAGAGTTTTCACTTGTCTGACTTTTGATTTCTTTGTTTGAACATTGTAGGTGTGGCTACGTTTTACAGCCTGAATGCATCAGGAATGATAAATTTGACCTTTATGATAAAAATGCTGCTGGTGTAGAACCATTGACTCTTACACTAACAGTAAGTCAGTAGCTCCTCTATTCTCACTAGAGAAAACACGCACAAAAGCGTAAGTTAGCATCAATTCACTTCCTAAAATTCTTAGCGTGACCCAGGGGAATACACGGCATACCCACAGACCTTGTCACTCAGTTTTGAGAGCAGCGAGCTTGATTATTGAGCCAGTTCTAGTAACGTGTAGGTCTCAGCACCCTCGATAGCAGTTCTCGCCCCTTCCCCCTCCCCTCCCTCACCTCATCCTAACTACGGATATTGCAGCAGTTTTTGAGTGGGTACCGTTAAAACAATTGCTCAATATGATAGCTAAGAGTGTTTGAATAAACCAATGATATTTAAAACCCGTTTTAAGTCCCGATTAATTCAGTTGTCGGTAAATTGGCGCGAGATTTGCTGTCTGTTTCAAACTTTCTTTCCACACTCAAAATGAAATGCTTTTAAATCCAACGAGATTGTGCCGCTAATTTAAGCTGTGTGTAATAGTTGTTTGACTACTCATTTTTGTGCTTGTGAGTAGAACCATTGGTCGCCTCTAGATTAAATTAAATACCTTGATTTGTCTTTTGCAGATTATCTCAGCAAGACATTTGGTGAAGTCAGGGCGTGGAATAGCGTCCCCCTTTGTAGAGGTCGAGATTGTCGGGGCACCATATGACAACTTCAAATTCAAGACAGAAACTAAACGTAAACTCCCTTTTCTTTCAATATCATCGTTACACTGTGTAATAAGAACCAACGGACCTTTCTAACTAAAGATTCCAAGCATGAAAGTGTCTCTCTCGCTCTCTCTCTCTTTTTTTTTTTGAATCTCATGTGATTTCACTTGGACCTCAAATCTGTACAGGCGCCTTTGCCAAAAGACAAGAGAAACAGAAACAAAGGACTCATTCGACATTGACTTGTCTATGATGAGCACATTCAAGAAATATTTGCTTGTCTTCCCTGTACTCTGGAGCCAGTTTCTCGAGGGTTAGGTAGGCTAGCTCCACCCCTACCTACTTTTTCTGGACCTTTTTGGGTCATTATGGCTGGGTCTCTGATTAAACGACTCAATTACTATTTGTAATCTGCACTTGTATGTCCTTACACAGGGAAATATTTTGTTATAAATTTGTGTTAAACCTGGGTCGTCGCACTGGCTTTTCAGCTAAATATTTCGTCTAATCAAAAGAAACGGAATGCTAAAAATTCTTACACAGTTTTGAAAGAAGCATGGAGGTCCAGACTGTAACAAAAACTTGGCTTTGTTTTATTTTAGCTGATAATGGTTTGAATCCTGTTTGGTGGGTTAAATTTGATGTTGATGTTATCAATCCTCCTCTTGCCTATCTTCGCTTCGTCGTCAATGATGAAGATATGTTTGGTGAACCGAACTTCATTGGACATGCCATCTTTCCTATGTGTAGCTTGAAAACTGGTATGTATTTGTTAGTTAACGTGCCAGAAGAAAATATGATTCCTTTTGCATGTTAACCAATAGGTATATCGAGACAGGACATATTTGAAGTTTGAGGAAAAAATTCCTTTTATAGGTGACCTAGCTGCATAAACTCTCTTATATAATTTGTTGTCATAGTCACAGTAGTGTTACTTCTAACCAAGGGAGAGAATTGTTACTTTTACAAATTCTTTGAGGGCAAAGAAGGGTTACAACCTACACAACTTTGAGAAACATGCTTTGCTAGGTTAGAGTGGTCAGCTAAGGAGCTCAATCTTCTTTTTCTTAAATCAAGTCAGTTTGAATTTTTTCCCTATAGTTACAGCATTGTTTTCATATCCCAGCAAAGGTAAACAAAGGTTTGTCTTCTTGTCGTGGTGTCTTGAATCCCTGACAGGAATCGAACCTCTGACGTCTCCCAAACGACGGGAAGGCGGCGCACTACCTTTGGAACTATGAAGACTGAGACTCATGGCGAGCAAGGCGGCGGTGCGCCACCATGTTCATATATCACGTACTTCCTGAGAGCTGACTGTATGAAAGATGCCGATGCCTGTGACGGGACGGTTATCGCATCTTTGTCTAGAAATTAACCATCTTGTCATGTTTTATTTCTTTGCACTTTTTTGTTGTATACAGGTTACAGGTCCGTTCCACTGAAGAATGCTTACAGTGATGAGTATGAACTGAGCTCCTTACTGGTTCATATTGACATCAGAAGTGCTATGGTAAGCCGGCATTAACCTCCTCCCCTTCTTCAGCTCCCTTCACCTGGAACCATGCATTGGTTACATAATATGAGCATAGAAAAATTACTAGAATATAATCTTCCGTATGCCTCTAGTGAAAGGTAACAAATTAACTGTAAAATAAACACAGACCAGTAGAAAATTCCAATCCACGTGATTCAAACACAGCACACAGTTGGTGAAGTTAACTGCTCTTAAGCTGTTACAAGTGTACGTACAGTACAAGTGATTTTTAACCTTAAGTTTTCATTCCCTACTCTAAACGTATTATGGACACTACAGTTATTTTCTTTTTGAAAACGTCTTGCAACCTCTATCTACTGTCTTCGTTACCAATTGTTTCCTTGATTGCGAGTTAGGGTTAAGTTAAAAAAAGAACAAAGGAAAACTCACAGGAAAATCAAGAATGTAATTATTGACATTCTGTATCGTAGAGAATGAGTAGAGTACTGGGGACCTTGCGGGTTCGTTCTGTTGAATTGTAGCAGTGATCAACTGTTCCTGTTAATTTGTGCTCCTTGTTAGCTTTTTGTAACCTTGCTTTGATATTTTTGACAGGGTGGAGATGAGAACCTGTATGCATCTATCCAAGTACTGCGTGACAAGGTTGAAGAAATATCACATCATATGCAGGACGAGGAGCTGAAAGCTCGTGTAACAATGTCCAATTTACTGAGCCAACACACTGGACCTCAGTCGCTTGAACAGTTTCAAGATCATCATGAACATCAGATGGAAAGTCTTGGAAAACAGCTTAAACAGCAGCAAGATGATCTACGTAAATTGCAGAAGGAAAGAGCCGCCAGGTATGCTGCTGTATACAATTGGAAATTTTATTTCAGGTCATTCAGACATTCATGTTGATCATAGTTAGAACTGAGAAAGGGATTCAGCAGCAAGTAAAGACCATCACTAGCTGTAGATTGAACGAGATTTGTGTGTTTTTTTCACTGTGACAGTAAAGTGTAGTGGCACTGCTACATGTGAAACGTAAAGGAAATGAAAGAATTTTATATATTTAGTTTTTTTTTATCAATTATTTGTGCCCTAAGACTTATGTTTAGAGCAAATGGCAAACGTCAGATTCAAATCGAAAATTCTCAAATTAGGAAATGAGCAGCTAAACACTGTCCAAAACAAATTCTTATTGATAAAACTGGCATGAATCTACTTATCTTTTTGAAGATGTTAGAACCTACAGTAAACTGAGACAAGTAAAAGGAAAACTTTGTCACGTGGCACAAACTCATGCTCGCCGTTTGCCACAAACATCAAAATTCTAAATCTCCCTATTTTCTTGAAAAGAATTTATTCTGTCTATATGATATTGCATGTTGCAGTATATAATATTGCATTTTGCAGTTTGAATATCAGGTACCAGAAAGAGCCGTAACCATTAAGACACGAAACTTCTTTTGGAGTTATCATGTGGTTAACAAAAAATTTTTTCTTTACAGGTCATCTGGCCGAGGACGAAACCGCTACCAATAAGAAACTTCATGAGAATGTAGCTTAAACATACTAGAAAAATAACTTGTTATAGTTATCAGTTTTTACAGTCATCTCCCACCATGGAGTACACCCATGAGTACACAATAATCCATACACCTCCGGTTTCTTCACCAGAGGTTTCTACTTCTCTTTGTAATAACGAGGTGTACGAAGGTGACTGTGATGTATTATGGTCTAGGTTAGTGTAGAATTTTAACTGTGGGTTTCAAGATGAGAAGGTCATCTCAACTAATTTAAATTTCTGATGTGTTTAAATTGCTGAGGGACCTGTTATGGTGACGCAAATTGAACACAAAATGTGATTGTTTGCAGCCGTACTATTGATCATAATTTATAACGGTTTGCTGTGAATGTAAAGAAGATAATAATTATGTCGCTTTCCACAGGAAAGTTAGGCTGTGATAGTTCATTAGTTATCTAAATTGAATTTTTAGGCAATTTGCTTAATTCTTTGGATTTAATTACGTTAGTATTTAGAGTGGTGGATTCATTTTCACTGACTCGCGCGTATTGCCGTTGCATTTACCCGTTGGAATATTGTTTGTAAGAGTAAAAACAATAAACAATCCAACAGGTGAATGTGATGGCTATACCCGTATGCGGCAAATCAACTGATCCACCCTGAGGAACAGTGAAGCCTTGTTAACAGGTGTTAAGAATTGTTGTTTTTACCCAAGAAGTTTAACTCGACTTGTATGAGGTGAAGGAGAACCGACTCTGAGCTCATGTAGGCTTCGTTATTAATGCTGGGAGCAAAGCTGATAAAATTGAATAAGTGTTTCTTGCCTTCAGTTGTTCATCTCATTTGTGGGATATGATATCTGCCATCGCTTGGATTGGATGCGAGACAGCAAGCTGAAAAATGTGACAGCTTGTGTATTTCCCTGTAAATATGTCTTCATATCTTCTTGTTAAATATGTGAATAGAAGGCAGAAACCTTACTCGTCTCTTTTGATAAGCAGAATTACTTAGTCATTAAGATTAAACAGGAATCCCGTTTTCTCACTCTTTCTTGGAAAAGAAAATTGGTTCAATCTACCGGGAAGTTCCCGAATCAAATAAGGAATGAAATTAGTGCAGTATGACTGTGGTAGGAAAGCCAGGTTGGATTCAACTGTATTGGTTACTTTGTCGATGTTAAACATAACAGGAATGATTCAGCTGTGGGCTTGATACAAAGTCAACAGTATTAACTATCAAGAGAATTTCGTGGAGATACGACCTTGATAATATACAAAATGGAACACAAATTCATGAATAATTGTTTCATGTGTACATACATTTATCTTCAATTCACTGCTGTTTAGTCGATCTTATGGCCTTTCAAAATTGATAGGTCCAAGAATTTTAGCCACCCTCAGTCACCAGTCCGCTTTTACTTTCCTTCATTAGTGAGGCTTGATTTTCCGCAAGGACCTTCAGGAATGTGCGAAAATGATGGCCTCAAAAAGATTAAGTTAAATTAAGATAACAAACGAACAAAATTACGGAGACCTAAAAACGTGGCAACCATTACAAGTGGCATGCATGCATTTAACTAATATACTTAACTGCTTACAATCCCTGAATGCCAATATTTGAAGACAAACCACAATATTCAAGGCACACACAGATGCAAAGCACATACCTTCAAATATTTGATACAAAAACACTTCGGGTTTACAAAGGACTCCAGTGATTAGTCTTTCAGGTTTCTTTTAAGAGTACAGCTCATTCTCAACATGTAGGCCGAGTTCCATCGTCACTGAATCTGATGCAAATGAGCCGAACAATATTTTTCCCCATAAGTATTAAATTTGGCATAGAGTCTCTGAACGCGGGCGTTTGTATCCTTGTTTGAAGTAGTTTTAAAATAATTAAGTACCCATAGTGGATGGGGAGACAGTGTAAAACAATGTTCTTTTTCTAAGTTTATCAGTAGCTCTTTTGTTTACGTCTACGTGTTATATGAAGTATATCTGGCAAATCAGTGATCCATTATGCTAATTTTTGTGAATAAACGTATTAACGATAATAACGTGTTTTCATACTTCACAAAAAATAATACAAGTTCATAGTTAAAGAAAATTTCTACATAGTATTTTTTTTCCGTATTGGCGGAGGTGTTCAAAGGAAAAATCCATTATAATTAAGCGAGAAGAGAGGAAACGCACATCCCTCCACCCTCATGCAGAGGGACTCAGTTATTTGCTTGCTTGCATTTTCACTGCTCGCTTGTTTTCGCTGACCGAGAGCTTGGCATACGCCTTTTGCATATCTACTATAATGCACCTTATTTTCCCCCCAAAATTTTGCATAAGCATTGCTTTCAGTTTCTCTTGGGACGGCTGTAATACCCAGGAGAAATGAAAAACAAAGGTTATTCAAAATTTGGGGGTGGGGGCAAATTAGGTGCATTATTGGAGATGTGCAACTGGTTTATTGGCTAGAAATTCTGTTTTACAGCTCTCGAATCAAAATACTTCGTTCCTCTTGTGAAGGTTGTTAGGAAGAATGGAAAGTTGTATTTACAATTTGATTTTTCACTGAAAAGCTGATCCTTAAAGGAGCTGACAATATGGGGGTTGAATGAGAGAAATAATACAGGTGATGGCACATGACAAACGAATATAAGTGGCATGTAGATAAAAATTTTTTACAAAACACACCATTTTACAATACCGTCGATCACTTGACTTTTTGCATGCAATGTCAAATAAACATGGCGAGCGTGTGAAACTCTCCCACATTAGACATTTTGAAATGAAATGGTTTTTCAGGAAGTGGGCAGACTGAGGTATTTAAAAAGATAGTTTCAGGCTGTCTTTCCTTTTTTCCTCATGCTGTTTTCTGCTTGCTTACATTTTCACTGCTCACCCACTTTTTTCCTTCGTCTGCACTGACCCAGAGCCCGGCATAGGCTAGAAATTCTGTTTCACAGTGCTCAAAATACCTAATTTATCTACGAGTTTGATTGATCAACAATTTGGCTATCCTTTAGAAGTTCTACCCAGAGCTCTTGGATTTACAAATGTCTTTCCACCAGTTTTTTTACAATAACTGTGTGACTGTTTGTTGTTGTTGCCTGATTCACCATGATGGTTTGGTTTTATTGACACGGTGGGTTGATATTGGTCCCATGCAGAGATTTAACGGGGTATATGGACATCCCTTGTCCACCAGGGAAAGTGGATGTGACACCTGAAAGACCCACCATTTTAAGTTACACTTACTTCTTTTGGTGGATTTTTATTTACCCAAAAAAGCTACTTAGAGCCTCAAAGATTTAAGTGAGGTAGGTAGCTCAGAGTATTGTGGGTAATTGTTTACTGAAAGGTGGATACAGCAATAAAAATTGAAGCAAAAAGACTGGAAAACAATCTGACATTGACATCGTGGTACGTAACATGCATGGTGAATTCTTAATATCATCAGGCCCTGGTTGTTCAAACGTTGGATAGCGCGCGCCATCCACCGGATAAATCACTATCCAGCAGGTGGAGTAATTGATTTCCATAATACTTCCCTACTGGATAGTGATTTATCCGGTGGATAGTCCTATCCAACGTTTGAACAACCGGGGCCAGGTAAATAACCAGCACTAACTATCCATTGTAAGCGGTGTACCATAGGGAACAGAGTTTTAATGGCTACATCTCTATGTCAAAATCACCTGTTTTGCTCTGGTCCTAGTTGTTCAAAGGGTGGATAGCACTATCCAGCTGATAAATCTTTATCCAGTGGATAGTGTAATAGAGATTTATCCGATGGATAGCGCTATCCAGCTTTGAACAACTGGGGCCTTGTTAGCCTGGGCGCAGACGAAACTAAACTCTGTGCAGGCTAGGGCCTGGTAGGCAGTCCATGCTGATTTCTTCTTGTAGTAACCTTGCTACAACAGCCACTCCTGAAAAACAGCAACAGTCACTAGAGTATGCACCAAATACGAAAATAAAGGGAACAACAGACAAACTGTTGTATGTGCCATACTTTACTTGCCTTGTTCTGTCAACTATTTTGTTCAGAATGGCCATACAAGGGACCGCCAAAAGATTACCAATGGGGAAATATTTACAAATATTTACAAGCTTTTGTTAACAAAAGTAAATCATTGGTAATACATTCCTTATTGACGCTCTATGTAACCCTTCCTTATACATGCCATTATTATATACAGTAATAGTTCATGTTTGTAAACATTGTTTTTTTATTGAAATATTGCAACCTACTAAAACAAAGTACCCTTGCATTCAAAATCCAATAAAAACAGGTAGAGGTGACAAAGTGAACTGGGGCTATGCACATCATGTAGGGTGATCAGTACAGTTGAACCTCCATTACACTACCACCTATTAAGTAGCCGGCAGTGATCATGCGGCCACTGACACCTTTACCATCCTGACAAGAGTTCTTTTATTGTTGTCACCTCTATGGGCATCAGGTGCTTGATAAACTTAGTTAGGTAGCCCAGGGTTGCCACTAAATAGAGGTTCAACTGTAATAGACCTTTTCACGGTTATGACGCTGTCTTGGCTGAGGGGCAAACACAGTTAAAATTAACAGTGAATGTATGGGATTTTGGCCCACTTGGAACCACCATAACGCTGCTGCAAAAAGGTGGATTTCCAACATTTGACACTACTTTGAATAGCTTTATTGATGTCATTCATTCAACAAAAAATAAGACTATTGAAGAAGGTATGACATCCGTAAATTCGAATTATAAATCTTCCCATGTGGCTTCTAATTTCATGGTAATTTGCATAATGTTGATTAGAAGGATTTGTATGAAATCTTAAAAATTTGTTGATGGTCGTTATAACCTGAATCTCTTCTTTATAGTTCATGAAAATAATCTCAGTACAAATGTCTTTTAAAATACCTTTTCGCTCTGGAAATCCACATCTTTGTAGCGGCGTCATAGCAGTTCCAAGTGCGCCAAAATTCCATACATTCACTGTAATTTTAGCCATGTTTGCCCCCCAGCTAAGATGGTGTCAGAAACTGTGAGAAGGTCTATTTAGGTTCTTTACCATTTATTAAAAAATTCCAGAAATTTTGGTTGGGAATTTTTGTTTGGTAAGAACGGTACGTGTCATTTACCATTTGCCTAAAATTTCCGCATTGTCATGCCATGCTAGACTGGATTCTTGTTACAACGTAAAACTATTAAAAATACCGTAAGATTCTGAAAATAAGCCACGGGGCTCATATTTTCCAAAAGCCATTTTTGAGGGGCTTATTTTTGGAGGGGCTTATCTATGGAGGGAAATTTGTATTTCAAAGCCTTACAGTTGGAAGGAAATTTACCGTTTTTGCTTTGTTTTACTTTGTATTTGAGGGCAATTTCCAAGTACAAGCCACCGGGGGGCTTAAATTTGGAGGGGCGATTTAACAGAGGGTTTTTGCATTACGAGTTTGGAGGGCTTATATTTGGAGGGGCTTATACTTGGAGGGGCTTATTTTCGGAATTTTACAGTATGGTACGAAACTCAAGAAACTTGTGAATGGTAAACGAATTTCTGTTCGGAACATCCCAACAGGGAAAACGGGACTACCTTTTCAGAATTTTCATTTGTACCGGGAATTTTCCTGTGGGACAAACCAAGAAAACCTTTACCATTTGCATCCCAACAGGAATTTCCGGGATATTTGTGGTAAACGGTAAACAACCTTAGTCACACCCCTCCACCCTGAGGCACAGCCTGACCTCTCCCTCCACAAGTTTCAGCTTATGGTTTCTGAAAATTAGACTCCAGGGATGTTTTGTACCCTGCCTTCCACTCTTCAATGAAGTGCAAGATTTGTTGAGCTTCCACGACCTCCATGTGAATAAAATATTTTACTCCATGAGCTTCAAAGGTAGAAAACGCACGGTTGTCAGGGTAAACAGTTATGTCATCCACAGAGAACTCAGCTCTTTTCCGCGCAGCAAATAAAGACAACGTCTCTACAGCAAAGCGTTTTTCTTGTGGATTGAACTCCATTTTACGTACGTACGGTTTGCTGACCCAATGAAGGAGCGCTGTTGAACCACTTCCAAGCGAACAGAGAAATATGACCAAGCACACCTTCAAAGGCAACGAAGCCGCTTGCTTGCCAAAGAAAATCGTTAGAGGAGCAACTATAAACATCGTCGCGGCTGTGGTTAAGGACAGCATCTTTACAAACTTTACAGATTTGGCAATAGGTCCTTCATATACAGTTTTCCAACGTTTTGAGTGGTCAGACATTTCCGTGTGATAAGTGCAGCGGTTACCAAAGTTTAGTGGCCATAATAAAGGTGAATTTTGAAATAAAATATCTTGGGAGGCTTTAAAAATGCTACGTTGACTTATTCTTTGAGCACTGTACAGAATTCTTTGATTAAAGGCCTTATAAACAACGCATTCGGCTGCCAAAGTCCTAAACATCTTCCTGCTTCTTCGTTTGCTTCACAGGATTGATTTCTTTCCTGCACGTGGTGTTGACATCCGCTGACACGGGACAGAACCGCCACGTGACGATGTTTCAGCCAATGAAAGAGCAGAGTTTTAATTATTTTTGCTTCGTCCGCCATACTTGTCTTGGAAGTAAAATGGTTGAAGAAGATACTTGACTACCTTGAAGAAATTCATTTTTCCTTGTCGTTTTTAGTGCTCTAGCTGCAAGTTAAAGTATGTTTTGACGAGCAAGTTCCACCTTTACGCTTTCCTGGGTCAACTTTGGTAAGCTGTGGTGTGATTACGAGTGTAATTATTCCTTATTAAACCACCAACCTGATGACTAGCTTGTGTGATGTCGGATCGGACAGAGATTTCATATCTGATTTTTTTTTCGCAATCATTGGGGAGGTTCATTTAAGATAAACGATTTGTTTGTTTGTTTTTTTAATATTATGCATCTGTCTGTTTAATTTCCAGGGCCTTTTGCTGTTGTTATTAATGTTAAGTCAGTCTTAAATAAATGATGAAAATGTAATGTAATAGAATGACAGCTTGTTGTAGTCAATGTGTGCATATATACATCAACAAGTGTTCATCTCAGCAGTTTTACAAGGCATTCATAGAAAAATCATCCTGGTCGTAGGCTGCACATTCTGATTGAAAATCATTGTAGTTATACCTTAAGAAATTTAATCTTATAAGAAAAATTCAGTTGTTGCAGTGGTTCACTCATACCTACAGTAGATTATTAATGTGGTGAAATTACAGCAATCAAACTTAATGGAATCAAATGTAAGGCACCTTCGGTTTGTAAATAAAGTCATATGGTATTTTTTTATAGGTCCAATGGACACCAGACCAAGCAATTCCCCAGTAAAAAGGGACACTTCACAAGCAAGTGTGTCATCATCAAGCTCCATAGGAGAAAAACATATAAATTTTCTAGGAGAAGTAAGCAGCATAAACACTGAAAAAAAGGACAATAAAATTGTTGAGCAGGTTCAAAACATGGCTCTTGAGAGTGGCAACAGGGTTAGTAATCACTTAACAACAAGTGTCAAGAACAAGTCTGAAATGTTTGAGGAGGAGGAAGAGGGTGAACTTGATTATGAGGAAGATGAAGGAGAAATCCCTGGAACACATGACGAGAGAAATGGGGTGAAAAATGATACAGATGGAGATAAAGAGGAAGGGGAGCTAGAAGAAGATGATGAGGAGGAGGAAGGCGAAGAGGGAGAAATTCTTTCAGATGAGGATGATAAGGTAGAAGGAGTGGCTTAATTTCATAATTGCTGAAAGAAAAAAATGTTAATAACTCTCTTAATGTAGCAACTTGGGTGTACAAGCTTGAGGTAGAGCACCTAACAAAAATTCAGTTTCAAATGATTTGTTTTAGTGTTGTAGGAACTGTAGCAGATTTGAAACAGAATCGGTGTAAACATTCAGGAAAGTAAGTGGCTTTGACTCATGTCTCTGCTTGCTACTTTACAAGGCTGTGCTCTAAGAAAATGGAATGTAGCCCGGTGCTCTGGACCTGTGAAGGGTGCCAAGTGTAGGATTTCTGTGAAAAAGCTAAGATTTCTTTGTTGCCTAAGAGCAAAAGTTAAAGGTCAGGGACCACTGGGCCCTACTGGAGTACAGCCCTGTTTTATTTAATGATCTTTAGTATCTCTCATCTGTCACAGAATACTGACCAGTGTCTCATACTTATTAGGGACAAAAGATACGCATTGAGAAATTATTGGTATGACAGTGTTGTTAAGTCTGGCCATCCTAGGGTCAATAAAAAAGTTCAGTGATTGCAGGGGTTATCAGGAAAAAGCCTTTTAAAAAAATAATGTTTTGATTGTGACAGTATAATAGTAATATTAATAATCACCACATTTGTTACAATCCTTCAGACTGCTGGATGTTTTCCACCAATGATAGCAATCCTATGAAAATCTGGCTTAACAACCAGTGTGGTGTGCACTACATACCCCTCTAGTCTCAGTTTTATTATAAATAATTGTTGATAAAATGTATACATATGGGATAAATTTTGTTATTCTGTCTAGGGTACTGTATCAGAAAAGAAATCTCAGGAAAACCAAGATTTAACAGTGACCGAGGTAACAGCATATATTTTGTTGCTTTGAGAGCAACCACTCCTTCATTTTCCTCTGATTCGGTTAAACCGTCAGTTACTTGATGCCTCTGTTTAACTGCATATAGCTTTGTTAGCAGACAGGACTGTCAGTAGAATCAGCTGGCTACTTTAAGTTTGAAAATTAGTCACATAACAATTATGCAGAATTTGTGGGACAAATGACTTGTTACTTCCTCTTAGAGACAACCCTGTTACTTATCAGTTAGTAGCTGATTTCTAAATATGTTTGTTGTTAGACTGATGGCCCAGAAGAAGGTGAAGTTATTGAAGAAGGAGACTCGCCAGGTATGAAGGCCCCACTACTTCATCATGAAGAGTCAAGACAATCCCAAATTTCATTTTGTTACAAAATATCATCCAAGAGCTTGCATTTATATGAAGTTGAACATGATCTCCACAGTAGAATGAACAACCTAAGTTGCTGAAAAAGAACCAGAAAAAATTCGGGCTTGACCAGGAATCCAATTCTGGCCATTGACCGGAAGCAACGATTGGTTGGTCACATAACAGCATTTCATTCAGACTCAAAAGTTAGGACTATATGAAATGTGGAATATGAAATAATCAATTTTGTTTCTCCCACACTTGTGTCATGCTCATTATCATATCTTTCTCATTCATTTACCCAGGTCAAAATTCACATTCTTTCTTTTTATTTTCTTATGTCACATGCATGAATGCACAGTTTGTTGATGCTTCAGAGGACACAATATTGTGTTTGTCAATAAAATTAATTGAAATCATTGACTCCTTTTGTAAAATTATGTCAGCATGATAGAAATTGTTCTTTTCAATAATTTTGTGCTTTGATTAAGTTAGATCCTCTGTATAGTCTCCCTTATCCTTTCATAATATATTTTATACATTGATATGGTAAGACCACCCTCACCAGGGTCAAGTATGAGCAGTTGATCAGTATTTAACTTAATTGCTTGGTGAATTATTATAATTATAGGGAGCCAGTCTCTAAGAAGAAAGGTCTGCAGATATTTTACGCATGGTAAGTAAGTTTATCCATTGCTGAGTAACTTTTTTGAAGAAACACAATAATATTAAAACTGACAACAACAACAATAATTACAGGGCTCAAAATAATTTCAGGGGAGTGTCCAGACATGATGACCAGGCAAATTCATTTTAGCTGGATCACATATTGTTTCTGGCCGGTCAAGATAGCTCTTAAAACAGGGGCCCATGAACCAAAACTGGCATCATATGTTTCCAAGAAAGTCATTGCTTAGAACTTATAGCACTTTAAAGCACTCATTGTTAGCAATAAAAATAAATTACAGCGGTGAAACGAGAATAAACTTACGTGTATTAATAGGTACACGGTTAAATATTATTATCGTGTACATTAAATTTGTCTGGTGCCTCCAAATATAATGATTTCTGTCGTATGTATCACGATGTGAGATCTTGATCCTAAAACTCCACCAGTAATCAATGTTACTCCCCGTTACAACAGAAGAAAATTGGTTTTCTTTGAGAAAATTAGCAACTAAAAGTTGAAATATTTTAATTTTGTGACTGGAAGTGCATGAACCCCAATGTCTGTTTCAATGCACGAATTGTAAACAGTGGTTCTAGTTGCATTTCACCCAGGATTTCAGATGAAAGTTCTGTAATACACAGCGACTTGTTGCATACTGATAACAACTGAGACAACTTAACAGCATGGAAATTTTAATTTATTTCGTTTTCAATATGATCGAATGTGTCTGGTCAACATGACCGGCAAGACGAAAGGTTGACCAAGCAACTCTTCAATCAGACCGTTGACTGGCCGTTTTTTCGAGCCCTATATTAGTGTTGTTTTAGTGCAACGTGTTCACTGAGTTATAATTGATTGTACTTAGTTCCTTTGCTGTACTCTTTTTTTCTTGTTTAGGTTTTTGCAAAAAATCATTCATTTGTGTTTTTTCCTTCTTTTTCTCACCAGGTGGCTGTACCTGGGGAATGTCTTGCAGATTCCTTCATCCAGGCCTGAATGACAAAGGTAAAGTTTATTTATTGCAGTCTAAAATGCTCAGTATTGAGTGACAGTCCTATCCAGTTCTTATGAAAGCCAAACCATTTTATTGCAGTATTTAAAATTCTGAAAAAGGTGGCAGCTGTTTTCTCTTCCTTTGTTCCTACTTTCACGCATTACTTATTTTATTCCTTTTGCGCCCCTTGCATTGGCATTCTTTGATTGATAGGTGCCTATCAAATGCTGCCTATTCCTGGCCAGTACCCAAGCCCTTTTCCTAAAGCTCCAACAGCTGGCCCAGCTGTTCATCCTGAAACCATGGTACAAGCTCATGGGATGACATCTTTACCAGGCCAAGATGATGGACAGATGGTCAGTATAAACATTTGATGATTGGTTAACTTAAAGTTAGTGACATAAACACTAACAAAACAGGCAGTAGACTTGTTGAACAAGTTCAAGACATGGCTCTTGAGAGTAGCCACAGTTAACTGTTTTGTCCTTTGTACTATTGGAGCAAATGTTACGTGTAATTTAGCAGCAAACTAAATTGTACATGGACCAAACAATTGCATGCAGGGCCTTAAAAATTTACATCGTTTATTAGTTTGCCATTTCAAATGTTTTAGTGAAGCGTTTGCATGATTTCAGGAAGATGAATTTTCCGATCGAATGCACTTGATTCCAGAAGTAGCAGCTCCACCCAAGAAAGAAACAGCATGGGAGAGGGGACTGAAACTAGCCAAGGAAGTAAGTTGATTAAAATCATCAATTGATGCACAAATGTCCCAAGCTCACTTTATGAGTGGAAGTTGCATTATAGGCGACTATTGAGATGTTGTATAAGAAATAAAATACTGAGGCCTGCAAACGCTAAATATCATTATATTGTACCTTTTCTTTCATAAAATTTATAAAGAAGACTTACTTTTGATGTATTCCTGCCTTTTTGGTGTGAATTCATCAATTTAGTCATTTTTTGGGCTGTTATTGAGTGATCCCTTTCACTCCCTTCATAATACAACGTAAAGGCTGCACAGAAAAACAGCCGGTGCTCTGGACCTTGTCTACAGTTGAAGGCAGTTTTTAGCCCAAAAACCCATTGAATCGCAGATTTTTCGACCAGAGGCAAAGTTCTATCATCACTACACCCCAGTAAATGTTTAAAAGTGAAATATCCCCATGCATGTTGCTGGAAACAAGCATTTTCTAGCGCTATGTCCAAAATACCTTCTTTCGGCAAATGCTGTGATTTTGAGAGTGGACACAGGGCTTGTGTCGGAGGTCAAATTTCACTTGACCTAGGGTGGAGCCACCCTCATGACCTCAGACCAACGCCCTGTATCCACTTTCAAAATCACAGTGTCTGGCAGAAGAAGGTATTTTAGTCATGGTGTCAAAACGCCCATTTTCTTCAACATGCGCGGGGATATTTTGCTTTTAACATTTACTGAGTTGCAGCGATGATAAAACTTTGCCTCTGGTTGAAAAAATCTGCAATTCGATGAGCTTTCAGGGCACAAATTGCCTTCCAGTAAACAAGCTTCAGACTACTGGTTGTATTGCTGTGCAGCCTTTACTGTGTATTATGAGGGTAGATACAGAGGTCACACAATAACAGCCAAAAAGTCAGAGTCAAACTTTTCATGTGACAAAAAATTGTCTGAGTTAAGTTCAATTATAACTCATACAAGTTGCATTTGTCTCAGTAAAATTTGTCTGAGTAAGTTTAAATCAACAAGAACTTTCTATCCGTCTGCATCAGTTCAATGTAATGTGTTTTATGCATATTATTATTATTATTATTATTATCAGGAGCATTTGTTATTATTTATGACATGTTTTAATGACTTCTCTTTTCCTACTATCGTGTCTTCGTACCAAAATTTTTGTTATTTGTTTGCCTAGTGAGTATTGTAAAGCAAAGTGGAATAATAATAATTGTTTACAATCGTAATTGTTTGTAATAAACACAGATAAAGAAAGCTGCCCAGAAGCGAAAAGAAGAAGATGCTGACTTTCAGGAGAAGCGCATGGTCTTAGGTATTACAGCTGATGAAAATGATGATGAAAATGATAAAGAAAACTTAATTCGGCGGCGTGAGATGGTGCGAGCCACCAGGCTGGAGAAGGAGTCAGTGTTTGATGAAGGTGACATGAGGCATCGCAGCAGAGGTGGAGGAGACATAGTAACACGGTGGAGAGACAAAAAGCAACCATCTCCTGACCGGGTTAGTAACAAAACAATACGGTCAAACCCAGCTTTACGGAAAGTTTGCTTTGTCCCTGGGGAAAGAAAGCCGTCACATTTTCTCCAAATTCAACCCGCTTAATACGGACACTCTGTTATTAAGGACTATTATTAATTGTTATTATTATTAATATTAACACAGTAAATTCTACTTGTTGTACAATTTCGTTTTTTACCTTTTGGCATAATTTCCACGTGCCGTTTGATTCGTTTCTTCGGAGTTTCGAAATATTTTAAAAATCTTTCGCCTTTTTTCTCTTTAGGAACGCGACAGAAGAAAACGAAGAGGAAATCGTTCGCCGTCGTCATCTCCTGAAAGGTACTCGAATTTATTGTTTTAACACCACGTTTTTCCGCCAGTCATTTGTGAGATGTTAACTCTGTTAAACTTTATCGACTTAAATGATGGTTAGCCAGATCTATGGGCTTGAGATTTGGAGTTCTGATTGTTAAAACGTTAGATGTTTATGTACTGTTTTCTATCAACGCGCTACGTAAGCAAGATGTTGAGGTGACTTAATTTTCGGTCTTGTCAGGGACAGACGAAATAGAAGAAGAGGTGGAGAGAAGGAAAAACATAAAGGGAAAGTCAAGGAAACTTTGCGAGAACGAGATAAGCAACGAACAAAAACAGCGACGAAGGAGACGGAAAAGAAACACGAGGAGAAAGTTAAAAAGCAGAAGGAAAAAGAGTCAGACGGCGGGAAAGAAAAACCGGTCGCGGAGGAGGGTAAAAACGAGACTGCAGTCATACAAGAGAAACCCACTGATGTAAAAGAACAAGCGAGTTTAGCCGAGAAACAAGAAATAAAATCTGAAGATAAAAAAACTGATGATGAAAAGAAGAAAAGGCTGCCTCAGGAAAAAAGCGCGGACTTTGAATTAAAATCTGAAAGGGAAGCAGGAAAGAAAGATGAATTAGTTGAAGGTGATGAAAGAGAAAAACCCAGGGCAAAAGCACTTGGAATCTCAAGCTCTCGCCTTCCTAACGATGAGTGGATGGATCCATGGCAGAGAGTAACCTCGCCAAAGCGACACTCAGCATCATCACGCAGCTCCCGTAGCCGCTCTTCATCATCTTCATCGGATTCCTCGCGCTCCTCGCGGTCGCGCTCACGCTCCGGATCAGAGTCACGCTCCACATCACGATCTACTTCGCGTTCACGGTCACGCTCAGTTTCAGAATCACCCTCCAGGTCATCTTCGCGATCGCGCTCAGGTTCGCGATCACACTCGCGTTCACGATCCGGCTCAGTTGCATCAGCGAGCGATCATTCAAGTTCCTCAGGCAGCAGTAAAGAAGTAAAGGCTGCAGCAGCAGATGAAGGAGGTGAAGAGAAAGATGCACAACAAGCTTCACATGATTCATCAGAATCAGAATCGGAATCCGAGAAATCAGAATCTAAATCCAAATCACCTACACCAGCAGCGCGAAAAAGCCCTGCTAAACCAAAAACCTCCCCTGACAAAGGACCTCCCCGGACCCCACCCCGTACCCCACCAGTGGAAGAATCATCATCATCATCCTACCGTAATGCTAAAGACGGTGGGAAAAATCGTTATGAGTATAGTCGAGCAGAAAAAATACAAAAATGGCAGGAAGGGATGATGCGTCAGGGATCACCGTGGGATCGGCGAGTGGAAAGGACCTCAAGGAGACCAGTGGATGGTTCTTACAGGTGGGGTATTACTTGCTTTATATTCAATTCCAAGTGAGATGAGGTTTTATCCTCTTCAAACATTCAGGTCCACAGTTGGTTTAAAAATAAACTAATTAGTTAGTGTTGCTTTATCGTCGCTGGCTGGATTCAATTAATCCGTTATGTAGTCCTTGCTTGTAACACGGCCCACAAGCCTTGGCGACGCAACAACAACTTCAACAATTTTATTCTTTGCATGCACAAGGAGTTGAATAGCTTGCCCCTCGGTACTTGTGAAGCTAAATCAAGTATATACATTTTTATTTATTGCAAAGATCATGAATACCATGAACGAAAACCAATAATTAGAAAATCACGGCAAACTAAGCTTGCGTGATTTTTCTTTAAATCGTTCTGTATACTTTTGATTGTAAACACTTACTCTAATATAGAGTTTGTTTACTGAGTGCGTTAAGTTAATTAACGGAATGAAACTTAAATGCCTAGCGATTGCTAATCTTCACGGCAAGGTTAACTACTTTCGGTAATTGAATAAAGATTCATAAAAGCTTCTGAAAAAGAATAAATCAATGTTCTTATTTTGTATGCTTTTTGCTACTTTCTTGATTTCTCTACTTCCTTATTTTCTAGTAGAGATCGTGCGCATAATTCCCGGAGGAAAAGAAGTCCAGAGTTGCGAAGAAGATCGCGGTCACCTCGGTCCAGGGTAACCATCTTTATTTTATCGTTTGTTTCTTTGTTCATAGACAAGTTTTTTTATTGCAAAGCTCCCTTATTTTACAAAGGTAGCACTTTACCTAGTTTTTTTAAACTTTAATTTATACAATAAATTATCTGGTTCTTTTCTTCAGAATGAAGAACGACGGCGACCGGAAGAAGGAAGAACGTAAGTGGACTTGCTTTCAATCAATCTTGTTTTAGCCCAGTTGTTTGTGTTGAAGTTTCCATTTTTCTTTCTTAAAGGCGAGAACGTTCTTCTAGTGCTGACAGTATGGAGCATGCTTTAGCTCGCCCCAGTTCTCCCCGTGCAACAAGAGAAAGAGGTGGAATGCACCGCGAGTCCAGTGTTTCATCCAGCGGTAGTGATAGTGCAAGCAGTGAAACTGGAAGTGAATCAGAGGAGGAGCGCCACCCGGTCAGAACGCGCCGAGCGGGGCCTGAGGCCGACCAGGTCAAGCAAGCGCCAGTCGTGCCTTTATCAAGTGGGAACATTCGATATACCGGTCATAAAGATATAAAGCTCACTCTAAATAAGGTATAAAGATATAAAGCTCACGCTAAATAAGGTATGCTGAATGCATACACCTTATTCGATGGTTTAGCATATTACGTGCGGATATTTTGCGAGTTGCGTAGTATTTTTCCGAGCCTTGCAGGGGCGAGGAAAAATACGAGCAATGAGCAGAATGTCCGTTCGTATTATATGCTAAACCATCGAATAAGAGGTTTATTATTCCACTAAAAAAACTGTTATTTTGCCTTTGGCCCCTATTTTTTGGTAAGAGTATTCACTGAACATTCTGATTCCGTCTGTGAGAATGACGTTAACAATGAGCGAAATTGTGAAAGGTTTGAACCCAGGAGTCATTTCAAAGTAGGCTGAGTTTGATCGTCCGGGTGAACGTAGTCCCGAGTAGGACTGTTGTTGTTGACAGTGACTGACGTTTCGACAACCTGTGCGGTAGTCATCTTCAGAGTCAAGGTGAGTTGTATCACGTCAGTTGATGGTTTCACGTCAGTTGTATCAACTGACGTGATACAACTCACTTTGACTCTGAAGATGACTACCGCACAGGTTGTCGAAACGTCAGTCACTGTCAACAACAACAGTCCTATTCAGGACTACGTTCACCCGGACGATCAAACTCAACCTACTTTTGAAATGAGCAAGATGTTCGCGCGTGTTATATGCCAAACCTTTGAATAAGAGGTTAATTATTTTACTGCAAAAGAAAAATACTCTGACGAAAACTCCGTCTTCGGGGAAGTCTCTCATTAGTACTTGCTCAATTTTTTGTGGGTGGGAGGGGAAATGGGGTGGGGTGGGAGTGAGCGCTTTGTTTAGTTTGACTGGGAATAGGAGGGAGTGTGTTGGGGGTGGGCGATTATTCGAGGCTGGGCGCTTATTACCTTTTTCTGCCTTTAGGACGGCTGCTTATTCGAGGTGGGCGCTAATTCGAGATTGGGCGCTTATTCGAATAAAGACGGTGCTTCAACATTGATTTTCATATCTTGTATCGTGTATTACAAAGTGCTCTAAGTGACCTTTCATGTAATGTGGATTCGGTTTGTTTTCATTACAGTCCGTAACAAGAACAGAGAACAGGGAACCACCCAAGTCACAATCCCAGCATTCACTTCCCGCAAGGACAGACCCAAGCGGTGAAAAACTTCAGACAACAACTAAAAAGCGAACACGTGACCCGTCGCCAGTCTCAGAACATACTAAGGAGATTGTTTCATCGTCTGTCACTTCCCAGTCCACTAACAAACCCGACAAACGGTCGGTGAATTCGCAAGCTGAAGCAGTAACGTCTGGTAAAGCAAATTCGGCAAATACTTCTTCAAGGAGAGAGGAACTTCTTCGCGAGCTCAAGGCTGTCGAGGACGCTATAGCTAGAAAACGAGCTAGAATTGAATAGCACTAAAAATTCGACAGCACAATAAAAGAAGAAACAAGGAAGAACTGCTCGACTTTCAGTGTGCATTCCGGTAATTGGATGTAAAATAAAAGTTCTTATTTCATCGCAGTTATGAATGTGAATGGTGTGTTGAACTTCCCGTGTCGTGCAAAATTCGACTAAGGCTCTTCATACGTTCCACCTAACGTGACGGAATGCTGTGGGTAGAGAATATTAGGATCAGGACTGTTATGAGGAAAGAGCTTGTGGTTATTTATTTATTTTTTTTGTCAATTGTGAATTGTAACCTTAATCTTAATCCGGTTTTTTTTCTTGGATGTGTTCTTATAGGGTAATGGTAAGGGCCTAGGGCTAGATTAGAAAGTCCACGCGAATGTAAGGTAGGTCTTATTTTCGGAGGCTATGGCCACTTTGACCGAGGTGGATAACATCCTCCTTAATCTCGTACCCAGATCTGTTGTTCACTTTTTTGGATTGGCCGGATTGGCTTTTTCAACAAGAGATCTGAGTACGAGGTTACCGACAATAACTCCCATCATACTTAGCCTCTTTCAATAATGGTTAAATATCAAATATATTTGAAATATCGATATGCTCACAAAAATTCGCTTCTCTCCGTCGCGAATTCACGAGTAAAAAATAACAAAACTAAAATAGAAGTTGCATGCTATCTCGTGTGCAAGAGGGCAATGGGCCTCACTCCAGTCGTTGGGGAAAGTCATCCTAACTAAGGATTTTGCACAAAATGCTCCCTCCTTTAAAAACCACTTTTTTCCCCTCACTACATACCTATATAAGCTTTATTTTACACTCGAATTTTAGAGTAGCTTACAGAGCTGATACATGCAGTACAGTACTTTATTTACCCACGCTACATCTAGGAGTGATAAAAACTCGTTAAAACATGTGCGTGAAAGTAAAAACGATAAAAAAAGAAAGAAAGAGCAATAATTTAAAATTACCTTTCCACACAGCATCTATCTAATATGAAAATAACCAGTAATAATTTTGCTATGTATACAATCTAAAATTCCTCTATGTTCAAACAGTATTAAAATTAATATCTAAGTATTAGCAAGCAATACATTACAAGAAAAAGAATTATATCTGCACTTAAAAGGAAACTTAATTTATCATTAGAAAATTGACCCTCGGAAAGAAAGAAAGGAAAAAGTATATAATAAGTGTATGAGAATCTACATAAAAGTAACACCCTTTAGTTTGGTCTTAAAATCTTAAAAACCACTTGTGCGAAAAAAGATGGGTAGTGAAAGGAGTTTAAGACCGTGGTTCATTTTTCTCGGTTTACTCACTTCGTGTTTCTAGACGTTTTGGGGCTATGAACCATGAAGCGTTCGAAGTCCGTTCCGTCAATTAAGAAAACGTGATGAGCACGAATACTTGGGACGAAATTGATTGTTACTGATCAGTTGTGGAACGTTCATGGTTAATTCTCGAGGGAAAGGTCAGAGAAAACCTTATCGTTGTTTCTTGTTAAGATGAGGGGGTAGGTGGTATAAAGAAGCACTGATTCTGGGCGTTACCGGTAAAGCATTTTGTCCGTGTTCAGGCAAAGATACTTGGACTACGTTGGTCGGCGTTTAAGGGCCAAATTTATCTTTTTCTATCGCTCCAGTGCAGTGCGTTCCTTGTACAATTGAATTGCTATGATGTCACATTCATCAAGAAACAATATACTGATTCCCTTGTTCGTAGCCAAGTAGCATGAAAAGAATTTAAAAACGCCTAATGAAGTTATTCTAAATTCCTTATGCAGAACAGCTTTACCGGTAATATAAGTAGAAAGTATATAGATGTTTAAAACTTCATATGCTGATCAGGTCGTTGTTTATTGCTGGTGGCTGTATGTTCACTTGGGCATACTTTTCTAACTTCTTCCAGCTTTAGTAAGTTGTAACCTTTGATTAACGCATTTCTATCTACCCTGCCGTTTTGTAAACAATTACGAAGTTGTTCCACAGGTGTTTTACAAACATCTCCGCGAAATTTAGATTTAAACGACCTACACTAACGGACACCAACCATGCCTGCTGGCAAGACAATGGCCATTCGTCAAGTCATATTTCTACTTCTTGGATTAATTTGTGGTTTCCATGTTACGCTGTTTGTTCGCCAGAATCAATGCCATTTAACTTACAAACGGAACTCGCGACCAAGGACTCAAGGACAAGAACTTGGCAACCGCAATTTCTTATTTGTTGGTGTCATAACAGCAGAGCAGCTAGTAAAAACTCGAGCAAAGGCTGTGTATGATACTTGGGGCAAACATATTCCTGGTAAATTGACCTTTTTTTCTAGTGGTGACGCAGGAAAAGAGATCGGACTGCCAATCGTGAGCTTACCGGGCGTCGATGATACATATCCTCCGCTGAAAAAATCCTTGATGATGATTAAATACATGCACGATTTCCACGTGGATGACTATGAGTGGTTCATGCGAGCGGATGATGATGTTTATGTTCGAAACGATAAGTTAATTCGCTTCTTACAATCATTAAATAGTTCGGATGATATTCACCTGGGGCACGCTGGCACAGGTGCGAAGGAAGAAATGGGAATGTTGAGTATGGAACCAGGTGATAACTATTGTATTGGAGGACCTGGAGTTATATTGAGTAGAAGCGTTTTGAAAAAGGTGGCACCACATTTGGAGTACTGTCTAGAAACAGCACCAACATCACATGAAGACATTGAGGTTGGACGCTGCATACAGCGTTACACAGGAATTCCTTGCACTTGGGCCCTCGAGGTAAGTTCAATAATCCGGCGACTCTAACAAACTTAATAGGTTTCGCTAATGCTTACATTCAGTTGTACCTTATATAACGTTGTATCATTGCATAGGAACTTTGCAATAACAATTAACGAGAAATTGTTATTCAGAATAGACTTATACAAATTGCCAAATTCTTGCTAAGCTGAGGCTGGCCTTCAATCAGATATCATAGTCAAACTTCATACATTTTATAACTAGTGAAGTAGCCTAGCAGCAAAAAGAGGACAACTGAATTCTTGTAACTTCTTATTTATCGCAATTTGATTGGCTCGATTTCATATAGCGTTTACTACTTACTTCCCAGCAGTCATTTCGAGCGGGCGAAGAAGTATTGCGCGCCGGTCTGTCTCTCGTAGACCATATCCGCGACTGACCGAGACCTTGCATTTACGTACATACAATTTTCAGACCACTGGCTATTCTTTCGTGTGTTATATACTACGGCAATTATTTGTGAAATCGTTCATGACAAATTCAACCCGCGAGCAAATGAGCAAGCTCTCCGGGGCGCTTCGGGGGCGGGGCGGGAGTCGCCAGAGCGCCCCCAAAGAGCTTGTTCGCAGGCTAATGACAAATTGACTCAAGTAGTTACAGACTTCAGTACTCCCGAAAAGTGGAACTAAAAAAGAAGAAGACAAGAAAGAAAAATATAAAAAAGACGTCCGTTTGAACTTGCTCCCGTAAATTACACATTTGATGATGATGATGATGATGATGACGATTATATTAGAGTATAATACCATCAACTGACGTGATACAACTCACTTTGACTCTGAAGGTGACTACCGCACAGGTTGTCGAAACGTCAGTCACTGTCAACAACAACAGTCCTATTCAGGACTACGTTCACCCGGAAGGTCAAACTCAACCTACTTTTTATTATTCTTAAGTTCGAGTGAACACAACCACGTGGAAGATAGTCCCTCTATCTGGAAGGCTGATTAATATCCACCCAAAATAAATTTGCCACTTAAAAGTTTTGATCATGTGACTTGTATGATCAAGATTACACGTTTAGGTGCAGGCCGATCTCACTACAATATGTATTAACGGCAAATGATATCCTGATCTATTGATAACCTACAATGCCGTTCAGCAATTTTACCTCATTGTTAACCCAGGTCTTAGACGCATACCTAACTGTCTCACAGTTTCATATATTCGCTTCTACTTCGTTAAATAATTGTTTAATTATACACTAAGCATCTCTAAGTCTGTGTCTTTTGTTATGAATGCCTCATAGTTGATTAGTTAGACCCACATCAGGTTTGATTTGTTATAATATTTTTCAAACTCTTTTTCAGATGCGCACCCTTTTCTTTCACCACTACACAGAGAAGGGGAAGGTTTTCCATGGTAAGTTGGACACGAGGATTATTAGGGAGGCCATCACCCTTCACCCTATCAAACAACCGGAATATATGCACCGCTTACACGTACACTTTATGAACTCAAAAATTGAGCTTCTCCAACATAAAGCCGTTGAACTGCAGAGGATTTTAAGGAACATGGATCGACTGATAAAAGCAGACGAAAAAAGGCTCGTTCCTCAGGAAAAAAACAGTCTTCAGAACATTAAAGATCAACTGGCCAAAAACTACTCTGAACAATGGGACATGTTTACTGCTAACTCGTACTACTTTGATGTTAAGTTACGATCCCCTGGGACTGGCATTCGTGGAGCATTAAAAATCGAATTAACGCATTTACTGGAAAGCACAATTGACCACTTAAAAGAAGAGTCCCGAAGGACTTCCCACGCTGGAAATAAAAACGTTCATAAAATAAAACATGGTTACCGACGTGTCCACCCCATCTACGGTGTTCAGTATGTCTTGCAACTTACGGTTAAAACGCAGAGAAAAATCCGTGATCATAAACTTAAAAAAACTAGGACAATTTCTACTCTCAACGACAGAGTGTTTCACAGCCAAAGGCCATTGGGTAACGTGCTGTATAGAGCTGAACCCGTTTACGACATGTCTCCTTATGTACACTTCCTTGTTCCTTTGGAAGGACGCTTAGAAACGTTTCGTCGCTTCATGAATAACTTTGAGCAGGTCTGTCTCAAACCTTTACTAAGAGTAAAGCTTTTAGTGGCATATTCGTCATCCGTTTCTTCCCCAGATGAACACAAAGCCGTATTAAAGGAATATCAAGATAAATATCCCTTAGCGGGACTTACTTGGCTCGATGTCCCGGGTAACTTTTCCCGCGGGATAGCAATGATGCTTGCAGCAGATCAATATGAAAGAACGGCTTTGTTGTTCTTATGTGACGTTGATTTGATATTGAGCAAAGAGTTTATTGACCGGTGCCGAATGAACACAGCTCTTGGAAAACAAGTTTTTTACCCAATAATGTACAGCCAATTTGATCCCAAGTTATCGCACACTTCTAACAACAAACCTGACACCTATTACAACATAAATAAAGGTGGAGGAATTTGGAGGACATACTCGTACGGACCTGCTTGTATGTATGGTCAAGATTTGCACGCTGTTGGAGGTTTCGATACCAGCATCAAAGGCTGGGGATGGGAAGATGTTGATTTATATCAAAAATTTATCAATCATACAGAGTATGAGGTGTTAAGAGCAGCCGATCCCGGACTTATTCATATTTATCATCCGGTAAACTGTGATCCAAATCTACCAGATCGTCAAATGACTCTGTGTCAAGGATCAAAAGCATCTGGAATAGCCAATCAAAAGGAATTATTGGAGGCTATGCTTTCAGTATCTACACAAAAGCCCAACAATAGCTAATTCCCGCAACCTTCTTGTAATGGAGAATCAGTACGGAACCTGCTACAATTATGCAATTTTAGTCTTGCGGTCGTGTTTTCCCTCGTCTTCAGTAGAGGGCCAGTCAGAGATAAACAGAATTCCAAGGAGCCAGGAAAAACTGGTTTGCGTCTTGAATCCTTTATTAAATTAACCTGCGATCAGGTTACTTAAGAATAAATTCGTCTTTCATTGTCTGTTTTCCTTTTAACTATCTAATTATTATTTGAAGCAGTGCTCGATCAGGCCGGTACTCAGTTGAACGAGTAATAAAGCGAATTGTAAAAATCGGCCACAGCGATTTCAGGCAGAAATCAGTCAGTTATAGTACTTCATCTTAGCTTTGTTCCCCGGCCTTCGGTGATGGAATAATCAGAATAATGATTCATACATTGTAGTAGTCAACAGATTTAGCGTGGAAAATATTCAATCGATAAATCAAGGCTTTATTGATAATCAAGTTAGCCATTTGGCTGATATTTGACCTACTAGTGAATGCTTATTATATTCGTTTTCAGTTGAGCTTGTATGAAAAATTGAACACAAATTCGGGGAGGGGGGGAATCTTACATTATTCCTCGGTGATTTCCCTCAAATGCCGAGAAATATGAATTCCTTTAAATTCAAAGATGTCAGATTATCCAGTTTAGTATAAATCTTTGTTTGTCTAACAAAAGGACATGCTGTAAACTATTAAAGTCTCAAGCATGTTTGTGTGAGACCTTCTTGAGAGGAAGATCCAGAAACTTTTGCGATGGTGGTGGTGGTGGTCGTGGTAAACATTCGGCATAAAACTCATCCATCCTTCCTTCCAAACCGTCACACATTAGTTTCTACTTGGCAGACTTCTCACATTGTTAAACAGTACCCAGTTTTAAAACTCATGTTCGTCTATTGTGCTGAGAAGTAGAATAACGAGTACCAGATTTCGTTAACTAAAAGTGGACAATTCCTTTGGATGAAAAGCAACTTGCAACGCAAGTTTCATTTACCCTGACTTACCCCGCGAGCAGTGGTTTCTCCTGGCCTAACGTTGCGCTATGGCATAAGCGACTATTCGGTATTTCAGTTCGATCTGAAGGATATATTTAGGGGCGAATCCGGACCCCCATCAACCTAAAAGAAAATAGTTTTCGGAGTAATTTGAATTTTTTGTTTGTTTGATCGTAAGAGATCACTCGCTGATCGAGTTATAATAAGATCTCAACACTGACGTCTCAAAGCTGCTCTTTTGTGTCAAGCTACAAATTGACTGAGTCGACTATGAGCAGTACACATTTGCATTAATATTCATTGTTTATAGAGGTAGGAGCGCGGTAGCCTGCGTAGCACGCGTCGAAAAGGGTAGGGGAGTACCTGAGAAAGGAAAAAGGCAGGTTTCCTTGTAACGAGAAAACTGAGGAAAAAAATTGCATTCTCAGTTGTTTTGTTAAAAGCGATAGGGATAGGGCCGGTGCACGATTCGAGAATATCGGCGGCTTCGTCGTGATCGGCGCTCCCCGATTTGCTTGTCTTAAATCCACTGTCTTTCACCGGGAGTAAGTAAGAGACCGTAGTGCCGGCCGGTACCCATCAGTGTCCCGGATACGGCAGATCTCTGTGAGCTTATTATGATCATATAGCATGCAATTGAAAGCTGAAAGCTCTATTTAAAGCTTTCTGGCTGGGATGTTTCCTTCTTAACCAACAACTTAAGCGGGACGATTAGAGCTTAACACAGCTGAATGGGGTCCCCTTCACAACTTATCACCGTATGAATACCAGCGTGTTCTGTTATAAACACCGTTTTTCTACCGAAAGAACACATTGAGTCATTACATAAAAATGCGTCGTAATATATACATCACTTCCAACTCAAAATAAACTTTTTTCTGTGTGCCCGGACCTTTTCATGTAACGTTTGGCGTAGCTTCGACTGACCCATCTGCCCAAAGCATCGCGCCGCACAAAAAACCTTCCAATACAAGGCGCAGATCCACACCGGTTTCCACCGTTTTACGGAAATCGGTCAGATTTTAGCCTGAATTTCATCCTATTACTTCGAGTCGTCATTACTTCCTCAGTTGCTGAGAGGAGAAAACAACTCTTGAAGCAATCGGATGAAATTCAGGCTAGTCAGATTTGTCATAACAAATATATTTTTAATAATAACAAAAAAACTTTGCAAGTTAAAAACGAGAAATGAAATAATCCGCCGATTTGCAGGGCTTAATCCATGGAGAATAGAACTGGCCAATGGCTGGCTGAATGACTTAGAAATCCAAAAAATTTCAAGGTGGAGGATGCCCCCGGACCCTTCTATACTTAAGGTAGATTAACGTCCATCAGAAACTCATAAGGGGTTGAACAACCCCTTATGAGTTTCTGCATCCATGTCATTTCTCTTTTTGGTCACTTGTAAAACAGCAGTTCAAAACTTCCCGGGTACGCGGATTTTATTCATCAGTCAAACAATAGAAACATACTGCATGTATCGCTGCTAAGTTTATTCTAGACAGCTGCCAGCTTTGTTTTCTTATTTCAAGAAACAAACATTTCGAATAAGGGTACATCAGGCCATGTATCAAATCCTGTTATCGGCCAGCCGAAGACTGGAAAACAGCGAAAAGAATTAGGGAACCCGACTCCTTGGAAATTTCTTGTTTCTCTGACAGCTATGCAGCATTTAAGGCTCTCAAAAACATCGTGAATTAAAACTCATATATTATTAAAACACATGATTTGACGCTGCATTTGTTATGATATATTGGAAGGAACTAGCTAGGATCAGAAAACTGTTCAGTAGTTTTAAAAGCATTCAAAAACTCTGAAAGAGACATCTATATCCCATTCCTTTCTGTTTTGACCTTAGGTTCGTTAATTTATTTCAAATAGCCGGGTACTTTTGATATACTAATCGAGAATTTTTACTATTTGCACAGAGCAGGGAATTATTACACCTGCTATCACTACCACCGAGTCCAGAAAGGTCTGTTTTGTGCCAACGATATAAAAGGTATTCTGATTGGTTAAATTCAACCATAAGCCAATCAAAAAGCTCGATATATTCGGCGCACTTTGTTTTTCCCACACAAGCATGCATACAGTTGTCGAACTAATGGCGGAGAGAAAGGACGAGGAAATTCGAAAAAGGAACAAGGAAATTCCTTCCTGGGCTCCTGGAGGGGCAGATTATGATCCAAACCTTCCTTATGGGCCTAAAGTTTATGTAGCAAGACGAAAAAAACCCGATCCTTGGTGGGTCACAGCAATCGAGGTACGAATGATCGATGTTTCCTATGGCAGAAGTTGTTGTGTTAATCAGCGTTATTTTATTATTTAGCCTTTGCCACAGGAATGACCTGTATTCCCATTTTCTAGCGTTTAATAGTTGTTCCCCATTAATTTGGTCGGCCTCGTACACTGTGTGATTGAAAAATATGCATAGTGTGCGCGGTTGAATCCCCCCCTTAATTTTGTTTTGCATGGAAATGAGAAAGGGGCTCGGGCCCGCCGCGGGGGTTCTGTTTTGCTAATTTCCCCTCAACCTCTTATAAGAAGCTTGATATCCTTCTTGTCAATTAAAGCCGAGCTTTGTAGCTTACAAACAGTCTGTAGTTTGTGATTATTTTCATATTTTGTCCTTTTCATTCAGATTTCTGTCGTCGTTGGTGTTCTGTTGTTCTTCGTCTACATGTATTTTTACATGGATCATCTTCACTTTCACGTCTTAAATGCGTACGCCAACGTTGGGGTGTCTCATGCACAGCATCATGTTGCTCATAAATACCTCAATGGTAAGAAAATTTATGTGAATAATAAGAACTTCGCTTACGTTCTTAGAACAATTTCGAATATTTTGCCATTGAAATATTATCAGATAAAAATTTAACATTGCAAGCAAATTATGCCCGGGTTTACTTAAAACCCGGTGTCCGGAAACCCCACGCCGAACGCCGAATAGTGATTAGGGTCAGGAAACTGAGTGTATCAGTTTCCATGTAGGGTCATTATGCTGTGAAAATAGACCTGAAACTTGATTCACTCAGTTTCCTAACATTCAGCAGACTTGCCAAGTCTAACAACTTTGTCGTGGGTCTTAAGGTTTTCACCCGGGGCGGGCACTTGGGTATTTTTTGGGTGGGTATGTGCCGCCCGGGACTCCAAATTGGCACCCCGTTCTAAAATAAACTTCCCCTAAAGAAATTGGCCAATTTTTTAGACCCCGTTCTACAATTCGCCCTAAAACTGATACCCTGTTCTAGAAATGGGCCAATTTTTTATGCTCCGCTCTAGAAAGTTTGTAAATTGAAATAGCCCTGTTTTTTTAAAAGAGATATTTCTTTATTTCTTCGACTTATACATCAAATAAATGCTTCTTCATAATCATCTGGAGTACATATTTTCCTGTGCATGTGGATACAATGCGGTTAATTATGATGCAAAATCTCTCACCACGCACAGAACCACCCTCGTAAGCTAATGATTTTCCTTCTCCTCCCCCTGTCTCTTTCTTTTGAGCCTGTCTCCATCTCCCTCGGGTACATTATGGACTCGTTTTAGACTTCCGCACACCTATTTATCCAAGATGGCAGAGTCAGTGCTCGCGGCTCGCGCCAAAATACACCCGCCCTACATGCTACAACACAGGGTGCAACAAGAGTACAACAGTTTGCTTGTTAACGCATTGAACCGTATTTTTAAAAGCAATCTGTCCTTGAATAATTTCAAATGGCTGCCCCCCAGGGGTTTTCACGACCTATCTCACACTCTCAGGAGTTGGCATCTGATTTCTCACACTTTCTGAAAAAGTCAAACTCCAAAAAATTTTGGAGCTGTAGGGTTCGTTTTGATCGATAGCTAACTCAATCCAAATAAAACCAGTGTTCTCACCAGGCCGCGGCCTTGCGGGATTCCCGCAAGAAAAACTGAAATGGCACATTAAAACCAAGAAGATGCGCCCGTTAGGGCGCAGGGGCAAGCTACGAGTGAAACGGACTTAAGTAGTTTTTATGGTCAACCTAACACTAAAGCATTCTGTTTGTTTGAATAAATAAAAAACATGATATCAAATGAGTCGAAGTCTTTAATTTTGTTGCCTTTACTTTCATTGGTCCCACGCACGTCCCACTACATCGTAAACTCCTCCTCCGAATCGTAAACACCTCTTCCGCCATATTGGATCAGGTAGGTACTTCATGTAACAGACAATTTGGAGTGCGGGCTCAGGTTCTTCGTACCGCGTGTTTTTTGTAACTTTGTCCCCCTAATGTTCTTACAGGGCCCCCATTTCTCAGAAGAGGGGGCCCTGGGACTCCCCAAGGCAAAATCCTGGTGAGAACACTGTAAAACATTTAGCAGTCACTCTTGATTACATTCTTTTAGCCTACCGCGACTTGCCGCTGCCACCAAATACACAGACTTACTGTTTCTCATGTTTAAAGATGACCACCAACAAAACATAGAAATTAAAAAACCTAAATTGTAAAATTGATTGTGATATTTAATTACCGCTCCAGTTTTAAAGTGATATGTAGCGTCTATTTAGTTGCCAGTTGGCGCCCATAAAGAAAAGTTAATTTTGGACCCTGATATGTAACTTCCAATACCCATAATCCCCCCTGGAAGTCCTTCCACTTGGAAATTTGGGACATCTAATAACTCTTTACCCATTTCTCACTACTTTGTCCAGCTCTAGGTTTAGAATCTCACATTTTTTGCCTTTTGGGGGTTGGCAAGTCTGCTTCAGAGTCATTTGGCATTCGGGGTGGGGTTTCAAGATTCCAGGTTTGAGGCAAACCCCAAATGCCCATATAGGTTTGAGCTGTTACCTGAAAAGAACCAGGGGAATGTTAGGATGGTGTCAGATTCATAGGGTGTGTTCCTTTTGGTGAATGTGAAAATGGATTAATAAGATCTAAAAATGGATTTTGCGTTCCTTTCTGATCTGGTGGATCCTTTTTCAAAAAGGATTCGTTGGATTTGAAATCTGAAAATTAATCCAAATCCAGATTAACAGATTAGTGATCTATGCTGTTCCATTCACAGTGGACTCAAAATTAATCAGTTGATCCACTATATATACCCATAGAGTTTCCTTGTTGCTGTAAAACATCTGAAAACACTGGAAGATTGTTCCTGGTATCAGTAAAATATCCGTTAATAACTATCCATTTGTTGTTAAAATATATACATGTAAAAATGATGTAAAAGGGAAATGAACTGCACTGAATCTTTCTACAAACTCATTTGTAAATGTGATAGTTACTCAGTCGTGTTACATAAAAAAATCCTAGCTACGAAACTGAGCCAGCAACCTTTACATATTCTTGAAGAAATTTATCAGGCTAGTGAAGTTAATATCGATTTAAATGTTCTCAAAACATAGCCAGTCTTAACGTCTTAATGATGCTGACAGTTTATGTATTAGATCGAACACTGCTACTATGAACAGGGACGAGGGAGCCTATCAGCTTTCTCCCATATGGACACAAGTGATCTCCACCCCCAAACCAGGGGGGAAGGGGGTGTCTGCAGAGTGACTTTGCGCATTTATCGCAATAATTAACACCTTCAGAAGCCTATTTAAGGCTTCTGACACTTTTATTGTTTTCCAAGTTTTGATAAAGATGGCTGACAATTATCGAAACTGTCAGCATCATTAAGACGTTAAGACTGGCTATGTTTTGAGAACATTTAAATCAAACCTTTACATAATTTTCAACTTTAACTTGCTTCTTTCTTGATCTGTTTATGTTCCTCTACATCGGTGGTATTTGAGTTGCTGACTACAAAATTTTGCATGGTGTAATATTTGTCAAACAGTAGAAAACACATCATTTCTTAAGAGGAGGCTGTCATATTGAACGCTTTTGCAAACGTTTAATTACCAATGTTACAGATCTAATTTTGGATTTCACATTCCTTTCGAGTGTGAAATCAGGCAAATCTAGGATCAAAAATCCACTTTTGGATTTGCCGAAAGGTCAACATACCCATATTGTATGTTAAGGAGGTGAAGAGAAAAAAATATTTATTTCTTGGTGGCTTCATTTCAGGACACGGAGTTGCAAAAGATGAAAAAATGGCATTTTATTGGTTCAGGTTAGATAATATTTTTTCTTGTGGGTGTTGTAGTTTAATGTTATTTTTTGCTCGGATTGTATTTTCCTTTGTTTTTGGGTATTGCAATGTTTATAAAATGAGTGTAAAACAAAGGAAAACAAAATTGAACCGAGAATGAATTAATTGAACCACAATGTGTAAAACCATTAATGTTATATCTGATGAAAAATCCTGTCTAGGTTATGCCAGTGAACTGAAGCATTTATGTTATTCTTGAGATCTCAGTACTTATGGTTTTATAAGAGTTATGTATTTAATTTCAGGGAGGCAACCAAAAATGGCCATGGACATGGGGCATATAATCTTGTTGCTGGACATTTACAGGGTTATAACACAGATGTCGAAGAACAGTAAGATTCTTTTTTGTTAAAAAAATGAAGCAGTACCTCAAAAAGCTCCAAGTGACTTGGGAAAGCCAGCTAGATTACTGGTGTAAATTTCTTTCCTTTGAATTTGAGGATTTGACAAATGATTACATGCATCCTTTGAATTATCTGTAGAATGTGTTTGTTGCATTTTATTGGTAGCATGTCAAGTAGTAAAAATTATAATAAAAACATTGGCTGACATTTGCAGTCCCCTGGTTACTTTTTTTATTTTCTCTGTCAGGTCCTTGACTGTAATCAGAACTGCTATAAATAATGTAGCCATTAGTGAAAATTTCTTACAGTAAAATTACCCTCACAGACTTATTTATTAATTTGTAGATAAAATTTTGTTCGTTCTACGCAAGTTCTGATTGTATTTGATTTATTTCAGTTATTTTGGTGGTTATTGTATAATGTTGAAACATTATTAATGTCTTTTTATAAAACTTCAGTGAAGTTGAACCACTTCTTAAAATGGCAGCTGATAAAGGTGTAGAAGAAGCCAAGAGAGCTCTTAGGGACTTGTACCCACACAAATACCAGTAATGTAATCAGGTCAGTGTCAGTGAACTTGAGTCAGTATACTGAATCTCAGTGCAAACAATCTTTGTATTGACTCGAACATTTAACAAGTTGTTCTTTCATTAGTAACTCAGCTAAATTTTTAAGACACTTTAAACATCCATACTGCCACTGATCTTTTAGTGTCTTCTTCTCCTGTAACCCCTCAGTAAGGTCCTGCAAACCTTCAATATTTCCTTCAAAACTCTGACCTACCATTCCCTGTGAACTCACATGTAAACTTACAAAACTCTATCAGCTATGTTGTTAGCTAATGAGAAAGAAAAGAGTAATATGACTTACTGGTATGCCCTTTTCCACCCTATTTCCTTTTAAATTCTAAAAACTTAGTTACCTTGCATGAAGCATTATTTTAATAGTAATTTTATTATTACAATTTAATTTCTTCTTGAAAATCATTTATCTGTTTATAAGACCTCAGTCAGTTTCATCTCCACTTTTGGTTAAACTGCTTGCTTAGGTTCCTATTGAATTGTGTTTGTTTTTTGTATTTTTCAGGTTAAATGTATTTGCTATCATCAGCTGAGTAGTTGCCATTGCTCTTGTACACGTCAACTTGGACCTTTTTGCCAAAGTAAACAAATGCTTTGTAAATAGATTTTGATATTAGCATTGACTGTGGGATTTAAAAAAAGCCGTAACATTGCATTAAGGCTGCTGGGTTTTATGGTTACAATACTGTTTCTGCTAACGATTTGCAAAATCGCAACAAAAACCTTTGTTTGAAGGCTAGTTTACAAAAAAGAAATAAAAAACAGCAAACAACCACACTTTTGAACTAATTAGAGTCATTATTCATTACAGTTTAAGTCTTTTTGGCCTCCTGTGGCGGCTTTCTGCCCATATATATGGGAAAATATCTATATGTTTGCATTCTATCCAGACTGCATTTTGCAGGTTTTACAACCCAAATTATATATTTCATGTTAGTCTCACTGAGTGGATATAACACTTGACAGTCTGTTGACTTTAACAGAGCAAATACACAATAATTTATAGACATAGAGAGGTTTATTTAAAGAAGCAGCAGAAACTTTGAAACAGTGTATATTATTTATTTGTATAAAATAACTATGTTATATTATAGGTAGTGAAGGTTTATTTTGTTCTGGGCTGTGAAAATTATACCAGTGTAGCTGGCTCATTGGGTGAATTGTACATTTTCTGATTTTAATGTTTCAGCTCTACTAATAAAAAAACTGTCACTTAATATATTGTCAATAAAAGTAATAAAATTATGACTTGCCTTTGTGAATTGTGGTGTCAATCCCTGTATACTTCAGTTGATTTGAATTTGGTTTGGAAATTATTATTTTAACTTTGAGACCAAAATTCATTTAAATTTAAATAAATAACTGTTTACCCTCAAAATTTGTTTTACTTTTAAAATTTAAATTTAACTTTTTAATCAAAATCATTTTAACCTTGTATGAATTATCAATAGGAGGCCGATGACACCTTTTTTGCAAATACACATGAAGTACTATGACTGACCTCAGTTGTTCACAACAATTCTTCTAGCATGTCAGTGCTTGGGACTCATATCAACTCTTTATCCTTCTCTTCTCATGAAAATTACCAAGCTTGAGCTTTTAACAGATATCACTAATGAAGTGTGATTTTTCATAGGCATTTATGAAAATAGGGGGCTACTTTTACATACTTTTTTCTGGCTCACCGACTGATCTAATTTATTCAGATTTGTTCCATGTACTTTAATGGAACACCCGTGCAGGAATAACAAACTTTACAACACCATCCTTACTACCCAATATTATTATTATGCTTAAAAAAATTATGATATTCATGAAAATTGCAGAGCAGAAGCCTTGAACAGGGTGTGTATATTGACATAGCCTGAGATCATGCCCTCTCTCTAATATTCCATTAAAAAAAGAAAAAAAAATCGCCAAATCACAGGTGAATTAAATAAACCAGGTGGAGAACAAAAAATATATATTATTCGCCTCAGTGACCCTCAGCGTAGCCTGAGATCATGCCCTCTCCCTATTATCCCTTTATTTCTCTAAAAAAAAAAACAAAAAAAAAACGCCTGATCGCAGGTTACCCTCAACGTCGATAAACTGGCTGTTGAATGACTGTTTAGGGGAAAGTGAATATTTTGGCCTTTTTTAAATAAAAGACTGGTGCCAAGAATATTAAGGTTAGCGATTGGTTTATTATATGTATTCTTACATGAAGTAGAAGTGGATTACAACAAACCAATCATAACCGAGATACGTTGAGGGCATTTCAATTTGATTGGACAGTGTGAATTTTAGCCAATCAGAAGCCGAGAATTCAGTAAAGTACAAATTTCAAAAGTACAAAATACCTTCAGCATTTGGTTCGACCCTCGGTGAACTTCAGGAAGGACTGTCACTCTCTGTGCGATTGAACCTTATTATACCCAACAAATTAGCTGGAAATCATGGCAGAAAATCGTTTACGACATTTCAAGAATAAGGGCAAAGATAGCTCCGTAAGTTTGCATGCTTTGTTGTTGCTAAAGTAATTTTCTTTGATATTAGGTGCGATCGAAAACCGTACAAAAACTAAGGTAAAGATGCCGATGACATAGATACGTTCCCAGCAAGATAAATCTTTGTTCCAGAGGATATTTTACAAACAAAAATGGTTTCATTTACGCTTATTCACTTGACAGAAATTTTAGTTTTAAGTGGATGGATGTGCATCATCTTTTGAAGCTTATAAATTATGCGCGCATGCTGTTCGTTTCAGTTCGTCTGACAGTGTCGAGGGTGAATTTAGATTCACTCTGTACTCTCTCTGTGTTCTTGTATTCGTACAAGGGATAATATTTATTGAAAAAGAGGGAAAGATTGCTTTCTATTATTGAGGTCTCTCGTAGCACCTCTCCCTCTGAGAGAAGCTGGCCATTGTCAAGCCGCATCCGTATCGCGTATCGTTTCCCCAACAAGTATCTCTAGTCATTGACATTGTCAGTGGTATTTTTCGTGAAAACTTTTCCTTTACAAGTGAGCTTCCAAAACCCAGCTGTTTGAGGAGTAGGGATTGGAGAAATGTTGAGACCCTGGACAGGGAAAGTTCACACGCAAAAAAAATAATAAGATGCCCTGTCATGTTCAGGACAGAGAGTCCAAAAACCTTACTGCTCCAGAAGCAGACTTGCCAAATAGGAATTTGGGGGAAGTATCCCCCCCCGCTCTTGAATACAACCTATTGATCACCTGAAACTGTGAAAGGTTGACACCTGGCTGATCAATAAAACCATTGACTTTAAAAGAGACAAAATTTAACACCCCTTTGATTTTTCCAAGATCAGTTACACAATTTACCTTTTTTAAGGACCAGTGGGTGAATTTTAAAATTTAATCCAAGGGGTCAACATGACTAGGAAAGAAAGCATCTTTTTTTTTCCTCATTTTTGCAGGAGTTACGACGAAGACGAACTGACGTTTCAATTGAGCTCCGAAGGGTATGTAATTTTAATAGTAGGGCTGTGTTCTAGCAGCACCCAGTGCCCCCTGGCACCTCACTTTTCCTCTTGGGAGTCTATAAAGAAACCTTAGATTTTTCATAGAAATCCTGTGCTGGGCACCCTGGATTTTACAGGCTTCTCCTTATGGACAGAGAAAACTGTCTGTAATTCCAAGGTGCCTGCAAAGTGAGTTTCCACTGTATAACTGTTGTAGTTTAATTTAGGCTAGTTTTTATACTCTTTTCAATGTCAATACTTTTTCACTGTCTGATTAGAGTAAAAGAGACGATCAGGTTCTAAAAAGACGTAACATCACTGTTGAGGAATCTAGTCCACTGAAGGAAATCAATTCTCAGCAACAGGTACTTGTGTAACCATTTCAACCTAACACTTGTTGAACATTGTTTTTTTTTTCTGATGATTGCATAATGAAAAAACTTGATTTCTCAACAGACTGTGACTCAATTACCACTGCCTACAATCCAAGAGGTATGTACAATGTTATTCAGTATCAGTTTCTTGAATCTGACTTGTTTTTTTGTTGAATATTGGACTGCAGATTTATACTTTGTGTTAATTTCCCCATAATAATATCCTTGCAGTATCTCAAGTCAAATGATGACAAGCTGATATTTCAAGCTGTACAGATTTCAAGGTGATTTCTTATACTGTAAATCCTCTCTTAAGCCCCCTGGAGGGCTTATTTATTTTAAACACATTTAATGGGGCGGGGGAGGGGGGCTTATTTAACTTAGCACAGTTTTCCATCAAGAAATAGAATGCAAATTAGAAAAGCTCAAATACAAGAAGTTGGAGGTCAGTCACACAGCTGAGGATCAAAAGCAGATCTGAATTTCCAACCAGTGAATAAACCATCCTGGATCAATCCAGACTGAGACAAGGTTTTTACATCTATCATTCATTAGTGAATAATAATGAGGGGGAGCTTAAAAGAGAATAGGGGTTATCAGCGTGCAAAGAAAGTAGTGTCTGATAGCCCGGGGCTAGTGGATTTTGCTATCCGGCTAGTGAATTCTGTTTTTAACTTGCCCGAAGGGCAAGTGATGTTTTTTGAGGAATTCGAATAACAGAACAACTGTGAAATCAATTCTGCTCGTCAAAAAGCTTTTTGGGATAGTTGAAATGACGTCTGGGCTAGTAAATGCTAGCTTCAGCTTACCCGAATGGTAAGCTGTGAAAATGATTTTCTTTGCACCCTGGTTATCAACTTTCTTCCCTGAAAAAAGGGGGGGGCTTATTAGAGAGGAGGGCTTATTTGATAGGGAGGGCTTAAAACAGGATTTACGGTACCTATTACAAGCAAGGACTGACTTTTACTGAGGGCTGTCACTAAGATTTCATGTCGCCAGGTATATATATTATACAATGAGTAGGCTGGGAAATAAACAGATAGGAAAATTTTTTTCGTTCCATTTTCCTTTTGCTTCCAATGAAAGTATCCACTGTAAATCATAGCTAATGCTTGTCCACCTAAATGATCCCATAAATTGTTGCACCAAAAGCCTGTACCCATTCCCATTATATTTTCTGGAGTGGAGAATATTAACTTTAGAGTGATAATCTTTCATGCCAATATGATATCTGTCTTGTTGTCACCAAGTGCCATTAGACTAGGATTGTGTTAAATGACATTAGGCATAATTTAGTCAGACATTGTCCAAAGAAGGAATGTTATTTGCAGCTCTATGATAACCTGAAGTATAAAAAAAAATTAAATTGACTGTTGATTATTCTTCATCATGATAATATGCAATTTTCCATTCTCTGTTGTTATAGGAAGATGTTATCAAAGCACAAAAACCCTCCAATAAAAGAATTTATTAAGTATGTTTGTCCACTTTCCTATTTTTCAATTCATGTTAAATACAGTAGATAATCTATTGATCACTTTCCCATATATTCAGTTTTACAAAGTTAATTGTTAGATTTTCCAGCTAACTTGAAATATTTCAAATGTACTTTTTCAGCTCTGGACTTGTACCAAACTTTGTAAACAAGTTAGATCGATCTGACAAGTGAGTTCATGGCAGGTTTTTGCCTTGTAGCCAGCAATTTTGTCTGTTCCTATTTGTTGCTGATTGTTATGTTAGTTACAAAACATACTCACTGCTCATTATTCTCAAACTAATTTTCAATCAATAGTCCTTCCATACAGTTTGAAGCTGCGTGGGTACTGACAAATATTGCCTCAGGTTCATCAGATGAAACAAAAGTTGTTGTAGATGCAGGTGATGATTAACTCAGTATTGACCATATTACATTGTATTCTTTTAAACGATTTATTTACTACTTTCAGTTAATTAATAGAGAACAGTCAACTCTCTCTAAACAGTCAGCTAGGGTTGGTCCCTGCAGCCTTTCTTTTCCCTCTTTAATATTGTCTCTCAGGGATATCATTCTGAGACAGTCAGTCCCCGTCCCAGTGGTGTCCATCTTAGAGATAGGTGACTGTATCATAATTTTACTCAGACTCTGTTGCAAAATTTCTGTGACATGTAATGGTAATGCCATTCTGCAAGTAATTTCCAGTGTTGTGATTGGTGAATGAATCTTAAAATAGATTCCCCGGGGAAAATCTCGGCCTTTGAGGACAGCTTAACACATTATTGTGTATACGTTTACTTGTATTTTGGCTCTCTAGGGGTGCATTCGATTGGGAAATCCGGATTTAGATTCTCAAAATCTAAATCCGGATTTCCCGATCGAACGCAAAATCCAAAAACGGATTTCACCTACGAGAAATCCGTCCTCAGGGTGGATTTCAATTAAGAAATCCAAAACCGGATTTTTTTGATTTCCCTTTTACCATTCGATTGGGAAATCCGAAAAAGGATTTGCAAAACCATTCTCGTGAACGGCGGTCTTCTTTTTACTAATTATGCGTGCGCATGCAAGACCGCTGTTCGGTAAAGACAGTTTTTCAAATCCTTTTTTGGATTTCCCATTCGAACGGTAAAAAGGAAAGTCCAAAAAAAAAAAAATTTTGGCGTTGAAATACGTTTTCGGATTTCGCGTTCGACTGCAAATCCGAAATCTGGATTTTAAAATCTAAATCCAGATTTCCCAATCAAACGCACCCTAGAATATGACTTTATGAGCTAAAAAAAGATGGAATAATATGTACGTGTTAGATTGTTCCAAACTTGTTATAAATGACATTTTAGCTAGATATGCTAGTTAAAGCCCTCACCCAAGAGCATAACTGCTTATGGTGATGTACAATAGTCCTGAGTCATGTTGGTCTTTCAAAACCTTTTCAACTGTCAGGTAAAACAAAATAAAAACATTTATGCAAATGTATACCACGACACAATTAAGGATGGCGATTCACACATGTCTCTCTGCCTGATTTTTTCTTTAGGGAGGGGGGCGTCCATCTACTTGCAAGTTGAAGTAATTTTTAAAACAATAACGTTATAGGACCACTGGAACTAGATTTTGTAGACAAAGACTTCATTTAAGTTAACCTTGCTTCATTTAAAATTCAAATACAATTTGATGAATAAACATTTATTCACCTCTTCTATAAGGATTCTATCTATAACCCACTATTTTTTATAGTAGTAATTTTGAGTTTTTACTATTAAAAATACATAACATGTAGCTTATAGCTTTTGAGAGAACTCTGTCCACAATGTAGTGCACTTCTCTCTTTAAAACATTTCCTGTTTCAACTGAAAAAAAGTAGTACTTCTGTAACGATCACCCTGCCACACAGATGTTTATATGTGTCAATGTGTTTTAATATATGTACTTTTTCTAAGTTTGTTTTTGTAATTAATAACTCTTCATTTATATCTTTTAGGTGCTGTTCCAAGATTTGTGAATCTGCTATCATCCAGCCATGTTCAAGTTCAAGAGCAGGCAGTCTGGGCCCTAGGAAACATTGCAGGTATCTAAGTTGTTAAATGTTGCAAAACCTTCAGGCATGAGCTGCGGCATGAAATTCAGCCATATTAGGAAATTACAAAATGCCCGTTAAATTAAGAGAAACATAAAAATAATCGTGTAAAACTTTACAGGAAGGTTAAAATAACATTTAACAGAAACAACAGATGCCACAGATGGGCAAAACTGAAGAAGACTGAAACGGATTGAAATAAGGGTTTTTGAAAACTGTTCAGCCTGTTCATCCCTACTGCTTGCAACTCGTCAAAAATAATGCTCAGGAGACATATTTGTTTGTCTCGGATCTCTGATTTTGTCATTTACATGCAATTTCTTTGCCTACTTTAAGTTCCATAGTGATTGAGGGCGAGTATTGGCAAAATTAAACAAAATGAAATGGACTACCGTGACACAGCCCCTTTAATATTCTTGTTAATGTTCTATTTATGTCTGACCCTTGCATTATTTGATGTGTTTGTGTATGCAGGTGATGGTCCACTACTGAGAAACTTTGTTATAGCTTCTGGTGCTTTGAAGCCATTACTTGCACTGGCCCATAACAGCATGAATAATGTAAGTAATATTCATGCCAGAGGCTTCAGCTATCCCTACTCCCTCGATCTTTAATGTGCATGCGTGAGAGCTATGATCCAAAGGCGTGGATGGGGGATACACAAAAATACTACAAAAGACTTATCATGTAACATTAATTTTTTGGGAACAACTACTACAAAGTAAAGAAAAAAAACTGTTGATTATTGATCTGAGCAGATCAACCTTCCTAACCACTTTTGTCTAGTTCATGTAGCCTCCATAACCCCTCCCCTTCCACCAAAAGAAAAAATACTGCAAGTGAAAATAGCTTATAATCAAATAACTTCACACAAGAAATGTTACAACTAAATGAGGGTTGACAGCTGGTTGGGTAACAATCTTTTGTTTCCTTGGATAATTTCTACAGGTGAATTTCCTTCGCAATGTGACCTGGACTCTTTCTAACCTATGTCGCAATAAGAATCCACCTCCTGACAAGGAAACTGTCATAGAAGTAAGTGATACAAGTTTGTACATTACCCTGACTATAAATAACATTGTCACTTATTGCATGCATGGTCATAGAGAGGATTTGATTTGCCTTCTTGTATTTCAATTTAATTTACTTTTTATTTTGTTTTTGATTTCAGATCCTTCCAATTCTGACATATTTATTGATCCATAATCAAGATAAAGAGGTAGATTATTATTAATTTTAGTGCATGTAGTTTTCTGGCAGCACAATTCTTCCAGTCATTTCCATTTTGTTAGTTTCATTGAAAGCACTATAAATTATGCTTTCTCTAAACAAACAATTGTTTTTCAGGTGCTCTCAGATACATGTTGGGGCTTATCATATTTGACTGATGGAACAAATGATAGAATACAGGTTAGCATAATTAAACACATACATACTGCTGGTGTACCCATTCACACTTGAAATGCCTCAAAACACCAGTATGGAAGTTCCAACCATGTGTGATGTTATAAATGTATCAGCTCCAGTTGCAGAAAAAAGGTGAGATTACATGTCCAGGTAGAGGTCTACATGGGCCATACACCACAACTATCGTTTAGCATCTCTCTTGCATTTTTGCAAAAGGTTTCCTACGAAAATTAACCCTTCTTTTAAGTAAGAAAAAATGTACAGGATAGTAAATTAAAGGGGAGGAAAGAAAACCTAAAATGAATGCATGCCAATCAGTTAATCCTGAAGTGTCACTTGTTCAGCCAAAAACCTGAAAATTTTGCATTTTGTGTATTGCTGGAATGCCCCCAGGAGATCACATCTATAAATAAAACTATTGATGGTAAATTTCCTTTGATAAAATTCAGTCACAAAAACATTATTCTTAGGTGGTAGTCAAGGTTATATATCTAAATTTGCCATAAATGAGTTATTCAAGAAAACCTGTTCTTGCTTCAGCTTGTCATTGATTCAGGAATCCTTCCATCATTGGTGAATTTACTGGGCCACCCAGAAGTTAACGTCGTGGTAAGGACTTTTTCCATCGATCTGTTGTGAGATCACTTAGTTTGTCATTAGCATGTCAACCAAAAGGTTGACCATGTGTATAAATTTATATTATTGCATTGAGTACAAACTACAAAGGTAAAAACAGAAAGACTTGCTGCATTTTAAAATACAAATTCAAGAGTACAGTAATGTGGCCTTCCACTGTGTCAAACTTTTATTTCTTGTTTAGACACCTACATTGAGAGCTGTTGGAAACATTGTCACAGGGACTGATGAACAGACACAAGTAAGCAGGACATTTTCCATTAAAACCTGTCGGAAATTTGTACATTAAATTCACTTAATATTTGATTAAAAAAAGGTACAAGGAAAGGAACACTGGACTGAACCTTCTACCATGCAGGGAGAATAAGTCAAATGTTTATCGATGTTGCTTATGGTATTCCGATATTGGTATAATTATTACGAAATAATATTTGATCCAGTTAAATCTGAATTACCAGCTTAGCAGCTACATAAGTTGATGCTATAGTAAGACAAGGAGAGCTTTCAGAAATGGTAAATTATCTGCTTGGTTATTCGTTTAATAACACAAAAATTTCTTGGTAGTTTCTTTGTGTTGTAGATGCATGTAATCACCAAAAGACTGAAAAGACACAAAACAATAGCCACACCACAACTCAAAAGTGAACCAGCAATGGTTTCTGCAACATCATGAAACAATCCCAAAAATTAAAGTGGAATACATTACTATTCCATTCTTAATGTCCTTTAATTTGTTTTGTTTTAGATGGTAATACAGTGCAATGCTTTGTCATATTTCAAGGATCTTCTAAAACACCATAAACCCAGCATTGTCAAGGTCAGTTATATGTACAGAAGACTTAATACTGTACTTTCAGTTTATTTTCGATCAGCTTTACCTTACAGGATGTAAAGAAAGTCGGTTCTACAGCTTGCCTTTGGGCAGGCTGTAGCTAGCATGTACTAGGCTAAAAGTTGAAAATAAATTTGATGAGCAGGATTGATTAAGGTTCTTCTGTTATTTAAATGCCCCCCTAAAACTTCACTAGCCCAACAGCAATATCCATGAGTCACCGGCTAGCGGACACTACTTTCTTTGCATGCTGGCTTATTAATTTCTATCTCACAGTACTGTCTTACCCCTGATTTGTTAATAGGAGGCAACATGGGCAATATCAAATATTACAGCAGGCCCCAAAGAGCAAATTCAGGTACAGTTTCTGAGTAAAGTATAAACTATTCCTTGCATGTAAAAATACTAATTGAAATTAATATATTGTTACTCTGACCAAATGATAAGTTAGAAAGTATGATTGAGAGAGCGCATCTGGCACAACACACACAAGGATAATTATTCCTTTAAGCCATACAGAGTGAATGGTATACAGAGTGTACATGTATACAGCTGTTTTGAGAAAGTTGTCGCAAGAAATGTGCATGCGACAATCCTGAAAGGAAATATGGGATATGATCAATACACTGTTCGAAACGACTGAAGCTGTCAAACCTACTTTTGTTGCTTTCCTTGAGTATTCGTAAACATATGTCTGTGGCTTCCTGTACCATTCTTTCAAATTTCTTTGAAGGACAGTGCCCTCAAAGCCACCCACAATACCTTTTCGGGATTGTCGCGTGCACTTTTTCCGACAACCTTGATCGAAATAGCTGTATATTTGAAGCCAGCAATATCGCAACATCACAAACATTATTGGTATTGTGTTAAGTCTAGTAGTTTTTTTCCATGCAATGATTCTATGAAATATGATTAAAGTTATTTTACGCGAGTAAGTAGCATCACGACAATGCATTGACTACATATTGCTTACTTAAGGGTGTCACACCCCCAAATGTTTAGAATAATAATTGGATGTAAAACTTTCTTTTTTTTTTCTTGACACTATAAAGAGATCAAGAACTTCGTGTGTATGTTTCAGTTTGTTTTTCTTTTGTGTTTATTCCGCACAGGCTGTCATCAATGCAGGCTTGGTACCGCTGATTATAGCTGTGTTGAAGGTGTGTAAGCATGATAAAGACTCTTTAGTGGGTTTATGGAGCCAGTGTAATGAAAAGCTGTCAGTGCCTTACAACAGTGTCTTTTTGTTAATCTGTTCAGAGAGCGTTGTTGTCCAGTCATTTTAATACATGTAAATTATTGTTACTCTTAGGGTTGTGAATCAGTACGGGCAGACTTTAAGAGCCAAAAGGAAGCGGTGTGGGCCATCACAAACTTCACATCAGGCAGCACTCCAGATCAGGTACATTTCAGTTATTAAATCACCTGCTTTTAACAAAACACCTGAATGTATTAGCTACAATAATATGTTCCAGAATTTGGCCAAAAGTGGAATTTCAAACATTAGGTTCACTGGTCATGAAATTTAGTGAAAATACACAGCAAAATTGTAGAGAACACAATCAGGAATGGACAAAATTGGAGAAAATTAGAAAAAGGTTGAATAATGCAACCGCTTCTTAGGGTTTTAAAAAATTAAAGCCTCTCATTTTTATTATGATGTGTTAAAATAGTTTTGCATTGTACAAGCTGAGTGTTGACCTTCATTTTTTTTGTATCTTTCCTTAGATCACCTTTCTTGTGCAGAATGGTGTCATTGAACCAATGTGCAAACTCTTGGATGTCAAGGATGCTAAGGTCATCTTAACAACCATCTGATTGCCCTCCATTTTTAAATACTCAGTTATTGTTGACAGATTAATTTACATTAAGGTTTTACCAGAATGAAACTGAGTTAAACATTTTAAGTAATTTGTCTTTTGTGGAGAAACTCAAAAGCTTATTCTATGATGATCAGTGTCAGCCTGGCCTCCATCTAAGGTACCATTCACTCTGATGAAGGGCTAGCACACTATCAATTTTTGAGCCTTTATGCCATAAAGTGATCAACAAAAATTTACTGATGATACCAGCAAAATATGGGATGATGTGGAGACAGTGAAATCCCTTGTCTCATCTGGCATTTTCCTTGAAAATCAGGCTTTGTAGATGCTACTGATAAACCCTATGCCTCTGTTATAATATTCTTTCTTGTTTACTGTATACTTTTTAAAAACACTTTTTCCTGTTTGTACAATATAATTACACATACAAAATAACCCTCCACTAACTGAATTCACTGATTATCTTGTCGTTTTTTTTTTAGACTATTCTTGTTCTTTTGGATGGATTTAATCATATTCTCCAGGTAAGTTGCCTTCTTATTGTTGATACCGTAAAATTCCGAAAATAAGCCCCGGGGCTTATATCTTTCAAAGGCCCTTTTTGAGGGGCTTGTTTTTGGAGGGGCTTATGTACGGAGGGAAATTTGCGTTTCAAAATCGATTGGGCTAGCTTGTAGTGGGAAGGAAATTTATCATTTTTGCTTTGTTTTACTTTGTATTCAAGGGCAAATTCCAAGTACAAGCCCCCCCCCGGGGGGCTTATATTCGGAGGGGCAATTTAACGGAGGGTTTTTTGCGCTACGATTTTGGGGGGCTTATATTTGGAGGGGCTTATTTTCGGAATTTTATGGTATTTTATTATGGACTGACTGTGTAAAAACCCTTAAACTCACTGCAGTTAATCTGCTTTGATTGGTAGACTTCCTCCTCCAATGATCGCCTCATGGAAGAGGTTTGTAAGCAAATGGAAGAGCATGAAGGTAAAACAATATTTCATAACATTTTTATGCAGAATACTGTATGTGCATGCAGAAGCTTAGATGTTTTGACGTTCACAGTGTAGTTGAACCGTGTCTTTGTAAGCAGGTTTCTTGGGAGTGATGAGATTGAGGGGATTGTCCTTCACTTGGTTAAGAAGTTCCAAGGAGTAACAAGATTAGACCGACAGTAGGAAATCCACAACAACAAAAATGTGAAGCTTACTAAACACAGTTGCCTGTATTATTATTGCTCAGGTATACAAAACATTGAAGGTTTACAGACCCACCAGAACTTTGAGGTGTATAAATCAGCTTTGGCAATAATTGACAAATATTTCTCTGAGGAGGTAAGTTCATGGCAAACTGCTGCGAAAGTTCAGGTCCACTTGAATCAGTCTGTAGATTCATATGAAAAAAACCAGTGGCAAGAACTAATGCCTATATAACTTGAAACTTGCCTTGCAGTCTCTCACTTCATTCTCCTCCATTCTTGTCACTCATACTCCATACTAGTTTTCCTCCTTTGCCCTATGGAATGAAATTCCCATAATTATTATTTTCCCTGAAACTTCACCCCTTATTAATCAAGCCTAAGCACCCAAGCCAAAAAAAAAAGTTACAGTAGAACTTTCGTATAAAGAAGGCCCAAGGGACTAGAAACATGTGTTGGCTACAGTGCAGAGGTTTTGTTATATCAAGGTTCTTTTTCATTTTGTTTTACTATTACTGGATTAAAGAAAATCGTTCATTATACCAAGGACTTTGTTATATGGAGGTTCACTAGATGAGGTTCCCCTGACAGTATAGGCTGAAACTGTGTTCAACTAGAAAAAAATGTGCTTAAAATTTATACATGCAAAATTCATCCATGATACAATTTAGAAACAGCTGAGGCTGGTTTCTAAATTGTCACAACGATCACTTAAAAATGTGTTTAATCGCTATATTGGCTGCTACTAATGATGGAAACATCACTTCACGATACCAGCAGTCATTGCAACAATGATATATTCTATCTTTAGCTTTTAGGCTGGTTTCTCAGACTATAGGTCTGTTACAATCACTGGACTTTTTTCAGTAATCATAGACTTCATAAAAACCCCATTTTACTGGCCACCACTCCCTGTTGCTGGGTAATTTGTACATTGTCAACACGTACAAGTCAATTCTGAAATTACTGAATTGATTACTTTATTTAGAGTACTGAAGAAGCAGAGGCAGTAGCTCCACAGGCCACAAATGAAGGCTTTAAGTTTGGCACTCCACAGGCAATACCAGTGGGTGGATTTCATTTCTGAAACCAGACAACATGAATCTGCCCTAACAAGCTCAAAATCAGAAGTTATCAATATGGCCAAATTATTAAAAAGAGTACAGTCAGAATGTTATTGACAACCTAAATATTGTTGTTGTTTAATGATAGATTGTAAATAAAAGAAGTAGTGTGCTGGAGATGTTATTCTGTGTAAATAATAGCAGAACATGAGAGTAACTTAATTAGTTAGAGTAAGCTTATGAAAAATACAACAGCTCCTTAAATAAAAATATCATAGATGGAAGGAGTTATGGTTGAAAGCATGTGAATTGCCACTTGTCTACTTGTTAGATAATAATATTATTGATTTATTACTTTAATAATAGACTGTGCAGTCTCCCAAGGTTAAAAATGCAACTACTGCTAATATGAATTAGATAACAAATCCAGATCATATTGGGCTGCACATCTATGTTCTAAGTTATGTGTGATTACCTCACTGCTGCAATACTGAAGATGATGTAGAGCCTTGGCTAAACCACTGTATCCATACATGCCGCATTTGATGCCAGCTAATAAACAAGCAAAATTCACTGTATCTTGTAGAGTCAAACCTTTATAAAGACTGTAAATAACACCAGCATTGAAAGTGTCTCCAGCTCCAAGTGTGTCAATCACTTTCTCAGGGGGGTAGGCATCACTATGTATTAAATCACCCTCAGAGCTGATACCATCCGCACCCTCCTCACCCCAAGCACAAAGCATCACTGCAGTTGGCTTGGTATAACGGTTAAGGGATTTGATAGTTTCTACGGGCGATGAAAAGCCACGAAAGCGTGCGAAGTCTTTGCTAATAAACACGACGTCTCCTCTGCTTAGTAACGGCCAAAGAGTTTCTCTTGGTCTCTCCAACTCTACAGAAACTTTGATTTTCTTATCATCCGGCTGAGTTATATTGAATTCATCTACAATGTCGATCATTTTTAGAATCTTAAGCTCATTTCTTCTGCCTTCAAAATGAACCCATTTATAGTTTTTAAGGTCCAACTTTTCGAAGTCTTTAATGTCAAGTTCCGGGAGGTTATTTCGTGCGTGTACTATTGTTCTACTGCCTGTTTTAAGACTCAGCACCACACAAGAAGTCGGAGTCCCACAGTCTGAGTGGTACGCACAGTTTTCATAAAGTATCCCACGATCATTCATTTCCTTACGAATGAAATCCGACTGAAACCCACTCGACATGGAACCTAGAAACTCACACTGCACTCCGAGGTCACGCAATACTTTAGCAGTGTTGCAAGCATTCCCTCCAGACTGATGATGCTGGGAAATGGCTGTAACATCCTTGTCCTCTTCGGGGTAGCTTTCACAAATGCTAACAATATCAAGGGCAGCAAGACCAACGCATAAAATCCTTTCGGAGTTCATCGTACCAATGATAAAACCGAGAAACGTTCTGCAAAAAATTACCAGGCATTCATTTGGCAACGAGAGAGGTCTGGGCCTAGCTATTCCCAGCCTCCCACACAGACGAACTCCAGATATGCCAGCTCGGCAAAATTAAAAATAGTGGAATATCCACACCACTATGGTGGCCTAGGAGTGCCATAAGAAAATTGTGTAGTATCTTGTAAGTTCCCCGTAATTTATTATGTTATTTCATTTTATTTTTAAACTTTAAACGAAAAAAAATTATTATCGAGATACTTTAAATCAAATTTAAACGAAAAAAATAGAAAGTAAAGTAAAATAATTTTTAAGCAAAAGTAAAATGAAACGAAAATAATATTTCCTTGGCCTAGCAGTGGCTTAGGCTACAAAAAAAAAATTCTGACCAGGAGGTCTTTTAATCTCGTACATTACTTGTCACCGCCCGCCGGAAACAATCAATGAAGCCCTTTTTTTCTCTCAGTATCTTGTTTCATTTGTTAGATTTACTGAGGTTGTCGCGACTGTAGACTACGAGTAGTCCCCCATTTTTCCTCAGGGATAGTAGAGCGAGCAAAACACGAGCGCGCGTGAAAATCAACCCACGCGAGAAAAGGCGACACGCGGCGGGAGAGAGAAAAATGATGAAAAATTTACTGAGTGTGGGGTTGTCGCGACTGTCGCTTGACTGTGCTTGTGAATATTTCGCTAAAGTTTCTGTCGCTTTACTGTATAACGCTGGTTGCATTTGCGAAGCTATGAGCAAAATGGCTAGATTTCTAATTACTCCTGGCAAGTGTTAAATCTACTTTAATTTAAGATGCTAGGAAGAGGCTTTCAGTCAAAACGAATCCTATTTTTTCCCCTGAAACAGAGAGCCTGTTCACAGGCTAGGAAGACGGCAAAACGAAGTTTTCGACAAGTTCGACCACTACACTGCTAAACGAGAGTGGCAAATTATTTCTGTAGGAAATCCTTACTTGGTTATCGACTTTGGTAAGTTTAGCTTTGTTTAGCCGAGCAATTGATGGTAAGTAGTGATTTTTAATATTTCGGTTTTTTGTCGATGAAAAATACCGAGAAAAAATATCGAGCGGAAATTATTTTTTTTCGCGCGTGTTCTCTGATGATGTATTTCACAAAATTTTTGATAATGTATTACAAAAAGATTCTGTCCAGATTTCTCGATATTTCATCAGTTTCACTCTATCACACGCTGCCCAACAAACGATCGCTAGCCTCTAGCTATTTGGCGCCGGCTTTCCTATTTTGCTTTTGCATTTTGATCACCGTCTCATGAACGTGCTTTTAATTATTTGTGACGGGAAATATGTACCGCGCGCGTTTGTTTGGCGCCCAGATCATTGACATCAGTGGAAGAGACTCCAGACAGGTAAGAAAACTTAATAATTATATCAGTAGCATTTGATGTTTAAAATTATAATTCTGGATTATTCTATTCTACTTCAACACTGGAGAGAGTCAGCTCTTTTCTCAAAAAAATTTCGCAGACAAGTAGCCTCGCTGGGTCATGCAGGGTCCCCCTGTTTCCTGAGCTTTTGTTATCTGCGTTGCATAGTATTAACCAGTAGTATCCTGGGTAGCGTATATCTGAAATCTACAGTTAACTCGTAAAAATGCTCTAATCATTCCTGTAGTATCCTGGGTAGTGTATACCTGAAATCTACAGTTAACTTGCAAAAACACTCTAATCAATGCTGTAGTATCCCGGCTATTAAATGTATACCTAAAAAATACACAACATTGACTTATTTGACTTATGGAGGTGATAATCATGTTCAACTCTTACTCTTTTTGAATATTCACAGCTTTCTCTCAATCCATCTTATTTTTTTAGCACGCGCTCGAACTTGATTTTGGCACGAGTGTTGCCTTAACAAAGCGGAGTAAAAGAGCAGTATAAGAACACGTATTGCAGTATTTTGTGTTAGTGATCTAGGAACCTCTGAATTTGGCGATTTTGCGATAATGACATATCGCCAGGACTACTTCATTTGCTTGATATAAAAGCAGTACAAAAAAATCTTAAATCATATTAGTACTTGTTGTTGTTTCTGTCGGCTTTATAAGGATTTGATGCCTTTACATACTGATACAGGACCATAAAGTAGTTAGCGCGTTTGTCGAATTTGGTAATGTGAAATTAGAGTATAAGGAGCTACTTTTACGAATTTTACGAAAAACATTTTCCAATTTCCAGGCCTTTTAGGAAGCGGCTTAAATAGTTTCAAAATTGCAGGGCAGTCACAAAACTGAATTCTTGAGTTTACCTCCATTTCATACTATAATTTACCGCCCGAGACTGAAAAAGGCGCTATGTAAAATGTTTATGCCGTTTTATTATTACCAAAATAGTAAGTGCCTCGGAAGAGGGTTAGCCGCGCAGAAAAAGATTTAAACCTTGCTTTAATCGGATATAATTGCGGTTACTTTCATTTCAGTTTATGGTAGCTTGCGTTACTCTTTTGTGGGCAATTTACGGAAGTCCTAGGGTATTCAGCCGACACCTCAAGAGCCTAGAGCTGTCAGACCTTGGTTTTGAATTACTTATGCAAATTAGCTGGCTGCACATTGAATGTGCAGCCAGCTAGCTAATTTGGATAAAACTTTTTCGCGCTTCAAAGCTCGTCATGAAGGGGTAAAACTTCCTAAGAACTGAAAAATTTAGTTTTCTTATTTCCCCGCTTTAAGTTAGTCTGAAATACGCGTAGCAGCCGTCTCCACCCTAGACTTGCATTTCAGACTAAGGAAGAAGGGTCATACACTCGAAACGTCTGTTTCTTTTTTAAAAAAGAAAAAAAACACAAACATTTGAAATTTTTTGATATTTTATATGAAATATTACCTCATCAGCTACCTGTAGCTGACTTCCAATAGCAGCGACAGTAAAATTCGTTTGCTTACATCTTGTTTTTTCCATCTTAGTGTTTTTTTTTAAGTCATACTCTTGAGATTTTTCCCAGGTCTTTATATCTTTCACGCACTTATAATTTTTTTAATTAAACAAACCGACATGCGTTTTAAAGCTTCATTTATTCAATTTTGGGTCCACTTTGGCCCATGGTCAATGGATCGTCAATAACATTGCACTCATAGTTACTCTCCAGACATTTCTTCTCGCAGTCAGCATCATTTTCACAGTCCACTCCTAACCATTTACCGAACGACGACACCCGAGCGTTTCCGCAAATAAACTGAATAAGGCAACAAATCAAGTTTGTTGTTTTTAAGTCAACGGCAGTCGATAGAGTCTCAATATGGCTTATTCCTTATCACTCTCCGATTTATTTATGAAAATTCATTGAATTTTTTGCCAAGAAAAAAGAGCAACTGAATAAAATGTGAGTACTGTACATGTATCAGCTTTTTTAATGCTACATATATATGTGTCGCAAACCAACAGGATATGTAAGCCAGAGAAAAACTGCCAACGAGTTCTGAAAGAGAAAAACTGCCAACGAGTTCTGGAATTACATTTTTAATTTTTTTTTTAATTTTAAAATGTTGTCATGGAATGTCACGGAATGAAAAAAGGCAACTTTACTAAAAGGGAGTTTAAAATGGAATTTACAAATTTTTAGCGTTTTTTTAATTTTACAATTTAACAAAAACTAAAAAAAAATGAGATCATGTAAAAAAATATAACATTGTTTGCAGCTCTTGTGAAAATGACCTTTAAAAGTGGAGTTTAAATACCGTAAAAGTATTCTGCTACATCAGAGGTATAGTTCTTACCATTTTGAGTCGAGCTCTTTCATTTTCCCGGAGTTGCCTTAAATACTTACGTATCGAGTTTTACTGTTTTTTAAATTTTTACAAGAGAGAATGAGCGAGATCATTCTCTCTTGATTTTTACGAAATAATTCTTGACCTTTATTTTAGTGAAATAAGAGCATGTATGAAGTTCTCCAAACTATGTCGAAAGAGTTGCTTTCAAAGCCATGCCCTACAGAAACTATAATTTTAAAAAGGTAATAAAGAGTTATTAAAAAATACTGCATATATCAAGGTGTTGAACATTTTGTGTCATGACACTTCGTTCCTTATGGATACAGCTATTTCGAGAAAGGTTGTCGGCAAAAATGTGCACGCGACAATCCCGAAAGGTAATATGGGATATGATCAATACACTGTTCCTGATACTGTCAAATAGCTGTCAAAACTTCTTTTATTGCTTTCCTTTAGCACGCGCAAACATACGTCCATGGCCTCTTGTGCCATTCTTTCAAATTTCTTTGAAGAACAGCGAACTCAAAACCACCCATAATACCTTTCGTGATTGTCGCGTACACTTTTTCCGACAACCTTTCTCGAAATAGCTGTGTACAAAATGTTTTCAAAACTAAACACACAAATATAATTTGAAAGTGGCGAACAATACAGCCGGTTAACAACCAAAGACTCTTTTGATTTTAAAAAGAGTCAGTACGAGGTCCTTGTACGTACGGATGAGAATACTTAAAAGCATCGGCATCGTTGGCAAAACGTGACCCCTGACCGAATTTCGCTGGCGCTGACCTCGTACATATGCTCAATGGATTCCTGGCTTCGGTTACGTGTAGGCGGTACTGAAAAAGAAAACTTAAAAACGATGGTAAAATCGTTCTTTGTGCAGCGCTGTGTAGAAACAACGTACCTAAAATAACGCACGCGCAGACCACGACCCCATTTAATATGATAACGTCAAGGTAATTGTCAATGACGTCAAAATAACAAGTCTAGCTAAAGAGTTTTTAAAAAGGAAATAAATCTGATATATTCAAGCCCGTTCAGGAAAAGAATAACAACATTTAAAAAGAAGCAACTCAAGGTGAGATGTTCAAGATTTAACTCTCGTTTTGATGAAATAACAGAACTTTGATTTTCTCTTTTTGTTTTAGTATTTGCGTAACCGCAATGAATTATGCGGTTGACGCGATGAATGAAGGTCGACGCCGCTTCCAAGAAACGGTGGAAGGACTTCAAAAAATGGCTGTCAAACTCAACAGCTTCATATCCTCTGTTCACAAGCAACCTCTGCTATGTTTTCTATTGGGAGTGTTTGCCCTTGTTGTTCTATTACAACTTCTTGTGATTTCAGCTCTTCTTATGGCACCCTTGTTCCTAGTGCTTTGCTCGATGATGCCATTCCTTGCCGGAATTTTCGTGGTTTTTCTCTCGTTTCTATCTGGTTTTCTCGTGAATTTTTTGTTGTTTGCCGTTACCGTCACCACATCTTGCTATATCCTTTATCGAATAGTACGAGACGTAATTCGTCGCGTCCAAAAATTAACAACGGATTTGTTATCTTGGCCTGCATGTGCGCGCCAGAGATTAAATGTCAGACTCCGCGAGTTATCGTCACATTTACCTAAAGGAATACCCAAAGGATTACCAGGTGACTTTGGACAGCGGTTACCGCGAAAAGGAAAAGAAACAAGAGTTTCTTATAAGAGTTACAAAGAATCCGAGTCAAGTGAACTAGAAGATATTGAACCAGATTATAGAGACAGAGAAACCAAGTTATATGACGCATTAGTTCGCAGACAAAATATTCCAGGGTCGGATACTTTTGACCCTTTCCGTTACTCCGTAGGTCCTAGCTAGTAAACAGAATTAAACTGAAGGTTTTAATTAAACAAAAAAGAAAAAAACAAACAAGAAAAGATACCGAATAAATCCTGTAAAAAAACTTATTTGTTACCCCCAAATGAATGCAAATTAAATTCCGCACTATCCTCCCTATAAACGCAAGTAGACACAGTAAGACTATGGATAGTTATATTACAGCTCTTTCTAAACATCTGCCTTATTCCGACTGTTCAGTGCATTTCTTAGAAAGAGTGTTTACCTCTGAAACTTGGCTAATTCGTGGTAAAAGAGAATTCACACAGTTAGGGAGTCACACAGTTAGGTGTCCCCAATTATTGCCAATAGGCACTAGAACGATTAGACACTTTAATAAAGGTTATGTATGTATGTAACCATTTCAAGTGTTATTAAAACGATCCGGGTTACAGGGATACCACACAAAGTGAAGTAAACTTGGTTTCAGAAGCATGAAGCAATCAGGGGTATTCTTAGCGAATCTTTTCTGAGGTCATAAGAGCTGGTGATTACAATGGCAAGAAAAAATATACAAACAAATGTAAACATCGATTGGCCTTTAAATATTCATAGTAGAGAGAAAAATAAACTGACCTAGGCTCTGGCAACAGAAGGACAAAAGTTGTTTATTGGTTTTCATTAAAAGCTCTCTGAAATAACTTCTATACCGGTCCGAAGAAATAAAGAAGAATTGAAAGATCAATTCTAAATAAAAATTCAAAATATCATTTTACAACAATATTCCATGACAGAAGCTGCTAATGTAACTGAATCTCTTCCAGACAGAAGCTGCATGATGTCCCTTGTTCTGTGATCTCTGTGACGTAACAGCTCATAGGTGGTAAATGTTTACCCAATACAGCCTCAATGTCGTATCCCTGCGATAAAGATAAACGGCTGAGTTGGAAAATAAAACGTTTTTCATGTTTCTCCCTGATCTAAACAAATTGTATTGGGTCATTACTTTTTCTTCGCTATTACCAAGACCCTGTGCCCAGATCCCTGGCCTCGCAAACTATCTAGCACCCAAATCCCTAAAGCAAGTAACAAGAGAACCTACACCATGTAGAAGCCGATTCTATTAATTCGACTGGCCTATCCACACTTATCTCATAGCCAAGAGACGTTCCATTCCTGCCGGCTGGGTCACATAGAGTCTTCACAAGAAATAACCATTTGTCCCCCTGGGGCGTGGTGTGGATGTAATGACATACCTGGTCGCTGTCTTGATAAGATACTCGCAATAGTCTGTCAATTGTATTCTGCTGAAGCTGCAAAAAATAATCAATCAATCAGTTAATCAATAATAACAGTAATAAAGACATCTGATTTTGTTAAAACACGGCCCTGACCAATTAAATTATATATTCTAATTTTTGATACTGTGTATAAGGATCTTCAGTAAAACGGAAGCAGTTTGAAACGATGGATAAAGTAATTCTAACTGCTGATTCATCACACCGAGAGCTACTGAAAAGCCGGTCACAGAGGAAGATGTCTCAGTCATTAAGCACAGAATTCCTAGCTCTCTCGCATATCATTCTTGAAGGAGAGATGAGAACTTCTACAGAAAACAACGTGTCAATATTCATTAAATGTCCGACCCAGTCTGCAAATACAGATGGCGGTGACCGTTACCAAAGAGAGATTTATCTAAGAAGATACCGACAGAGCGTTAATAAAGGACCACTGGACATCACAGCCGGGACTACGCACCGTTACTCGGACGCTTGCCTCAGGAAAACGTTTGACTTTTAGAAGTACAGCAAGGAAGGTTTTGGTTTGCGGCGAGTCCACTGGAACGTTACATGATGAACAGAAGAACTGGGAACTATAAAACACAACGAAATCAAGTGTAAGTGTCGCAAGATTCATTTGAACATAACAGTACACTACACTCAGTAAAGAACTTTACATGTTTTAGCGATGATATTGATGTTTTACTTATAAGAAGATACCTTGTTTCCTGTTTAACCTTAATTTCAGCGTTTCCACAAATGTCACAGGCCAACCAACAACACGCACTCTCCTCGTCAATTCCGATAACAACACCTATAATAAAACCTTGATCGTTAACTATTTCCTCTCCAAGATACGTACACACATATTAACATCAAATCAAAAAAATAACAGATAATTGGGCGACTTCAGCATGAGCTTTATTGTGAAGCAAATATTGTAATTGTCGTTGTGATTAAAAAAAAAATGACTTCACTATATCAAGGAAAGAAGAACTCTTGATTACATATGTATCATGCAGTCGAAGGTGCAACCTCGTTCCCAGGGTTCTCTCCTACGTAGGGCGGGTAGGAGAGAACCCTGGGAACGAGGTTGTCGAAGGTGAAGCTTGAACAAAAAGAGTCTGGCACGAAAAACCCACCTTCAACGCGATAAAGACATCCACGGCTCGACTGGCGTGTTAAAAAAGGAAGAGAAGATGGTTTAAGGCAGGATAACCTATCGATTTGATTCTGTGGAACACGGACTTCATGAAACTGGTGGGAAACAAAAAATAAAACAGGTGTGAATAGGTATAAGAAAGTGTACGACTGTCAGTGAATATCAAGTGTTAAAACACAGTGCACAATCCAAAACAGGAACTGAAACTCAAAGCCAGTTATGCCGGCTATAACTCTAAGATAAAAGGTCAACTGTTACACAGACTTACCGTAACGCTAGAATCAACTGAAGTGGATTCTGAGACAGCTTTTCGTACAAGGGAATATGTATCAGCAACCAACTCCTGGGTTTCTGCTATAAACAGTGCAAACCATTGGCATCAATCACTAAATAAAAACTACATCATGTTTTTTGTACATTTTTTCACCTGATATATAATTACCGTTTTCTTATTTCCATAAAAACGTGCCGAAATCGGGTAAAGAGTGCTTCAACGCATATCGCAGTTAATGCATAAACCATGAAGTACTATCATTAAAAATTAACCAAACAACATACGCCTCTCACTCAAGGAATAACCTTGTGCCCTGAAGAGCAAGTCTTGTAAGGAAAGAACTGTTCCATTGCTGATGTGAGCTTCTCTTAATTCTTGAGGTAACACGTGTTGGCTCTTTCCAACAACTTTAACGTACGAGAGTGACTCGACAGTGGTTTCACCGAGCTCTGTGGCACTCTGCGCAGAATGGTCAGTAAGAAATAGTTCAAAACTATTTTGCAGCCGTCCAATACCACTCGATGATTCATTCAATCGACAATACATGAGCTTGCACAGTACACTGATCCGCTCAATTTTATTTTCCTGGTTATGAAGCACATCTCGTAGTGTTCTGAAGGTGATCGGTTTATAGAGAAAACCTAAAAACACAAAAGAAAAATAAATTACATTCATTAACTTTAACTTCACTTAACGCAAACTCTAACTGAACTAATTATACATATAAGAAATAAAACTGCAAATCCTGTTTGTGCAAGTTATGTTAGAACATTTGGTGTTCATAGGCTGTAAAAGACTAAAACACTCACAAAACGTAAGGTAAAAAGAATGCTTTAACCAATCATCTATCAAACTTCCAATGAGATATGTGATTTTTTGATTGAACAGGCTTAATATGAAACACAGTTTCCTCTGAGTCGGTAAATTAATGCCATGTCCTTGTGTTTGTTTAATCCAACATGCACTGTGGACTTGTGATGTCAACATGTTTGTATAGCCTCATGAAGGGTAATTACAATCACATGAATAAACAGCAAAAGAAAGTTCGTGTGAACAAAGGCAATCGCAAAGGTTAGCTGTTCAATCCCACCTTCACCGCCACATATTGAAGCAGTGCGACTGGAATCTTCAGCAGCCTGACTGAAATCTTCAACCGTTAAAACATAACAGAAACTTGGAGGCCGGCTTGGGCTGCCATCTGTTTGGCTCGCACCCTGCATAAAACACAACAGCAGTAATTAATTCAAGTGGAGTCAATATTAAATAATACGGGAAGCCACTTGTAAGAGATATTACGTATTTAGAGAACAGAAAACCATTTTAAAGCTCTTGCCTTACTTTAGCACTCGGTGCAGCAATTTCTTGACACGTCATGAAAATGAGAGACGTAGGAAAACATTTTGACTGAAGTTCCCGTAAGGATAGTTTCAAGTCTTACTTCTTGACTAATGATCTGCAGGCTGCTTCCTTTATGAGCGCTCACAGTATTTTCAACTCTGTTTGAACATAGTGACTCGATAATGCTAAACAGCCCAGGTGATCTACAAAAAAAACATTTTGGATCATTCAAATTTCCACATAACATGCCTTACTATCAGACTGTCTTCAATACTAACTAAATGGTCAGTCAATATTTATAAGATGTCCAACTCGGCCAAATCTTGTTTATGTTTTGTTAAGAGGGATTCCATTTTATACCATTAAGTGGAAAAGTCAGCAAGGAAGACTGAAATAATTAGTTTATGTAACAATTTTTGCAGTTTTCTCAAAACCATTAGCTTCTTTTTCTTCGAAAACGACGTTCAAGCCTGGGAAAAATTATGTTGACAAATGTTGCCAACAGTAACACCAGCTTCAGTTCTCAAAAACCCAGAACGTTTTCAGTAAACTTTCAAAACATTTTCAAGTAAATTTACAGCGTATCAGTCTTGTATATTAAACATTACACAGTTAAAAAAACAACAGTAACTTTGAAATAATTTGCAGAGCTTCAGAAAATGTCCCTCGTTTGACCGACCGCTGACCGACCGCCGTAGAGACATGATATGACTAAATACCTTATTCTGTTGGTCCTCTGTTGAATTCTCACTTGCGAAAAAACAAACACTTTTCCTTCTCCTCGCTGTAGACATGAAAGCCTGAGTAAAAAGTAAGACATTCTACATTTACAACAAAAGCACAAAAAGATAACAGCACAGTCCAGAGACCCGGCAGTATAAGATGGAAAAATGTTGTTTCCTTTTGTGAAATTAAAAGTACGTGAACAATATCATTAATCTCTCATCATTTTCAGTCGTCTATAGCTGAGGCTTCGGTGCATTACACTCATTACTGGAGTCTCTGATTTGCCTATTTTTTCGCGAATTTTTTTTGTTTCTACCTTCATTAGAACAGCTAGAGGTTCCTACAACCCAAGCTGAAAAAGAGGAAAAAGAACTAAACTTCAGAATTATAGCAAAACTTACCAGTCAGGTAAATCCTGGTATTCTGACGGAACTTGAATTTCGGCACACACGCCATGAATATCCTGAACCAGAAGTGCCCACCTGCCGCCGGCCGAAAGTAAAGAAGAGAAATAAAAACAACAACAAAAGAAAAACATGGAACTTGATCAGACAGGAGACGGTATCATTCAGACTCAGTTTGATCACATGTCATTAACATGTACCTTAGTTGTTCCCGTTCAGCTTCACCTAAACTTTTAGCTGCATATTTAAGATGCTGATTCAGAAGTAGCGGGCTCCTAGATTTCCTGAAAAGATAAATAAAAACAGCAAGTGTAAAAAATAGTGATTGTACCCTTTTAAGGCTACAGATCATTAAGAGAATTTGGTGTCCTATTTATAAATAATTTTAGCAATAATATTTGTAATAATATGTATAATCCTTAAGATTGTTATTACTCTCTTTATTAATATTATTATTGGCCGTTTTTATGCTAGAGACGTTAAAGTCGTCTGCGACGTTGAGAAGAAATTATTACATGCCTGTTAATGTCTGTGTTTCCTCCAACAAGTTTAACTTTCTTACGGTACACACGCTGAACCAAGCACTGGATGGTAACACGAACACCACTACATCCACCAGAGGACTCTATTGCCATCAGTATTGATGTATGTGGTCTGGATGAACAAGTCAATGATCTGTCTACTGCTGTTACTTTGCTCAGCGAAGATAAAGCATCTTCAGCATTGCCAAATAGTAATTTGGACGGTTTGAATCCCTACAACAAAATTAACTTCATATCAAAGAAAAGCTTTGTTGTTCATCCCAAATAACCTGAATACCAGTGTGCGTACAATAACAAAACAAAAATTTGAATACATAATTTCTCGAAATTTGTTCCTCATCTCCTTTAAAATACTTAGTAACAAAATTAAACAGAATAATATAATTATAACAATCACTACCTTTCGTGGTGACTGCAGTAAAGTAGATGTCAAAGGTGATGTATTTCTTATTGGAATAAACATTCTGGTACCTGTCAAGCCAACAACGTCAACATTTCGTTGATTTACTGAGACAAAAGACTTACTTGAATGCAATACGTGTATTACCAATAATTGTATAGAAAACATTAAAATACAGTAGCAGTCATTTATATGTTACAACCTGTGACTGAATGTAATCGAAATGCAGGCAACTGCTCAGCGATTAGCTTGTGACAGAAGTAGGGACATAGTAAAACAGGACACCTAACACCAGGAATATCCAACTTCTGCCTGTCAAAAATAACGACCGAAAAAAAAAAGAACTGTGAGTGGCACAGAACCAAGTAATGTACAACAGAAATGTACAAGGAATTTTCTAATTAGGGAGTATTTCATTTTAGTTTTACAGGAAAAACAATCTTCGTCAAAGGGCTCACTTTTTTGCTCATTTTTATCATTTTTTTAACAATAAACTTACCAAGGTGGATGAATTTTCACTAAGGCTCCAACTTGCAATGTAAACTGCTTCCAAGTCTCACCACTAAACAAGACAAACAGAATCCTCTCCTGAGGGGGATCTCCATCATCATCCCTGCACCAGGAGCAACACTGAGTAACATGTACTGAACCTTCGAGATGGTCACTTAAGATCTGGATGATTATAGATCCATCAGTTTGTGGTGATATACCTGCTGAATGATATATAGAGACAAAAATGTAAATATCTTATGATATATGCACAGTAAATGATCAGAATCTTAGTTTTACATGTAACTACAGAGATATGTACAATAGAATAACAATACGATTGGCATTAATACCTATGTTACTCTAATACAGTGTTACCTGAACGGATCAAGTTGGAATATTTCTGACCTAATGAACTAATGATTTGCCCAACTTAATTACCACTTTGAATAGCGATGGACAGCACTAACTACGGGAACATACTTGTAGATGTCTTTTCTGTATCTGCAACTCTGTGATTCCAAAATGCTATCTCTGATTTCTCTCTTGTAATAATGTACTGAAGCCGCTCTGCAAGGCCAGATCTGTGAAAGACATGACACATGCTGTAGAAAGTTGTCAGTGCACCAACTTTTGAGTAGCCACTGTTTAAGATAATTTACTGATAAAATGAGCTCACAGACTGTTTAACTGTAATTTTTGTAAATAACTTGTAATTTGTTAACCCACGGAGCACTAAGGAGTTCTTCAGAACTCGTTAAAACGTGTCCATGCATTCCAGATTGAATTGGAATTTGGAAGTGTTGGTTTTTAAGGAGATGGGGGGAATTGGAGTACCTGGAGAAAAACCTCTCAGAGCAAGCGAGAGAACCAACCACAAACTCAACCCACATATGGCATTGACACCAGGATTCAAACCCCGGCCACATTGTTGGGAGGCGTCCTATCACCACTGTGCCACCCTTACTGATAGACTTTCATTCATTTGTCCACTGGAACACAAAAATATTGCACTTTTTGTCCCAAAAGCCAAGTGTACAGTTACAATAATATTACAATAATATTATGATGACTTACTGTGAGAAATACTGTCATTTATTGCTACCATCATTTTACCTTACAAACTTCTTTTTCTTCCTAGCAGAATCCCATTGGTTCATCCCTGCAACCCTCTCCTCGGGCGACTTGCCCTCTTGACTCTTGTCAGGTGATTTCTGTTGAACTTGTTTCAGCCATTCACTAGCAGTTCTTGGAGTGCCAACAACAGCAGGACTAACTGGGGTGGGGGTGGGGGTAGAAATTTCTGCAGAAAAGGATTCCTGAGGAATATTATAGCATTGCTGTAAAGAAAGTTCTCATCACTGACTAAAACATACTGACTACCAGTCCTCTATCACCAACATCTGTGTCATGCAAAGACTACTGTCATTTCATTATTTGTGTCACTGTTTTTTGAATTCTGGAAGACAGGTTGGTGAACCAGGGTGATACAATACAATGATGCTCAAACAAATTTTACTACACAGTTCCACTTCACTTCACAAGCAAATGCTGATGATCTGTGATATTTTAAATTCCTACATTTGTAAGGCTTACCCCCAGAAAATTTTGAAATCTAGGGGCTCTGAAACAGTGGCTCTTTCAGTTTTTTCATTTGAATATTTCTTCAGAAAAATCCATCAGGTTCAAATGGTTATATTCACTTCCAAACTTGAAATATTTTGGTTTTTTTTTTAATCTATAAGAGGCAGATTTGTTCAGTTGGCTCTTGCTAGCTACAGCCCTGATACTGGCATTTTCCAACCAACCTGTGAACTGTCTTGATCAGAGTCTGACTGAAAGTCACTGATAACCTCTCCCTTGAAATATGAAAAAAAGAAGAAACATTTTCTTAGCTTGTGCATGTAATGTACATTTTTTATAATTGTACACTTTAACCTTCCTAAAGAACTCTGCAGGAAGCTATACAATAATGTAGACAAGTTGCATATAATAATTGCTATTCCTATAGCCCTGATTAATGTGCACAACCATTAAATCATCAACTTACAGATGCACTAGTGACTTCATTTGCTTTGAATCCTGAAAGCTTTGATGGAAAGCTTGTTTTAGTGTCATCACTGTCAGATCCATCAGAAAATACTTGAGGTAATTCTATATAAATAGAAAAGTTTTAGGTAATGTATCTCTCCAAACTCATACCTTTTGAAATATCAGACCATGATCAGCTTACTTTTGTATCTGTTGTGGTTCAATGTTATCCTTTGATAATGATTGACATTTTCAAGCCATTTGCTGAGTTTTTTTACATAATTAATTACCTTAGAGCTGAGCAACACAGAATTAAAAGGTCAGGTGACAGGTTATTTAAAAGAAAGATACGGTATTTGTTATGCAACTTACACAGTGTCAGGGATCGCAAATTAAAAACGAGGAAGAAATGGAACTATAACATAACCATAACATCAACTAGACACCAAAATTCAAAATCATAATATTATCCATTTTTAAAGTGTTCTTTGTTTTTATTTCTTTTAAACTGCCTGCTAACTGCATTAAAAACTAACTGTAATCAAATAGTCATAGGCTATTGAACTTTAGCCGGAGAATTCTGAGTAGTAAACAGAGAATTTTCCGCTCTCCGATGCCTAATGCTGCATCAATAAAAACAATAACTTTAGTTATAGCTGCATTCTTTGATGGATAACCAGACACACTCTCAGAGTGCCAGTTTATCCCTGGGATATTTTCCATAACAACTCAGGGGACAACAGAGATAACTTATCATATGCTAACTTATGATACAGTTATAACTTATAAAATGAAGTACAAAAAGAAGAATGATTTGCATGGTACCTTCATTATCACTTGTGTACCAGACTATTCCTGTTTTTTGCTTGGATGTTTCAGCATACTTCATTAGTTCATAAGCCCCATCAGGAAAATCACAGCTTTTACAGCCTCGGGACTTGTCTCCTTTATGTGAGGTGTCTGTGTGTGTGGTGAGGGCTGAGGATGTTGAACCCCTTTTGTCTGGCAAGGCTTGCCTCTAAGGATGAAAATCAAGGTATAAAATAACTATCAGAGAATATCTTGCTAAGTACAGTGGTATAGAACCTGATTTAAAAACCACACTATACTAATTAAGAGCTTTTCTGTGGTTGAAAATCATTTTGCAGAATTGCAATGATGAACAATTAGCCTAACGGCTTGTATCTTGAGTTATTATCTTTGGGAAAAGAAAAATAAATTTAGCTAAATGGAGCAATAACAAACTTTCAGATCAAGTACAAAAGACACAGGAAAACCAAAGAAACTAAATTACTTATAAACTAATTACACACCAAGGGACAACAGACTGCAAATCAAAACAAGAATGCCGAAGACACATCCTTTTAAGAGAGGCAGCCATTTAATAGAGGCTTTGTCTTGAGTAATAGTCAGTGTACTTATTAACAAGTAGCCATGGATAGTGTAGCTATTGTAGGTAAAATCTGTTCTCAGGCCAAATTAACAAGTATTTAACCTATGTTATCAGGGTAAGAACCCCCGAACAAAATGTTAACCTACATGTAATTCAGTCTAACCTTCATGAGCGACCACCTCCTGTAAGCAACCATTAAATCTTCAAATTTTAGGTGGCTGCTTATGGGAGGTTTGATAGCAGCTTGAATGCTGGTTTAACCTGAGAATGGATTTTAACAGGAATACAGATGCCTGATACTAAGTTCATTTTGAAAGCTTTGACTGCATTCAGATTACTTTGTAGAGTTTGTTTTTTGATCAGGTAGCAAATTAGTACCCATCTTTACAATCAAGGGCATTAGATGTTGGAACACAGCATAACATGATCATACCTTTGAGTACTTCCTTTTGACAAGGGGCTTAATCAGAAAACTCCTTTACAATAAAACAGAGGGGTGAAAAAAAACAACAAATCACTGACAGTCAAAATGATACAACATGCTAATAAAACTACCTAAGATGCCAGAAAAGACTGATGTAACTATCAACCCACTTTCACTGCCCTAAACCATCAAGAATGCAAAGCAGTGTCATTAAACAGTACTGCAAGAGATAGCATTCCTTTTCATTTTGAAAAGTGTCGTCATGTGTTAAAAACTGATATGGTACAGTTATATGCATGCAACAGCTGGCATAACAAAAGGAATAAACATGCAAATTCTTACCTGGGTAAAGAATCTGAGGAAATATCTAGACTATCCTCATCTTTTTCTTCATCAGTTGAAAAACCATCAATCTCTCCACTATCACTGATGGACTTCAAAGAAATATTCACAGTTAGATAAGATACTTATTTTACAATTTAGTCAGTTTTGTACTCTCCGCAAAAAAGATTCAAATTGGGAACTACAAAATACTAATAAGCTTTTACATGTTTTTGTTCAAGTCACTTAATACATTAACTCAGTTCAAGAATAAATTTGAACTGTTATGCAAATTTATGATTGAAAATGACCCACCACAAATGATGGAGTTCCACTGTCTGTTCTTCTCCGCTTGCTTGCTGACAGGTTTTGCCCTCCTAGTTTACATACATTTAACAATGCAAAAATAACAATATCATTAATTAAAGACTGTAAGCCTTAAAGAAATAAAAAGCTCAAAACCAATGAAGGAATCTATTTACAGGGCCCTCATTGTTTTTGTTAGTACAGACCCTACTGACTTGTAAAGCAAAATGTTATATCTTCAGTGGTTCTCAAAGGTGTCTGCTATGCCAGAATTTAAGCAAGAAATCCTCTCCTTTTTGATAAATTTGTGAAATATATTGTTAATGTAAACCTTTTTACAAACTTAATCAGCTTTTCCCTCAGTTTATCAAAACTAGTTGAAAAGGTGCTGGCTACACCCCTGAAAGCTCTTTCCCTTTGGTGATCATATTAACAAATTCTCTTAACTTTTCATATTGATGACATGTGGAATATGTTGGGAGAAAACTGATGTCGGTCACTCTTGGGACTTAAAAGGTATAAATAACTTCAAACTGGCCTCCAACTAACCCACTTGAGGTCTCTTTTTCTTGATATTTCCTTGCTTCCTTGCAAATTTCTGTTCAACAATAACAATAATATTATTATGAAAATTAAATTAATTCAGTAATTTATATGGTACTTTGAACATGCAAAATACAGTCAAACCCCATTAAAACGGACACTGAGGGGGCCATAGGAAACGTCCATACTAACGGGGTGTGCAAATTAAGCGGGTTGAATTTAGAGAAAGTGTAAGGGCTTTCTTTCCCCAGGGACAAAAAAAACTGTTCGTAATAATGAGGTGTTCGTATTAAGTGGCGGGATTTGACTGTAATAATACTACAGAAATGGCTAGATGCAAAATTATATAAATATATGCTTACATGTAGTTATGGTCAGTTACATTATATTATTTATAATACATGTGACAAGAACTAACAATGGAAGATAAAGAGCAGCTCATTGATTCTTGCACTTGAACACATTTGCATATTTATCTAATAAACGTTAGCTTCCTGAGTTGATAAGGACATCAGATTTATCCGGTGGATTGCCGGCACCATACACCTTGTGAACAACCTAGGCTTGTATTTTAGGATAGACGTGACAGTGCCTCTTTCATTCTCTTAAACATTAAAAAAATTTTAAACTTCAAGTTAATTATTTACCTTGAGTTCCTCAAAATTTCCCCAAGACATCAGCGTAAGATTTAAAAGCTTAAAATGAGCACTGATTGTCCATTCTTGTGAGGGAAAGTGCACAGTGAACAGGCAGTGAAGACCAGTGAATTTTGAATACTAGATGAAGAGTACTGAATCTGAAATATTGCTTGATGTTGCATTTTCATTTCAGAATACTTAACTTCTAATAATTCCACAAAACAAGTACCATAACACAATGAATTTCATCCTTCTCTGGTTCAGGGACTCGAATTCTCCGCCATTTTGGTTTGAACCTTTACCGGTAGGGACTGGGGGAAAGCTTCGCGTTTCACGCGCGCGAAAAGGAAGGCTGGGTGGGTGTGGCGCGAGGGGAACGTTATTTTTAATTAGTTCCGAATCCCCCAAACTGAAATCACAATCGTCTAAAACGTGCTGTTAGATAATTGAAATTCAAATACCTCTGTCCTGGACGCACGAAATGAACAAAAGTAACGTAGGTGTTGACTGTCCCTTTATTAACACTTTCAAGTTTTCACACATAAAAATCACAAAATTTGCCTCGAAGCCCGTGATTACGCTGGCAATACTGACAAATTGTTTGTGGAATCATCTCGAACAACGATCTGGATCAGTTAAAGCGAAAATGGCTTAATTGTTTATGTCTAATGAGTGAGAAGTGATGGAAGAGCTGGGGTGTAACCGAGTGCAGTGAGGTTTCCAAAAACATAAGCAGTACCCTCGCTGAAACATTGTAATTCTACCTTCTGAGTTAAAGGAACACCAGGTGCCTCCTACCCAGATAACCAACGAAGTGATTCAGTCTGATCAGTATCACAGAAAATATTTTTTGTGGCGCTTATTTATTTTTAATTGCAAGGTGGGCGACAAAACATTACGTGCACTTTGAAGTGAGATGTCCGTGACCAAGTTAAAGACCGTATCAATGTGTTGATTGTTTCAGTTTAGTGACTTTAGATTGCTTTAATAGGATTTTATTGGGTTGAAGAGACCATTACTGCCACCATCATGACAAAAATATGGTATATTTGCTCAGATTTTCCAACTAGCAATGTTAGTTAAATTGCCACTAACCCAAGTTTTCATTAAAAATATTCGTGACTTTTATTTTTATAACCAACTATACTTAGTTGGGTGCGTGAGAACGAATATGTTTATATTCTTCAGACACAACATTTTATGACTAAAAGCCATTGAAATCAGGCTTAAGTGGTGGTCGGAAGTCATCCGTTAAAAGTGCCAAAGACTGACTAAGCCATATCTCACCTTTCCATCAAAACTGTTATGCTTTGCTGGGAAGTCAAGTACCTATATACGCCCCCATAATCCTCTTAGAGAAATATGACACATTGTGGTAAATGTTGAGAACATTGTTTGTTATTTACTGGAAGAAGGACGTGGGTATGGGCATGAAATCATCCTTTTTGTGTCGGGCTGTTGAGTCACTAAATATCGATTTGATATCAGTATACTGGGCGGAACATGATATAGTCGCTTCGATTTCTCGTTACTGATTTTAAGAGCTGGGCTGAGCACGAATTTAATTTGAAAATGTCGAAAGGTCCCGTGATGTCTGACTGCTCCTGGTTATCAAAAGAATAATTGTTAAATCATATTATGCGAAGTTATCTCGGTTCATCTCACTTGCACGCAACAGATGTACTGAGGAAAGCTCACTGGCTCCATGATCGAAATTCATCAGTCATTTGAGGCCGGCACAAAGCAGGGCGTTAGCATTCATTCGAGTGTGGACAGTGTGGAGTTGAAAAAGAGCTGAGATTCTTTGTGCAGTACGAGACGGAATGAAATTAAACTAGCTTGCTTACAGTCTTATTGTAGCATTAATACGTTTTAAGACACAAGCCAAAGGGTAGAAAAGAGATTTCAAATCCATCGTTCTCTGAACATTTGTTTAAATATTTTGAAGAATTATGAAGCACAACAAGTCTGTAAAACAAGGCCAAGCTTTTAGGCGGCTATGGCTGTGGCTACAGAAGCAGCAGCAAAAGTAGGAAAATCGCTACCCTTGGTCAAGTTAACTGAATAAGGCTGTTGATTGGCAATTTCGTGGTTCTAGTCGGTTTGGATTCAACCTTATTACACAGTACGTAGTGACTATGGATTAGTACACATTTAGTTTTAACATGACAAAACATGTTGGCTTCCTGTCCGAGATCACTTGATTGTCTAATCTGTACGTATACCGGAGGCTGCTTCAGATCTAAAGTTGGTGTAAGCTCATTTTAAGATTCTTTCAACCAAATCCACACGCTTACCAAGCAGATATTTTTAGTCTTCTGTTTGCTTTTGACTAATCTCAAATAATAAAACAAAAACACCTCGTTGAATCAACAGAAACAAAGGCTTGGATTAGTGTTAATTAATTAGACTTTCGGAGTTCGGTTTCCTTGACATGAAACTCTGCAATAAATGTTCATCTTAACTTCACTCAGCCGACAGCAAAGTCATACCATCATCTGTAATCTCTGTATTATGATGAGGTTGAACAACAATCAACCAAGCAATTCCATTGTACTATAGTGGAAAAGTCCGCAAAGTCTGAGCCACTCAAAAGTTTGAGAAACTAAGCTGGCAAGCAAAACTAAGCTGGCAAAATAAAATTCCAACCTGATACTATAAGATTTTCTGATATTATATCTTGTTAATGGTACTTAGTTGTCACGTCACTCTACAAATCGTTATATTTTGTTATATTTTTATATTAAGTGAAATGTACTCAGTAAACCGGAATAGTAGGAAGTGGGGTTAGAATTTCTCACAATTTTAGGGTGAAAATAAAACTCGCGTGAGCAACGCGAATCAAGGACAGAGTTTTTTTATCGAAGCATTTTTATTTGGTGGTAATTAGATTGGCTTGAATTTTTTGGAGATTCAATAAAACTACCGATTGATCTTGTTTGTAGCAGAAGACTAGGTGTTATTATTAATTAACTTACCGCAATGGTTGCAGTTCACCGCATTTGCCGCTTGCTAAGAGGTCGAAGATCATCTATTTCTTCTCCAGAACTTTGTCTGGCGCGTTAAGCCCATTTGCAAATGTTTAGTTCAAACTTACCAACCTCTATATATAGAGATCTGAACTCTTGTGATTTTTTTTCGCTTCTGACAAGCCTTTAATATCAACCCATCGACCCCTCCACACAAACAAACTACAATCACAATCCTACAATCCTTTTTTGGACGCTTATTTAGCCAAATACTGGCTAAAAGACTGTCGTTAGTAAAGACAGAACCTGGTTGAGAGACCCACGAAACTGCAACATGCCAAATTTTCTCCTATTTTAGGAGAATTTGGAATTAAATTTCACCCTTCCTGCTTTAGCACAATAAAATTTCAAAAGCCGCTTTTAGTTTGGGAGATTTGCTTAACCCACTCGGGAGACCCGGGAGATGGAATACTTCCGGATACTCGAGTGCTAGAATGCACTCACTCACTTATGGGAAATGGTCACATACATCATGCATCCTATTCTAGCTGTTATAAAAAAAATAACTGAATTACATCAACATTATGGGCAGCCATAGTAATATTGACAATATTGCTCCATATCATTTTATTGGAAAACAATCTTGGTCTCGGTTAGTTGTGTTTTTTGGGTAAGATTGTTCTGAAGGATTAAAAAGGTATCATGACATCTCGCTGGGTGGATTGAATTTTCAACAGTCACTGTGGCAGTTTTACAACCAAACTCCTGAGAAGGCGTAGAAGAGGGTTATGTAATTGACTGCATGATATGGCACAAAACCACCCGCCTAGAACAAGAACCTCTGTTCGTGGCATGGCATTCATTAAGCGGCTTTGCGTGATTTGTTGAAGCTAGGCCCTCGTTTAAGTTTTTTAGAGATCACTTTTCGGAATGCTGAATGTATTTTAGCACTCGTCCATCATAGAAAACAGGATGTTTTGTCACCTTAATCGGAGAGCTCCATCGCGACTAAACAAGCCATAACCATGACTTTTTTCAGTTGCTTTAAACCACTAAGGAAGAGGGAGCACCCTCGAAAAGTCTGTTTTTTCATCCCTTTTAAACGCACATTTTAATAAACTTTGTAAAAATCAATCCATAACCAGGCCGCCCCGCCACAACTTTCCACACCATACAAATCCGTAAGTCACGTTTGGTTTTAAGTTTTTATAGTTTTTAGAAAGTTTTTGTTTAAGTGCGGACGATATAATAATTGCAGAAAATTTAAATTTGAACCGCCCGTGTATTAAAATTTCAACCTTTTGGAGCGATGACTGTCATTCAACAGGTATGATGTTTTCATTGTTTTTGTGTTTTTTAAATCGCAGGTCCTCTAAAAAGGCAGAGTCATTGCATTTTAGGTAACTGCGCATCCTTCCTGTAAATGATACAAAATATTTCAGGAAACCAATCTTTTCTCCTTCAAAATGCGAATATTTGAGGAGTCTTGGATTCATATGTCACAAAGAAATCCTTAACTTTGTAATGACAAGAATGATCAGTCCAAACGAAGGCCGAAACAGTTTATGTAACTTAAATTGCAAACAACGTTTCGCTGATTGGATAAGTGTACCTGATGTTGCTGTTGGTTTTGATTTTCACAAGTAGTTTTTTTTCCTTTTTCGAAATGTTATCCGCTTTGAGTGGTACTGAGAATTGGAAAACACGCTCTCAAACTTGAGAAAACTCATCCACTTGAGAAAGATCATTGTTACACAACCTAGAAACGACCGTCTGTCCACCCATCATACTCATTTCTCTTTCTCTAATGTTTGGAAGTAAATAGGACCAGCCTGTTAAAAAGGTGACAGCTTTGAGCTTATTAAATAAATCTTCTAGGAGCCTCAATCAACGGAATAATAAAAAACAGAAAGTCAAAGATGCTATATATATAAAACTGAGTATATGAAAATTTTATTAAAAATTTTTCCTATCTACAATTGTTTCCTTAACTCAGGAGCCTATCAATCGAAGTATTTAACCTCAACCTTTCACGGAAACACGACCGTTTTATTTGACGTGCTAAATTTTAGATCCATGTCAATTCTCGCCAATCTGAATTCAGACTGAAGTGGTGTTACAGACCGCTAAGCAATAATGGAGGTCGGAAATTAACACTTAGCCCTGAGGAAGAGGTTGAAGCAAAGCAAAGTTAAAATTGGAACTGCAAACTCCGATAAATGGGTTCCTGTCTTCATTTATTTCGTTTATTGATTAATGTTTAAAAAACGTCCGTTTTTTAAAAAAAAGTTACGAGTATTAATTAACCCAAACGTTGAACACAGGCAACAATACTTTCTAATCGCTTTAAATAAAACTTATAGACCTTAGATAAGGCAACCAAAAAATCAGTTTTGCCAAAAACTCTAAAATTTACTTCCTCTGCCATGTCGGTGCGGTAGACATTTTAAGAGACTATAGAAATGCTTAGCACCCTCTTAATTATACTACAGCGGCATTACGTACTGAAAAATCCTCTGATGTCACTTGTAGTTTAAAGGATGTTCAAGGTGAACAAAGGAAACACAGAACTTGATAGGCTATCATTCCGAGTTCCAAATAGCCTCAATATAACATGAGTTCAAGTGTAAAACCTTTCTTATGAAAATCCGATTCATTTGCATGCCGAGAATACAAGATCAACCTTTCATCCAAGACTTCACTTAGCCTCGCTTAAAAACCGAGTCTCACTGAGGCAATTTGGAAATGGCCCACTAAACCAGCTCTTTAGCAATATAGTTCTGCAAACAATTTCATTAAAAACTCAAAACGGGAATTCAGTTTCATTCTCAGTGTTGCCCCGCCGCTCATGGGCAACTTATCTAAAAATGTAGTTTAAAATTGCTTTGTAAAAACTGAAAGGAACTAATGACAATGATACCAGTCAAGATGTTAGTTCTAAACAAACGTGGAACTGAGGGTTGTGAACACGTGTAGCTCATGCAATTTGGAAGAGATTTGAATTCACCTTTGATCTCCTACATTTATATCTAAAGGTGAGAGTTTCACAGCAGGGTGTGGCTCAATTTTCTTAGTTTTAAGAAATGCTGTATTCTGATTCACTAACAGCTACCAAGGGTCGTGGAACGACAAGATTTTTCCGTAGAACGTTCCTACGCATATGTGTTTTTTAAATCTCTTACGCTACATTGTGACGTGATGGTTTCAACGTCTTCATAGTTGTCTTAGCTGATTCCAAAATAGCACAAAACGACTCTTCGTGACACTCCGTTCAAGACCGTTGTCTCCCATTCGCGGCTTCTAAGCTATAACGAAGTTAAATATGAATAAAATTATAAGTAAATTGCACAGAGACCAGTTGATCGCAGAACTTCGGTAGGCCAACTCGATATCGCCTGGTTTCTGAGTAATGTTCTCAACAATTTGTTCATTTTTCTTGCTGGTGGCCTTGCCAATAGTCTCTCGATCAGTTCGCCTTCTGGTAGTCAAAGGTTTTTCTCTGAAAGTATGAAAGGGACGAGCGGCTCTAGTGGTCAAGCGAGTGGTTGGACGAGTGGTTGGTGGCACAAATTTAACTGATTTGTACGATGAGCATTCAACCAGTGGCAGGTAAAAAGACGTTGGTCTTCTTGATGGTGAAGAAGGCTGTGTTCCATCACTGGCCCGCTGTCCTACATAGAGCAATTTTTTGCCTTCAGGATTTTTTTCCATCTTCACCAGGTCATATTCAGTATCTGGAAGAGAGATACCATACTGTGCACATCCAAATGTAGGTGTGATATTTTGTGCAACATTTGTCTTCCACCTAACTTTACCACAAGAGTCTTTTTGTGCAGAGTTCAAAAGTTCGGTGACAAAGGACAACGTGGGAGTTATAGTCGCTTGTGTCATAGTAAACACATAGTCATAAGCCCCTGCTACTTTCTTGGAAGAAATGCCACCTTTAAACCTGCCTTTAAATTGTATAATAGCCTCAAGATCCTTACAGGCAGCATCGTGATAGAAGAAGTAATGACATTCCCACTTTTTCGCCTCCTTATTAAATTTAAAGTGACGAGTTTGGAACGCTCCTCCAGAAGTTGTCTCACAGGTTGTGCTGGCCCATTCTCCCTCCAGATCAACTTTAAGAGGAGGAACCTGGGGTAACTTTGGTGGTCGTACACCAGTCCCTGATTGGATCTTCCTACAGATGGTGCAGTTGTTTGCATTGTACCTTTGTAGAGGTAGCTGGTACGACTTGGGTTTATGTCTAGTCACTCGAATTGTTGGGATTTCAGCAAAGTAAAGTTTGTCGTATTTGGAGCCCTTCCTTCGTCTCGTTTCCAGCTTAAGTTTTGAAAACTCTGATTCTGATATTCCAAAAGAATTTCTACAAGCTCGCTTTCTGAACGCTCTTAAATTAACCTCGAACACGTGGATTCCAGAGCGTAGGGATCTAAAAACACGAAGGCTGTTTGGGCAGTGTCTGTTTGACACATTCACTATTTCTTGCTGCTCATGTTCATTGTGCGGATAAACATTTACTCTCGTAAAGTTAAAATATGCCTTGTTGGTGTCTTTGACAGGATCCAGTGACAATTTCAAATATCCTCTCACATGAAGGCTTAACTTAGGCTCTGAACACTGTGAGTCATTATATCGATAAAAATAACCCTCCCAGGTTCCGTTGCGGAAAATCGTGATGTGCCTCGTGAAAAATTGTGGACCAGGTCTGACCTCGCAACTGCAAAAGTACAAAAAGAAGAAAAACATGTGAATTAGTTGATGACGAGAACATGACTATGGAAAAGGGAGGCCGCGTCATGATGAGCCTAATTTCAAGTGCAGAACTAACTTTCGTTTAACTTTACTTGGGCTTTGAGAAAATAATAATTAAAAATAACTGAACGAATAAAAGAAAGACTTAGAGGTAGCACAATCACTTATTGGTTCCTGGTCTACCACTCCTATTCGAACTGGAATTTGGAATTGTTGGTTTTTGAGAAGGGGTAAAACCGGACAATCCGAAGAAAAACCTCTCGGACCTGAGGAACAACAACAAATTCAAAAGCCGCTTATAAGTCTCCCGCCCCCCACAAATTATAAGCCCATCTACCTGTTAACAAAAAATATGTTAGATTTTACGTCCCTCTCTAGCTTGTACTGAAATGAATTCCATTTATTTTGTCACCTTGAAGCTTAATAAAAAACAAGTAAATACAAAACGCATTTTGATCAGCACTAGTATAACATGTTTTGACGCGCTTTTTTCCAGTTATGAGCCCCCTTGGATGTAAGCCCCTCTGTTTATGAGCCCTTCTAAAAGCCCTTACGAAGTGCAGTGTATAACCCGGCCGGCAGTTTATGGTATGGCCTGGACGCTGGTGATTTGAACCCGCTCACAAAGCACACACTACATTATAATTGTTGGTTATCCTTTAATTAATGGTATAAATCTCTGACTACTTACTGAATGAGAAAGGAAGAATAACATCAAGATAAAGTAGTTTACATATCCTGTAATAAGGGGAATCGCTGCTATCTTACAGACCGCTTGAACAGTTAAATAGCGTCTCTAGCTGTTTTGTAACTGTTACACTTGTAAGTACGAAAAATTAACACACAAAACTTTCTTGTATAAGAAAATTAATGCGCACAATTTCTTTTATAAATACAGCATCTGCCAACATTAAATTCCTCTCTTTTACGGACTTGGCAACGCAAAACCCTATGCACTGCATTACCATGAATCCCTCATCCTTAACTCACACTCCGTTCTCACCCTCGCTCCACAGGATTGTTGTTGTTTTTTTTTTCGCAGTGTGGCCATATGGCCGGTAACCGGTCAAGGTTTTCAAAACTCTAACTGACCAGCGGTCTTGTCTTTGCTGTAAATTTCACAAATCGAACAAACCAGGTAATATAAACTATCGTTATGTTGATTAACAAAAGTCAAGCGATTCTGAAACGCTTTATAGATCTCAAGTTTAGCGTTTGGTTTACGCTGGGCTCAGAAGACGAAACCATGTTTTGTGACACAGAACTTTTTTCAGGTTGACCGCCCGTCAAGATTTTCAAAACACGCAATGACCAGCAGTCTACCCTGCTAGCAGAGTCGCTTCGATCTTTCCTAGATAAGTCGGGAAAGTGCAGGAAAGAGGAAAGAGGAAAGAGGACAGGGGAAAAAGGAAAGAGGAAAGAGGAAAAAGGAAAGAGGAAAGAGGAAAGAGGAAAGAGGAAAGAGGAAAGAGGAAAGAGGAAAAATTTACTACGAAATACAGGACTGCCGGTCATTTAGGGTTTTGGAAACCTTGACCGGTTACCGGCCATACAGCCACAGCGTTTTTTTTTTCCACGTAATTATATAAAAATACGGGCTGTTTTGCTGTCTAGCCATGGCCCAAAGGCGACGCCTGTTTTTTTAAATACATGTCATCTCACAATAGTCAATGATATAAATAAATGTGAGGCTGGAAGGCAGCGAGATGGAATGAACAGTTGAAAACTCGCAATCACACCTACATTTCTGCCACTCATGGGTAGTAAAACTGACTATAATGCGTCTGTACTGGCAAATTTGAAGTTATAGTAAAATTTGGCCGTATTTTACTGATCTGTGCAGAGAACTAAATTTTTCAATATCTTAAACTGCAGTTATAATTCTTTTCGGTTAGGTTCTTATAGAATTAGCTTGCGCTCTGTTTAAAGACTCGGTCAGTATGTGACTCAGGGTTTTTTGTGGCAAGAATACAGGTTTAACAGTCACAGTAAGTCTTAAATGTGACATTTACAAGGTCACTTTGGTATCTGATAACAGACAGTTTTTAAGGATTTTCTGAGGCAAAAAGATTTCCCATGAAATGATTTAGGTGATCACGGAAATAACTCTAATTAAAAAGTACTTTAACAGGGTTCATACAAAAAACTGCAACCATTTTTCGAGGACTTTTCAAGGACCACATTAGATTTTCAAGGACCATCTGCTAGGAATATATAATTTCACAGATTGTACAAAAATGCACATTCCCAGTTTATTCTAATAAGAGTTTAAGGCTTGAACTGTTTCCTTCACCAACTTCTCTACATTTTTCAATTCACCTGTATTAAATTGATAGTTAATTATTGCAAAAGACATAGAGCACCAAAAAAATCCTGAGCTCATCCTATTCAGTGGTTCAGACTAAAATAAAAGCATTGTTTCTTATCTATCAAATATCTCAGTCAGGACCACACTTCTTAGGCAGAAGAAGACTGCAAGCAGTCCGTGTCTTTTTCTCAGTCAGATTTAGTGAAGGTTGAAGTTTTATCGGATATTTCAACAACTGTATTACCCTTTTAGTGAAAAGAAAAACTTACTACTTTGAGAACCTTTTGTAACCTGCTGGTCTCGGCCGGCCATACCTAATAAATGCTTGTTGCTTTACAGGGTAAATACAGGGTATAAGTTACACTTGATACCATATCACCTTCTAAATATTCTAATACGCTTAAGAGCTTAATTTCATAAGACCTTATCTTAGCAGAGACAATTTGCACATCAAAGTCACTGGACCATCTCTGGACCAATTATACTGAAGGGGTCTGCAATTATGCACCAGTTCAAACTAAGACTGAAATAAATGTGACGAGAGTTTTGTAAAAAAAAAAACAGTAGATATGTCTCCATGTTCATTTTCTGGTGTCCTTTCAAACTACTTATGATGTTCCACTCTTCTTTTGATTCCTGCTCAGTTTTAATCAATATTAACTACATTCTTTTGGGTAATTAAGATATGATTAAATTACAATAATCATGAGCTGGCGAAACTCAGCTAGGCTTGACAATTCATAACTTCAAATGGGTTCTCAGGCTCTCGGCTAAGGCTTTAATGGTCTGACTACATTATGAAACTCTATACTTGCTCGCTTACTAGAACACAGAGTCAGCTAAGGGAACTGCATGTTGCGTCAATAAAGTTGGCAAGAAGACAAAAACTCATAAACTATTTTCGACCATTTAATTATAATGAAACTAACCAATTAGGCAGTGGTTGCATGTTTTCTTCCAGTGTTATCTACCTAAATGATGCCGCATGGCTCAAGCGAGTCTCTATGGCCTTAACTATCACATAGAGTAACTACCTAAAACAATTCCCAGAAGTCTCGTGTAAAAAAGTATGTTTAGTTTGAGCCTTGCCAGGCTATTAAGCTACAATAGTTTCTAACCTTTAACGACCTTTGATCTAAATGTTATTTTGGTTTGTTTTCAACAAAGCAAGCCACGACTCTCAGTCTAATTTAATCCCAATAAATCACGCGATAAAAAGTGTCATGGAATAATAAACCGAAAAGTGACAAAAAGGCAGCCTCGACCACAATTATCCTTAAAAGAAAAGGCGTCATTGCTTTTAAGAATGAATAAAATTACGCGTTTTTGAATTATTTGTCTTGCAATACTTTGCTATGCCAACTTCAAGTGGGCCTCGCCCAAACTTTCAACAAAACGGTAACAGTCTTCGTTGTTCACATTCCGAGGTGTCCCAACGCAATGTTCATTGTTACAAGGGAATAGTGTGATACGCAATGACGCTTATAAACAAACTATTCCTTATTGACCACCAACAAACAACACCAGTAAAAGCGAAGCATTTAGCGGACGTTTTCTCTTCCTTTGATTTTCAATCACACAGTCGGACATATTTAATTAACTTAATAACCACCGTTACAAGAAACGTTGATGGACAGCAAGCTAATATTAAAATAGCGAAATTTTCCTTAGTTTCGTCTTGAACAGCTCCAGTTTGCTGCCAAACTGTAAATGTTTTTTCATGAAAGGAATCTTTACTTTAATGACCAAGCTGGGACAATCAAAGCAATTATGAGTTTCCGTCACCTTCGAGGCGTGCTGAAGCCGAGTTAATTTGACGTATCTCCACCTTCTTTACGCTCTAAATAACCACGAGTAATAAACAATAATTAACTTCGAATGGTATAGCCACAAGCGATTGCACAGCTAATTTAAATTTGTTTGCTGAGTGCATGGTCGCCTCTTATCAGAGGATTATGTTGTTGAAAACGTTTCATAATCTCTCGGATTACAACACGCACTGTTGCTGCAAGGAAGGCCTCGAAAGAGTATACCTTGTGTAAATAATAATAATAAAATTACCGGTAGTTTAGCTTTCTTACCTCGATGAGGTCCACTCTCCTGCTAAATTAGAGTTTTCGATCCCTCGAGTTCTTAGTCCGAGGCTATGGTACATGTACCGAACAATTTGAAGACAATTCCTCTCACTTGCCGTACATTCGCGGAGCACTATATATAGAACATACAGGAAAACAACAGAGCGATGGTTTAGATTCTTATCAAACGACAACAAAACTTGTACCAAACTATGGGGGTTTTGTTGTTTTGCTATTTTGGAAATCGATTACTGGACTAAACAAGAGCAGTCGATAACCACCTACCTGAAAGAATGAAAACTAACGTCAGGAAAGCTGCAAGGTGAGACTTCGTCATTTTCGTGGTGCTGGAATCGTTCTCTCTAGTCTCTGCCGCGAAGGTTTAAGTTTCAGTTGAAATTCGCAAACTCAGGATAATGGTCAGCCTTCTTGACTGTACTGTTTCGTCTGAGTGCATGCAGGAAGAAAGAACAAAGTTTTTATCCTTAAGAGGTCAATTGTTAAATCCTGTTGGTAGGCAAAGCTCTCCAGATTCTTCAAATTGCATGCAGATTATAGTGAAGCATGCACTTTGTCAAGACGTAAAGGTGAAGTTGTGTTATATTGGTTCAACACTAACCTAATTATCTCGTAAGAGATCTTACGTCAACGTCTCAACGCGTGCCCCTCAGGTCAATTTCTTGAGGCTAGCGGTTTCATAAACCCCCACCCTATTGTCTCTTATTGTCCAGAACGAATAATTTTAATATCTTGAAACGTGAGTAGTCTTTGATAAACCACATTATTGTTCTTGATAATTATTATTTGTCAAATCCAATAATCGAGGTAAGAAATACAGTGTTTTGTCAGCTTGGGGAGGTTGATACGGATGATGCTGCCCGTCATGAAGTCAATGTTCCAGATTCATTTTCTACGGCTAAGATACATTAAAAAATGCATCGATGTAGATAAAAACAAATTGCTTTGAATTGCGATAAGCCAAAATAACTCCAATTATAGCCAAAGACCAGACCGGGAGAATCTTAGGGAGATAGATTATTATCACCCTTTGACGTGCATAGTATATACCCGCTGGAAGTTAATTAAGGGATGCGTTTATGGTTAAAAGCATAACGATCAATCGTTTGTTCTAAATCTACGTTGACATTGAAAGAGATGAATCGAAATGATTAAGGAGTAATTATACTTCAACGAGGTGTAGATTACTTGGCCTTGGATAGATCACGCAACATAACCACTTCCGTTAATGAATAGAGGTTTTTTAATACCCAGAGGAAAAGGGAGCAAAAAGATGCGGTTGATTTTTCACCTTCAATGTACAGTAGTGCCCAAGAGCAGTTGATCTCTAGAGCCTATTTAAAATTCACATATTAGATTTGTCATCCTACTTGATCTTGAGCAGCTGTTCAAGTTCTCCATGCATGAAGAACATTCCAGGCTTAAATGATGGTATGGTTTTCACAGCGCTCGAGGAATGTTTATCTACCTCATTGATCTTATAACTTAGATTTTTTATGTTCTCGCTTGTAGAACAAAAGTACTTGAAATTTATACATGAGATTAGTGCCACATTCAATCCGATCAAACATTGACACGGAAAGAATACCTCACTCTTGATAATTTTCTCTGGTGTCTGCGGACTAGCTACAGTAGAGCAATGGTCATCTTGTTAACATTCTAATTTACCTAAAATAATGGCAGCGATAACTGCTAGCGTTTAAAATCCTTGAGTTAATAGTTATCATGTGACAAATTCCTTTTCAGGTTTTTTGAAACGCTTCCGTTCTTAAAATTTTTCCTGCATAATCCCTCTAGAATTAATTTTTTTTATGAGATTATGTTTTTCTGGTAATGCTCACCGTGCCCGTATTGTGAAAATTTGAAGTATGTTAACGAAGTCAAAGAAGGCCCATCAATTGTGACTCGCGCGACATTAGTGGATTCTATTTTACTCCATCAAGATTCCGTTCATGTTTGAACTGGGTTTTTTGAAAGTGTAAAAGAGTCGTATTTATGACACCATTTACGTTCGCTTCAGCCGTTCAAGTCATGCAGTTTCCCAAAAGGTGAACGGATCATTATATTTCTTAAAAAAACTTTCCTAAATTTCAGAAAAGGCCAAAAGTCAACCTATAACAGGCAAGATAATGTTACATTTTTAGAACATGTCTGTTAAAGATATCACAAGAGGCAATTTGTTGCTTTAAACGGTCACCTCTTAAAAACACTGCATGGGAAAACTTTTTTGATGTTCACAACAATCCTAGTAGAAAATCTTAATGACGTGGTTAGTTGTGGTCTCTTCTGATGTACCACCCATATGATCTCATCTGGTGGGTTTATGCCATACTTCAATAACTGCTAAACGTTTTCTTTTTTGGAGCAAAGAGTTATTAAAGTTACTAAACCAAACAGCTGACAAATCGATGGCTGACAAGGATACACTGACATGCTGTTTAAAACACTCTGTACTCGAATTATCGGCTATTTTTAGTTGTGTTTAAAAAAGATGTAGCTTATGTCAAATCAATTTCATGTGTTTAAAGCCGCTTGATGAGAATGTCTTGCATATGTAAGGTTAACCGTAATGCGATCTGTTGGAACTCCCGGATGAAACGGAGATGAGTTACTGTATACTAGACTAAATAAAATTCGAGAACGACGAGCTAAATAATGTTTTCTAGAGTAACAACATTAATGTTATTAATGCGATGTTATAAACAACATTTTGATGGTCCTCTTTACCAAGGTACATAAGAAATCAATCCTTTATGTTCGAAGAATTTGTCGAAATCACTGAGGTTTTTTCGAGGTTATAAGTCACAAGGTACAAGACAATGGAACTATCTCGACGGAACACTTTCACCAAAAAAAATCCTGCCTAGGTGTTTTGCATGTATCACTAGTTCAAAAAAGAGTTGTATTTGCATAAATATATTAGCCTTATAAAACGTAAAAGAATGGAAACAGTTTCTTTGCTACAATTGTCAGATTCGCAGGAGAGAAGCTCATGCAAGCATATCAATCCCAAATCCCCCGTTCGCCATGTTAGCCTGCTAATTGTACTTACAGTGATTATCGACGAATGCCTTTATGTGGGCTTTGAAACAAACGAAGGAATCTTTTATATCGCAGGTCTCACGACCAATACAGGCCAGCTAACAAGACGCTTGAACTGATTGTAACGACACAGACTGCGCAGGGTATCTGTTTATACTAACGCTGATCCAGACACTGCCAGCCAGCTCATCTAATCTTCCCGAACGATGTTGTGGAAATTAACCCCTGTCACAACTGGAAAACACATTAGCCTATACCGAAAGAAACTCATTATACATTTGATGATGATGAATTCGGCTGGATCTACCATAACTATCGGATGTATTTATACTTTCGGCACGCAAACATGTTTAGTTAATATTCCTCAGATGTGTGGTACGCCATGTCGTTTGGAATTGCTAAATCAAATAGCACTCCGTTTACACTTTTGACGTAAGCCGACTAAATTTCCTTTCAGGGCTTCAGAGAAAAATAAAAGGCAGGAAAAAGGTGAATGACATGGAAAACTCTTAATATGAGCAATGACTAGCGGTTACAAATTCTAAAAAACCACATTGACTGAATGAGAGATTATTTTTAATATGATAATTTTTGGACTTTGTTGGGAAGAAGATTTTATTTTTAGGAGCACCACCTTTGACTGAAATTTTGACAAAAGCTTTAAAATTGCTTCACAATACTTAATCAGCGGATTTGTAAGTTGAAAAAGTCTGCCTTACCTTCAGAAATGACAGAAATAAATCAGGCTTTTCCCTTCGAAACTGGCTCCTAATTTTCCCCGCTGGAAGTCCGGCAAACTTGGTCGAACGAAACTTTATTTTGAGACGAACTCCCAACGCTTATGAGGCATTGAACCGGAAAGAACAACTCCACGATAGCTTTAAAATCATTAAGCCGACCACTGAAATTGGTAATCTGGTTTGAACTTTTAGTTTTAGTCAATGAAGGGAAACAGAGTGAAGTGGGATAGGTTTGATAGAATACATTCTCCAGACAGTGACCACTTCACTCCTGCCAGTCAAATTGAACCTTTTATAGTGCCTTTGAAAGGTGTACAATGAAAATATGTTGATAAAAGCATGGTTGAACAAATGGATTAAAACCACGAAGCTTAAAAAAGCAAGAATCTAGTATCTTTTAATTTTAATAGTCGCAGCTACCAGCAACAAAAAACCTTTTGAAATTGTTTCTTTGTTCGATATCACTGTCGTACGAAAGAGGATTTTTAGCGTCAGCGAAGAATTAAATTCCAACTTGAACGAATGTAAATAAGAGTAGATAAATTGAGGTGCATCCGACGTTGTAAATGTGATTCCTCGAGGCAAAATGACTTGGAGTCAAATTGTCTACCCACTTTCTTTCAAAACCACATTTATAATGACATGTTTACATTTAAATTTTGTAATCACTGCTAAAATGAATTATTTTCTCAGCGTCCGAACCAGTTACGACTGAAAAAACTTTATAAAATAATTTAATTTTCAATTTTATCACGAGATATGAAAGGCTAGATTCCAGGCAAAGATGTTTCAACATATATATCCGGTAGGTGTGGGCTATCCACTTATGTAAGGCAAAATTTCGTAAACATGGCGTTTTAATAACACGAATTATCTTTTTCGGCACTCGATAGTCGCTGAAGGCAAAAAAAACTTGCATTTTCTAAAACTGGTGATTATTCGTTAATTCTTTTTATAACCTTTTTGAAATTTTAATATTAGCAGTTGTCCTGGGGCAAAATCCTAATATACAAAAATGGAATTATTTGGTTAGTGTTTTTGAAAAATATCAGCTTCACAAAGTGATACTAAATATTCGAAAGTATCAGTGAAAAAAATGTTTAGATCTAAAACGTTTAAAAATAAAATCCTAAAAGACTAAAATTTCAATTTTTTTATTGTTTTCTCAGTCGTAAATAGATGCACATAGCTGAATAATGAAGATAATGCCAGCTTTTCTAATGAACAATGTTTGTACTTCTAAACTTGTGAGAAAGTTTTTCATTCAACAAAAACAAGTTCCCCCGATGCATATCTATTTAGCTAACAACTGGAAGTTGGTATTACCGCCAGCAGTTTCTATATCATTCTTTTTTCGAAGGTTTTTATTCAAAGTGATTACAATATTCATGACTCTTGGGTTCAAACCATTCACTGTTTTACTATTCAGACTGGGGTCATGTTTAAAGTTCTAGAATATTAGGGGAAAAAAGCGTACAGGATTACAAAATTATAGTTTATTCTCCATATAAAATGAGTTGGCAGAGCGTTTCTGTAGCAGGAGTTCCGAAACTAAATACAAATCACTGTATAATTGAGTTTTAAGTGCTTGTTGAAATACATGGTCTTTGAAAGTAGTATACAAGGCTGAAAAACAACAACGTTGACAATAATCAACATGTTTCGCGTAAACAGTATTGGTCTTTTGCTAGTTGATTGTATTTAATATAGTTTTGAACAACTTTTCCTGTAACGTTTTTGTCGGCCAAGCCCTGATTTCAAGTCAATTATACACGGACTTAGTCACAAAGGTTATCTACTCATGGTCGTGTCTTTCTTGAATGTATCATGATATCAGTTGAAAGCGCTGACGTTGAGAAACGTTAAGAAACATGGCTTAATTACACCGCATTAAAGACAGCGATATTAAATTTGATTATTCACTCTGTCGCGTATTACCATGGCGACAAAAGTACTCAAGCCACCGCTATAATCTTCCAACACCCTTTTGCTTAATCACCGGCGGAAGGCTCTGCCCTCCTGATTACCGCTTGTAGATGAGCTGGAAGCAGGATTCCTTAAGCTATGTTTAGTTACAGAAAATTCCAGGTTGTATTTAGACTGTAATCGAAACATTCAACACCCCAATTAATTCTCTCAGCTGTTATTCTCAATGATCACAACTCCAGTGGATAATACTTTAATTCCAGCTGTTTGGCTAAGTTCAGAAACACGCACCTTTGCAACAATAGACCAACATTAAAGTAATGGACGATTGTGATGCGGAGCGCAGAAACCTTGGAATCTCTGCACCACATCCTTGTTAGTGACTTGTTAGACGTAATTAGGCTGTGTGGTTTGATTGCACATACACTGAGATGGGCGACTGTGCAGTCTTGCTGATATTACTTTTGATGTTTAATTACAATTTACCTTTTCGGTACAATTTCATTGACGATAATTTGGATTAAGCTATTTTTGTGGTTCACAGTAGCATTTCAAGTATGGTCGCTACTAACGCAGGTCAGGTCGCGTTAACCATCAAATAATCGGCGGTTTTTCAGGCAAAATCGTCGCACATCAAAAATTGTATTGCCTGGTAACGCTACTAGTTAACTTGCGCAACCATAACGATCGCGGAAATGAGAAAATCAAGAAAGCAAAATGTTTAATAAGCAAAGCAAAAGCTCTGAACGTTGAGCACACTTTTTGGCAGATTTCTTTGTCATCATCGGACGACTACTGAACGTTGTCAAACTCTATTGGAATGGCATTGCGACAGTCGCTTTAATCTCTAAGATCGTCGCTTTATCAAGGCGGTCTTCGCGATTTCAATGTCGTCGGAAATTGCCTACCTATACAGAGGCTCAACGGTGCTGGCTCAATATTCAATTCCCGCACCCGAAACGCAGTTTAGGTGACTGGTTTACCTTATTAGCTCAACTTATATCTCTCTTACTGAGGTATTCAACCCTCGTGCCCTGTGCGACACTCCCAGTGGAAGCATTGATGGATTTCCTCTACTAGTATAAACTTGCTATATCTCGTCACAGCACTTCACTACAACCAACCATGACACAGGACAATTCATGCTCCTTTATTTAAATCATTTTAACTTGTAAACTTCTTCTTCTCCCCTCCCCCGACAATTTTCGTGTCAGTAACTTTTTTTCCTCTAGTCGCCTTAAACTTAAAATTTAGCTTTGTAAAACTGAACTGTTGACAATGCGGTGCGTCTCAACAAGATTCTTTCCATTATTGCCAGAGAGAGCTTCAGGTTTTTTAAACTCAAGGAAAACTTCTATTCATTTCATAATTATCCGTGACAAGCCTTTTAGGGTAGACACTTCCGTATAATTTCATAAGCCGATTTAGAAACAGACGCCGTTGTCAGTTAGAACTAAAGATAAACATTGTTACTTATCTGTAACAACTTCGTGTCAGGCTTACATAAGCATGAAAGAAGATGAAAGGACCTTAAAATTCTTTCATTCTTGCACGAGGCATGTCACTGGTAGACCCAATAAATTTTACAAAATAAAAGGATAATGTCGACGTTTTTTTACATTTTAAGGCCACTGATAGGGAGGTGTGTTTCTGTGTTTCATTTAGAACGACGTGCTTTGTCGGTAAAGGAGATCTAATATAACTGACATGTAGTCTCAAATCTATATAAGAGAAAAACCATTTATATATTTGTCCGGGTGTAAGTTTCGCAACAAAAGAATTTTTCAAAAGATTAGAAGTGCAACTAGCGATTATAACATGGATCGGCCGTGATTATTCTTGGCAAACTTTCTTCTTCAAGGAACCAAGTAGAAAAGAGGAACTAAGACGAATGTTCAGTTCATTTGTTACCCATAGAGAAATCAAGTGAAAATGTCAACCAACTCAGCATGTATTTCAAGCTTAAAATTACTAATGTCAAAATTACTAATGAATCGGTTTAAATCGGAGTGGAATTAAGATAAAGACACCTGTTTGTTAAATCCTCTAATCAGGTTAAAACTTTCATTCAATTCTTAAGAGGTAAATATAAACGGTTTAGTTAAATGACGTGTAAGAGGGCAAAACAAGACAAGTTTTCAGGCACAAGCCACATTCTCACGCAATTTTTTTACCAGCAGCCTCGCCTATCATTTAAAGTGACTCAGCTTTCGAATGATTATGTTCCTTTTATATTTGTCTTCATGGTTATATGCTTAGTTCTACTTTCGTCGTTTAAAACCTACGGACATTTTTAGAGGTAACATTCAAGATACAATGTTTCCTAATCAGCTCGAAATTGAAGAATCCATGAGTTACGCGACTCACCTTTAAAAATGAGGACAGCTGCTTTTGAAATTACCCTGTAGATGTGTTTTCCGTGTCTAAAATAAGGAATTTCTATTGAAAATTCCGGAATATCGGTTTTTATCTCCAGGAAAGCTCGCTGCGATTTCCTCAGCCTGCTATCAGCACATGTTCAAGGAGTGCTCTGGTTTAATAACGTGCAACCAACAGTCTACATAGCCAAGGAAAGACTATGGATTGCGGAATCTAATGCGATAAGTGTCTGTTACTTTTGCGAAGCTTAGAACTAAGATCACCTTAAAGTTTTAACTACGTCTGATCTCCATAATTCGCCACAAGCATTTCAGTTATTTCGTATTATGCCTCACTATTCCATTCTTCGCCCTTGATCACGCGGAAATCTGTAGAGTTTGAAAGCTTTACGATTTCTGACCGCCAACTGTTAAATCAATCATGGTACGGTATTTTGTTTTTTAAAAGGTTCATATGTAAGGCAAGTGTTTTAAATTATTTTTTCACTTTATTCTCACGT